TCATCATCATTAGTCATTAAAGAAATGCAAATTAAATCAACACTGAGATTCCATCTCACTCCAGAAAGAATGGCCAAAATCAAGAAAACTACCAACAACAAATGCTAGAGAGGCTGTAGGAAAAAACAAACTCTTGTACACTGTTGGTAGGAGAATAGATTGGGGCAACCACTGTGAAGGTTAGTCTGGAGATTCCTCAAAACCTGGGATTGGAAGTCCCATTTGACCTAGCATATTTCCAGAAGAACTAAAAACATCATACCACAATGATATATGTGGACCCATGTTTATAGCAGCACAAATTGCAATAGCCAGATCTTGGAAACAACCTAAGTGTCCATCAACTGAGGAATGGATAAAAGGGTTGTGATAGTGTTATACAATGGAGTACTACTCAGCTATAAAGAATGATCACATTGGGATATTTATAAATAAGTGGATGCAACTTGAGGCCATACTCATAAGTGAAACAAATCAAACTCACATGTATGAATACTGTATAGTCTCCCTGGTGTAAGAAACGATAAGTGTACATAAAATTTTATGGTAATCATGATTGCCCATTACATTGCTTTGAAGTCTTATGATGTTTTCATTCATTAATTGGGATAGTTTTAATGATTTGCTTGATTTCATTATGTGTGATGATATGAACAGCTATTTTGAAGAAAAAAAGACATTTTGGCAGCCATTGCTGATTTAATTTGATCTTGCTTTGAAGTCCTACTATGCTTTTGTTCTTCTGTTTCTGTTGATTCTATCATGTTGTATCTTATTGGATTTTAATATGTGTGATAGTATACACAAATTTTTTATGGAAAAGGAGACAATATAGTAGCCATTATTTGTTTTCTGTTATTTGGTTCTGAGGGCCCTATAATACTTTCATTCTCTTGTATGGTGTTATACTATTTTGTTATGTTTGATACTATTGTACGTTAATACACTCAACTATTTCAAAGAAAGAGACATTAAGGTAGCTACTATTAATATTGGGTTGTCTTGTGGTGAAGTACTGTGTTGCTTACATTGTTCTGTTCTGATGTTCTTTGTTCTGTCCTTTTTGGTCTTTATCTCTTTAAAATAAAAAATAAAAAAAGAAATAATAGAACTGAAATATACCTGTGAGCAACTGGACTTGGTAGATGTTTGCAGTGTTCCACCCAAGCATGTCAGAATACAGATTCTTCTCAGCTGTGCATGGGACAGTCTCCGGAATAGACCATATAGTATCCCATAAAATATTCTTAAAGTAACTTCAAAGGTACTGAAGTTATCCCATGCCTACTATCTAACTGTAGCACACTGAAATCGCAAATTAATGGCAAAAAATTGCAAAACCTGCATAAATACATGGAAATTAAATAACAACTTTTTGAACAACCAGTGGGTTACAGATGAAATTACAGAAGAAATAAAGCAGTACCTACACATCAATGAAAATGCAGAAACAACATACTGTAATCTGTGGGATCAAATGAAAGCAGTCTAAAGAGAGAAATATATAGCAATAAATTGTCATATCAAGAAAACAGAACAAGCTCAAATAAACAATATAATCCTTCATCTCAAGCTTCTAGAAAAAAAAGAGCAAGTTAAACCCAAAACTCATAGGAGAGAAAATTCTAAAGATTAGAGCAGAAATCAATGCAATTGAAACAAAAAAATGCAAAGAATGAATCAAAAAGCTTGTGTTTTTGAGAGAATAAACAAAACGGACAAGCCTCTAGCTAACCTCATAAAGAAAAAGAAAGACAAACTCAAATTCATGCAATAAGGTCTGAGAAGGGGGAAATAACTATAGATTCCATGGAAATTGAAAACATCATGAATACCTACTTTACAGGTCTCTAGTCATATAGAGTGGAAAACACAGAGGAAATGGACAGATTTCTAGAAACATATGAACGACCAAACTCAACCAAGAAGATGTAGCATTTTAAAATAACCCAGTATCAGCTATTGAAATTGAAACTATAATTTAAAATTTACCAAAAAGAAAAGGCCAAGTTCTGAGGGATTCGTGGCAGAATTCTATAACAAATTTAGAGAAGATTTCATGCAAATACTCCTTAAATTCTTCAAAAAAAATGAAAAGGAAGCAATCCTCCCTAAATCATTCCTGGAGGCAAGTATAACTCTCATACCAAAACCAGAGAAAGACCCAACCAAAAAGGAGAACTATAGCCCAATCTCTCTAATGAATATTGATGCAAAGATTCTCAATAAAATACCGGCAAAGAGAATGCAGCAAATCATCAATAAGATTATACATCATGACCTAGTGGGATTCATTCTAGGAATGCAGGAATGGTTAACATATGCAAATCAATAAATGTAATACATCCCATCAACAGATCAGAAACAAAAACCACATGGTCATTTCAATAGATGCAGAACTTCTGATAAAGTCCAACACGTGTTCATGATTAAAAACCCTTCAAAAACTCAGACTACGCAGTGTCTGCATCAATCTTATAAAGGCCATCTATGACAAACCTATAGCCAACATTATACTAAATGGCAATACTATACTGAAAGCTTTCACTTTAAAATCAGGAATAAGACAAGGATGTCTACAATCACCACTTCTATTCAACATAGTTCTGGAAACACTAGCTAGGGTATTCAGACAAGAGAGAGAAATAAAATGAATAAAGATAGGAAAGGAAGAAGTTAAATTATCATTATTTGCAGATAACATGATACTCTATTTGGAAGACCCAAAAACACCATGAAAAGATTACTGGAAGTAATAAACAAATTCAACAGTGTAGCTGGATACAAAGTCAATGCTCAAAACTCAATAGCATTCCTGTACACAAACAAAAACTCACTGAGAGAGAAATTATGGAAAGATAGCCTTTCACAACTGCATCTAAAAAATGAAATATTTAGGAATCAACCTAACTAAGAATGTAAAAGACCTATATGCTGAAAATTATGCTATGCTAAAAAAGGAGATTAAAGAGGATATTAGAAAATCAAAGGAAATTCCTTATTCTTCGTTAGGAAGAACCAACATTATGAAAACGGCCATACACCCAAAACTGTTCTACACATTTCATGCAACCCCAATCAGAATACCAATAACATGCCTCACGGATCTAGAGAAAACACTCCTGAAACTCACGTGGAAAAAGAAGAAACCTACAATAGCAAAGGCAATTCTGAGCAAGCAAGGCAACGTAGGAGGCATCTCAATTCCTGGCCTGAAACTATACTACGAAGGCACAGTGATAAAATCAGCATGGTACTGGCAAAGAAATAGACCTGAGGATCAGTGGAACAGATTACAAGATGCAAGCACAACTACAAAGACAATCAACCACCTGATATTTGAAAATGGGGCTAAACATGTTCACTCTTTAATAAATGGGGCTGGAAAAATTGGCTCTCCACATGCTGAAGACTGAAGCTAGATCCATGCCTATCACTATGCACAAAATTAAAGTCTAAATGGACCAAAGACCTAAATATTAATACAGAAACCTTAAATCTACTGGAAGACCAGGTAGGCAGAAGACTTGGAGACATAGGGGTAGGCAGAGAATTCATGAACAAAATGCAAACTGCATGGGAAACACATCAAAGAATCAACAACTGGGATCTCATGTTATTCAAAAGTTTCTGCACATCAAGAGAAATCACCAACAGAGTGAAAAGAAAACCCACAGAATGGGAAACAATTTTAGCCAACAACTCCTCAAAGGGCTTATATCCAGAACATGTAAAGAACGGAAAAACATCAAGCCCCCAAATTCAAAGACCCTCTCCAAAAATGGACATCTGAGATGAACACACATTTCTCAGATGAAGATACACAAATGGCAAATAATTACATAAAGAAATGTTCACCATCACTGGTCATTTGAGAAATGCAAATTTAAACAGCATCGAGATTTCATCTCACTCTGAAAAGAATAGTGGCCATCAAGAAATCAACTGATAACAAATGCTGGTGAGGCTGTTGGGAAAAAGGAACACTGCTCCACTGTTGGTGGGAGTGTAGAATGGTGCAACCACTATGGAAATCAGTATGGAGATTTCTCAGAAAACTAGGATTGGAAGTTCGATTCAATTCAGCTATTTCCTTCCTGAATATTTTCCCAGAAAACCTGAAAAGGTCATGCCAAAGTCATGTATGTGCACTCAAGTTCATAGCAACACAATTTGTAATAGCTAAATCTTGGAAACAACCAAGATGCACATCAACTGCAGAGTGGATGAAAAAGATGTGGTTTTTTATACAATGTAACATTACTCAGCTATAAAACAGGATGATCTTGAGGCCTTCATAGGTAAATGGAGACAACTTGAGACTGTCCTCACTAGTGAAATAAATAAGAATCATATTTATAAATATGACATTGTCTCTCTAGTGTAAAAAGTAATAAGAAATGTAGGAGTAACATAACCCTAAATGTGTAATTGCTATTGTGAAAAAGAGGAGAAAAAGTCCGAGGTAACGCGTCTGGCCGGCTGCGCCTCCGGGGGCCGGCGCCTCGGTGAGCTGCGCCGGAGCCCCGGGGAGGCGCGGCGGGCGGCATCCGCGTGGGGCCTTGCTGCGGCCGTCCGGCCTGCTCCTGCTGGCTCCCGGCGCTGTTCTTGGACGAACGTTTCCGCGGCCCAGCGCGCCCGGGAGCTCTGTTCCAAGCGCTTCTCAAAGGTTGCTTCTCACAAGTTCAGGCGATCAGCGCTGTCATGTAGACGCCACCCCAACCCCGCCTCTGCCGTTTTTTGTGACAGCCAAGAAGAAAATGCACCCGCGTTTCCAGGGTTCGCATCCCACAGTCTGCCCCAGGGGTCGCTCTCTGAAAACCGCTGCAAGCGTCCCGCGCCGTCTCAGGATGAGCTTCACAGCCCGACCCGGGAAGTTGCTTCTATTTGAGTCCGGTGCTCTGTCTTGATACCGGAAGAGATTACAGACGTGGGGATAAGGGAAAGCAGCGACTGTTGAGGAAGCCATCATGGTGCCAAAGTGGCTCATCTAGTCATGAGCCTTGGCCCTGCAGGCTACAGGGGCTCCACGAGGACTTTTGGAAGTGAGCGTGAAAGAGGAGAAGAACCATGCCTGTGGTCAAGAATCTGACAGGTCAAGGAAGACCTTTGAAAGCAGGGAGATCTTCCGAAGACACTTCAGGGAGTTCTGCTATCAGGAGACCCCGGGACCCCGGGAGGCGCTGCACCGGCTCCGAGAGCTCTGCCACCAGTGGCTGCGGCCCGAGACCCACAGCAAGGAGCAGATCCTGGAGCTGCTGGTGCTGGAGCAGTTCCTGGCCATCCTGCCTGCAGAGCTGCAGGCCTGGGTGCACGCACAGCATCCAGAGAGCGGGGATGAGGTGGTGACTGTGCTGGAGGACTTGGAGAGGGAGCTGGACGAGCCAGGAGAGCAGGTCCCAAGTCCTACTTACGAGCAAGAAGAGGTCGTGAGGCAGAAGGCAACTCAAGGAACAGCCCAGGTATCCCCATGCAGCCAGTTCCCGTGCTCAGAAGAGCAGCTGCAGTGTCACATGCCAGAGGCGCGCCCAGTGCAGGAGAGCGGTAGCGAGGCTGGGACTCGGAATGTTGAGTTCGCACCAGTGGAGGAGGGCTCTAAAGAAATAAAATTTCCTGTGGAAGGACCTGGAACTCTCAGCAGTGGTACCACTCAGGTGCCTGAATGCGGAGATGCTTGTGGCCCAGAGGGCAGACTGGGCAGGCACCGGGTAAGCTCCTCAGTGGCGGAGAGGCCTCACGTCTGCAGGGAGTGTGGGAAAAGCTTCACACAGAACTCCATTCTCGTGGAGCACCAGAGGCGGCACACGGGTGAGAGGCCCTATGTGTGCGGTGTCTGCGGGCGCGCCTTCAGCCAGCGCTCCGGCCTCTTCCAGCACCAGAGGCTGCATACTGGGGAGAAGCACTACCAGTGCCGCGTGTGCGGCAAAGCCTTCAGCCAGAATGCCGGGCTGTTCCACCACCTCCGCGTCCACACTGGAGAGAAACCTTTCCAGTGCAGCCAGTGCAGGAAGAGTTTTAGCCGCCGCTCTGTCCTTGTGAAGCATCAGAGAATTCACACTGGAGAGAGACCTTATCAATGTGGAGAATGTGGCAAGAGCTTCTTTTACCACTGCAACCTTGTCCAGCATCAGAAAATCCACACTGGAGCTGAGCCCGTGGGCTCCTTGGAGCAGGCAGGGCAAAATCTCTGAGCCCAGACCCCAAGGCAAGGTCGCAAGGGCACGGTTCCTTGCTTGGCCCCTGAGAGAACAATCATAATTTCAGGTAGTGAGGCTGAATAGAAAAGTACAGGGAATACCAGGAGAAATTCCTTTAATTTTAGGCTAAAAGAAAGCGTAATTAAGTGCATCTGTCAAGGTCTCCATGTCAATGACAGCCACAGCTTTGCAATGGCAAATCTTAGTTCTTCATCATAATACATGCTTCGATCTACGTACATGTGCAAGAAGTTTCTGGATTCAGGAACACTACATCTTTCTAATTTTTTTTAAAAAAGTTTAAAAACATATGCAACCCGAGTTCAAAATTATATCAAAGGTAATTTACTGAGTATTACAAATTAATTTTAAAATCACAGTAAAATTTACGTGAGCTGACTTTTTTTCCATGTACATATGATTTGCATTTTAACCTACAGAAGGAGGCACATGGTGCCTCCCATGCAAATGTATAAAACCTCTCCTTGTTGATTTCTACTCAGCCTTCGGTCAGGAACGAGGACATGGAGCAGCCTCATTACTGGCAGCTCAGTGACTGCTCCCAGGCAGCAGTGATGGGAAGACAGATCTGCACAGCGACCAGGATACTTCACTAAAAATAGGCTATTTCAGATCGTTATTTTAAAAACTTTAGTTTCCTTGCATTTTTCCTGTAACATAATAAAAATGGTTAGTTTTTGCCTTTTGCTTTCTTTTTTCTTTTTCTTTTTTTTTTTTTTTTTAACCGGTACCAGGGATCGAACTCACGACCACGCGCTTGCAAGGCAGGCGCTTGTGCTGCAGAGCTAAATCTCCAGCACCAGCTTTTTTCTTTCCTTTCTTTTTTGGCAGTGGTTATAGGGATGAACTCAGGGCCTGGTGCATGGTAGGCAGATATTGTACCACAAGGCAGTATCTCCAGCCACTGTTCAATCTTTTGTTTCAAAAGTCTCAGCTTTCCAAGAGTAGAGAGAAAAGTGTGGTCCATCGTGCATGTTGATTGCTTCTGTCTGCAGTGCTGGGGGTGAACCCAGTGCTAGATGAACTACTCTACCACAGAGCTACGTTGCTAGCCTCCTTAACATCCACATTTCTTGGAACTCTTTGTTGTTGATTACCAGCAAGGTCATACATACAAAATTAAAGTTTCTTTCCCTTGCCTTTAAAAAAAAAAAAAGAAAAGAAAAAGAAAAAGAAAAAGAGGAGAAAAGAAGATGCTCTAACGGATATAAATGCATGCATGGGTAAGTATGTAAGATTAATTACCATATTACTAAGTTTTGTTGGATCACTGAACACAATTGTTTGCAGTCTCACTGTTTGAATGTCTACTTTGTATGATTTACTTCTGTAATTTGAACAACTATTTCTAAGAGGACAATATGTGATTTATCAACTAGTGATTTCTTAATTTTTAATTTTAAATTATGTTTTAATCATTATTTCTTCCCTCCTTCAGTTTTGTTTTTTCTTGTTTTCTCTTTAAATAAAAAAATTTAAAAAGAAAAACCAGAACCTGACGGGCTCAAAATGAAATTCTTTAAGAACATCAGTGAACATCTAATAATAATACTCTGCAAACTCTGCAATAAAAATAAAGGTAGGACTTCAAAAATCATTCTGGGAAGCTATCATTATCCTCACCACCAAAGAAGAAAAGAATACAACCATAAAAGACAATTAGAGGACAATTTGTTTAATGAACATAGATGCAAAAATCTTTAAGACACTAGTAAACCAAATACAACAAATTATCAAAAAGATCATGCACCCTACCAAACAGGTTTCAGCCCCTGAATACAAAGATGGCTCAATAAACACAAACACAAAATTCCTCATCTTCATAGAATCAAGGCCCAAAGCCACATGATCATTTAAATAGGTTCAGAAAAAGCCTGTGATAAAATGCAACACTCATTCTTGATTAAAACCCTGAAGAAAGTAAGTTCAGAAGGTCTTCATCTCAACATGATAAAAGCCATTTATGACCAATCTACTGCTAATACACATGCCATGGGCAAACATTGAAAGCCTTCTCTCTAAAATCAGGAACAAGACAAAGAAGTTGTTTTTATCACCATTGCTGTTCAATGTGGTCATTCACGTAATAGCCTGAACAATTATTTAAGAGTAAGAAATAAAAGGGATACATGTAGGGAAGAACGGAGTCAGAAGACCTTTATGTGCAGATAACATGATCCTCTACTTCCAAGACACAAAACCCTCCATCACACAATTCTAGAACTGTTAACCAACATTATCAGGATACCAGGATACAACACACACACACACAGATAAAATCAATAGCATTGTTATACAATATTGAAGAACCCAATAGAGGTATATATTACAGTAACATTTTTGTTTTCTTATTAACCTGATATGATGCCCAGTATTGCTCTCCCCATCTTGTTCTGTCAGATTTTACTATATTCTATTTTGTTGATAGTATCAAGTTTGAGGGTATAGGCAACCAATTTCAAGGCAATAAGATTCACTAAGATGCCCATTATGGTTTGATTATTATCTTCTTTTGAAATCCTCTGAGGTCTCCAGTGTAGGTTTTATTAGTCTTGTTCTGTACTGTTTTGATCAATTCTATTATATCTGATGATATAGGCAACTTTTTAAAAACATAGCAGAGGCACAATGGTAAGCATTTTACATCACCTGATATTTTATTTTTACATCATGTACTATGCCCAACCTTTTGTTCTAACCGACTCTGCTTTGTTTAGCCACGTTAGGTTTTATTCTCTTCAAAAAAATAATAAGAATTGTGGGAGTAAAAAAACCCAAAAAGTGTAATTGTTATTAAAAAGAGAGGAAAGGAAGGTGGTCTAAGGGATATAGCTGCATGTATGTTTGAGTGTATAGGATGGAAATCCATATTACTGAACTTTTGTTCAATCATTGATCGGCACATTCTGCAAACTCATTCTATAAATGTTCACTGTACATGCTTTAATTTTATAATTTGGACAACTATTTCAAAGATGACAATATATAACCTATTAACTAGTGATATCTTACTGTATTTTATTCTTGAAATTCTGTATTATTTGTACCCTTTTACTGCTTTGTTTATTTTATTTCCTTTCTTTTTTCTCTTTAATTAAAAAAATTGAAGAACCCACTGAAAAAGCAATTAGAAAAATAATATCATTGATGACAACATTTAAAAAAACTTAAATAGATAGGTGTTAGCTTAAGAAAGCAAAGCATTGTATAGTGAAAATTACACCACTCAAAACTAGGCACCTGAAAATATCACAAAATGAAAAAATAGTCCTCATTTCTGGATAGACAGAATCGATACTGTCAAAATGGCCTGACTTTCAATATTGGTAAACATACTTGGTGCAACCCCAAGCTAAATACCAAAGTCAATTATCACAGAGCTAATGGAACAATCCTAAAATTGGGGGAAATTAGAAGAGACTCAGACTACCAAAAGCAATCCTGAGTAACAAAAGCAAAGCAGGTGGCATCATAATCCCAAGCTCAGAGCTACACTATAAAGTTACAGTGATGAAACCCACATGGTACTGACATAGAAACAGGCATGTGCATCAGTTGAAGAGAGCACAACAGAGACAACTCAAAGCACACAGAGCCAGAGCACTGGGTGATCTTTGACAAAGGAGTCAAAAACATACCAGAGTAAAGATATTCTTTCAGGGATGGTGCTGGGAAAATTGGATACCTACGTGCAACAGATTGAGACTAGATCCACATATATCACCATGTACTAAACTATAACCAAAATGGGCCAAAGAACTAAATGTTAAAACAGAAGCAATCTTCTGGAAGACAAAATGGGCAGTACTCAAAGACACAGGCATGCAAGGACTTTCTGAACAAAACCCTAATGGCACAAAATACAATATAGACAAGCAACAAATGGAGTCTCATGAAATTAAAAAGCTTCTCCATTGCAAAGGAAACAACCAACAGAATGAGGAGACAATCTTCAGATTGGAAAAAAAAATACTTTCATTAGCCACTCCACAGGCAGAGGACAAGCATCAAAGTATAGACCTACCAAAGAAAACTCAAAAGAACAGACAAATGAAATGAAATGATACTTGTTAGAAGTACAAATGGCCAATAAAAACATGGAAAACTCATCATTGCTTCTGGAAATTACATAAATACAAATTAAAAATACACAAAGATAGCATTTTATCTTAGAAAGATTTCCATGAAAAAAATCTAATGATAAATGGTGATGAGAATGAAGGATTTTTCTACAACGGTGGTGCGAATATAAACCAGTATGAACACTACAGGAAAGAGTGTGGTATTTCCGCAAAAAACTGAAAATAGAAATCCACTTGAGACAGCTACGTCCCCTTGCAGAAATCTTCCAAAATAGTTAAAATCATACATACAGGGATATATATATATCTATGTTTACAGCAGCACAATTTCTAACAGCTATATCTCTAAAATAGTGTGTACATCCATTAAGAGAATAATGTACAAGGAAAATGGCAATTATACACAATGGAATACTGCACTATGAAAAAGAAAGATAACCTTGAGGAACTCATAGATAAATGAATGCAACTTGAGGATATAAAGTTCTTTGAAATAAGTCTGAAACACAAGTTCAAATATTTTCTGGTTTCTCTTATATGAGCATACTTCTCCAAATTGCATATTTTGCTTCTCTAAATATTTTATGTGCCAACTTGTTTATATTACTAGCTCATTTTCAATCACTGAAAAGAAACATTTACACTTTTTCCTTTTTATATGAAGCATTTAGGCTTATGTTTTGTACTCTGAGGAAGTTCCATGAACATAGCAATACACAGTGTTTTTCCTTATTGTTTTACTACAAAAGTTATTCTTCTCATTAAAAAGCAGACATCAGTCAAAATTACTCAATAATAGCGCATGACTTGTACTGCACAGTATTCCTTATGTTGCCCAATCCAAATAATTTTTCTATCTGATGGTTTGTGTTGATCTTTTTCATTATACACCAGTCACTAAGGTAGTCTTTCAGCTACTGACTTATTTGACTTATTACCACTCCACAACACTGCTGAACTCTTGTTTAAAAAAAGAACAACCATACCTTTCCGGCTCATTCACCACATTCTTTGTTTCTGTCTTTTTTAACAATGCTGCCGCTTCCATTCTGTTTTCCCTTAGAGCAAGCATAAGTGGTGTGAGGCCTTCCTGTGGAGAAGCAGAAACAATTTAAAACCCACACAACTGCCTGCTTCTCAGCTGAACTGAACAGCTTGTGAAGGACCCTGACTGTTAACCTGATATAGATAACAACACACAGCAGTCTCTTCCTTCTCACTCCCAGTGTTTCCACACGTGCTGCCCTGCCATACCCTCTGCAGTGCATGCTCTCTGCCCACAGTGGCTACAGAAACCCCAGGGTCACAACTCGCTCCAGTCACTGGTTCCAAGGGTCTTTCCATCACAGCCTTTATCATGGTACTCAGAGTTATGTAACATCTCCCGCTTCAATCAAATGCACCTTCAGGGCAGGGGCTGTATCTTTTTTCTCAGTAGCTCCAACCATAATGCACAGTCAAAAATGATTGAAGGATTTGGATTAAATTAATGAGTTAAATCATCATCCCTAGGGCAGGAATTCTCAGCCTATCTTCCAAAGAATAATTTTCCATGACTTCTATGTCTCAACAGATTTGATAATCATGTTTGAGAAATTATAAAACTGCATTATTTCCTCAGTATTAAAATCTCTTTACCTTTGCTTTACTCCTATTTAACATTACTTTTCTTCTGACAAATATCAACATGAGGAATTAACAGTTTCAGGGATACAGAGCTGAGAGCTTTCTAGTACTATGGAAATTTTTTCTGAGTTAGGCAAGAAACTTGTTGGATTCTCCACCTAGTGTAAGGATCCAAATACAATTCTTAACCATTCCAGCTTTCAAGGAGTCCCTGAGGACATGATCCAAGTGAACATGGATCCCTTATTACTACACAATCCATGGGGTTCTGTCCTATTACTAGATGAAAGTGGAAAAGATCAGTACAAAATTTCAATTGTCATTTATGCTGATAATGCTAAGATCCCCACGCAGCATAGCTATTGTTTTTAATAAGTTATATTCTGTTTCCATTTTAATTACTAATGTTATAGAAATCAGAGGTAAAATATAGTTCATCAATAAAGATTCTAATACTGCTTAATTTGCATTTTCCCATAATAAATAAATTCTAATACTGCTCAAGATGGATTTTCTCATAATGAACAAATTCTAACACTGCATAATATGAAAATTTTCTCAGAATTTTCTCAATATGAATTTTCTCAATATGAAAATTGTATCATAATGAAACTCACCAAGTCACTTATATTTTTAAGGGATAAGGCTGAAAAAGAAGATACAAAATTCTTGGTAACATGCACAAACTATCCAGTTGTGATTATAATTAATAATACCTTCAGGCATTCTAATAGGAACATGGTTACTTATAGTATATGGGAAACCTTTTTTAAAGAATCTCTAAACTTCATTCCATTTTAAAATATTCATTCTAAAATCTAGATTACATCCTTATAAATGAATATAAGATATTCTGAAATTCCTGACTACATTAAAATATACCATCATTTAAGAACTGGAAACTCTCACAGAAGCACAGTAGTGGGCAGGAAGAAGTACAGAATTGAGCCAATAGCAAACTGGATAAGCCATGGGAGCTTTCTGTACAGGGGGCACACCCTCACAGTCACAGGGGCTCTGAAGACAGCACAGCCTCTTCTTTGTGAGCATCTCCAACTTCAAATTATGGAGACGTTTTCTGAAATTTCATTGTGAATTCAGTTGATGGAAGCAAATTGCATAGAGCTAAGAGGCACATTTAGTCCATAGTGTTCTGCTTATATCTTTGCTGTGCATGTGCTTCCAAATGGTTGTGTACAATGTAAAATTCTTCCCTTAACATCATGTTTTACCAAAAAGAGAGGTCCTGCTATGAAATAAAAAAGATTATACCTATTTTAATAATTTTTCCAGCACGCATACTTTTCCTCCATGTGTATGCAGTTCTCCCTGACTGTTAAGCAGGTAAAAAGGAGTGCCGAAAGGAAATTATCAAAACTATTCCCAGCGGGACAGGGGACAGGAACATCTGTAATCTTATCATTCTGGGAGGCTAAGAAGAGGGATCCAAGTTCAGATTTGATTTCTGTCTCTGCAACTTAGTGAGACACTGTCTCAAATTTTTAAAAGTGATGAGTGATGAGTGCTGGGGATGCAGCTCAATGGAAAAGTCCTAGGATCAATCATTAGTAACACACACACACACACACACAAAATAAAAATAAGCAATAAAAATGTATAAAACATTCCCACCTATGTTCTTACAATTTCAAGGATTTTCACCAGGGGGGTCACTTAATACATTGAAATAGTCTATCACATGCCTTCAACTAAATACAGGCTCAAGATGGATATTGTTCAAACTCCTGCAAATCACCATTTGTCAACACTGGGCCATTAATGATAATAAAGAGAGGCACTAATGATGATAAAGAGATGTGACATTCTTCAAGATTCAATCTCAACCATCAGAGAATTTCTACAGAGCTTCACAGTGGCAGTGAATGACTGCAGATGGGAGGGAAAGTGGTGGGATTCTGCGAAATAAGAGGTTTCACTGATGATACTCCTTTTCACTTCCCATGGACAGAGGTAGAGAAAGACAAATGAAAGTTGGCCTGATTTTATTGGAAAGGAGAGATTAGAAGGAAGTGGTATTTAATCCAACTCATCTAGAGATTTCTTCAGTTTCTGAGAATTAGGAATTCACCATTAAACATGCCTGTCCATTAAATGCTTCTGAGCTACGTCAGAATCTTGAGGAAATGTTTTGAAATATCCATGTCAGGGCTTAAGACATTTACTGAACCCAAATCTCCAGGACAGAGCCTCAACTGTTTCAAACCTTTCTCCTGACCACAGAAATGCACAAGTCTAGATGAGGACTAGAGAACCTAGAAGATGACATCAGTCTCATCTCTCATCTACACAGCCACTACTTTTTACTAGTTGAGAATTTAGACAAAAGGAGGGAAGGTGAGAGACAGGTACTCCATGGAAGCTCCATTTAATCCTCTTGGCTCAGGGCAGAACAGGGACTAGTACATTCAAAATACAACTGATCTCATCATACAAGCTCCTTAACTCCCAGCTCCCAGCAAGACATCATATGTTTGAAAGGACAATTCAGATTCTTATCTTAGTTGTGGTTTCTGACTGAAAAGGAGAGGACTTCTCTTTATTATTCATTCATTTCCCTTGTTTCCCACTTAATCACCATGCATCCAGTGAAAAACTGGATTGATCCAGTTCTCCTAAAATTTCAGGTTTATATCATTCTCTTTACTATTTAAAAAATTTTAAGAGGACAGGAATATAGCTCAGCAGCACCATGCCTGCCTGGTAAGTGCAAGGTCCAGAGTTTGATTCCTAGTATTGAAAAAAAGAAAGAAAAAAGAAAAGAAAAAAATAAAGAATTTTTATTCCCAAATTGAGTACAACCAGATTATCTGCACTATGGAATGCTGAGGTAGGCAGATTGCAAGTTTAAATTCAAATTAGGCAACTAATTTGAAACTCTACCTCAAAGTAAAACATAACACAAAAGAGCAGGAGATGCAGCTCAGTATGAATATTCTGTGTTCAATTTCCAGTACTGAATAGAAAAAAAAGTATTTTTCCTAAAAATTGATCTTATCTATGCACATGAACCAGAAAAAATATTTTTTCAAAAACAGCCAACCAACAAAGCAAACTCTATGGGCCTGCATTATTTCTAATTATTTTTCCTTCTCATTTTTCCCATTTAAGTCAAATCAAAAATGGATCATTTTTATGAGCTGTCAACAGCAACAAAATTACCACTTATTGTAAAATACTGTTGTTCTGTTTAAGTTTTAAAATAATACCTATTTCTGAGGCTAATTTTGCTGTCCTGTGTTGTTTTACACTAGTGCAAAAAAAAAAAAGAAAGAAAATATAACCATTTGGAAAAAATAACAGAAAAATGATTTACTTTTTAAATTTCAGTGTCTTCACAAATGCTTGCTGTAAGTGCATAATAGAAACTCACATCCTCTAGCATTTCATTAAAACTATCAACATTGAAAGTGAAAACATTAACTATTAAGTTATTTAAAACAGTGTATTTCCATCCATGAAACACTTGACCTTCTAAATATGGAGAACTGACCAACCAATATGTCACTGTGAACAGGAAAGTATTTCAGAAACTTTGGAAAGAAAATTCAGTGCTCTATACCTTGTTTTTTGCCTCAGCATCGGCACCATGCGAAAGCAGTTTTGCTGTTAGTGAAGACTTTGAACTGTAAACTGCATAATGCAGAGCAGTGTCGCCCTTGGTATTGGCAATATTTGGATTTGCACCATGTTCCAAGAGAATACTAACACAGTCTTCCTCGTAGCATTTTACAGCCTGTGGGTATTGTAACAGAGGAGACACCATCAACTCAAGAAACTCCAAACACACTTTCCACATGCCTGGCCAAGGAGTTATATTCAAATTACATCAACTGACTTTGATTTTCAGCATTTAAATACAATCCCTTCCATGCTGAAATTGTTGGCTGCTATTTACCTTAATCAGAGCGGTGTCATGGTCACTGTCCCAGGCATTAAGGTCAAACTTTTTCTGTATCAGGAGTCTCACCACTTCTGGATGGCCATAGGCACTGGCATAATGCAGAGCAGTCCTGGGACAGTCAGAAAGATTATTAGGAAATTACAGCACTCCATTTCAAAATTCATAATTATTCATGGAATTGTGAACATTAAATACCTTTCACAATAAGTATTTAATTATCTTTGAAAACATAGAATGCTTAGCATCTCTTATTACTCACCTGTGAATGGAAGAGCAAGTGGGTGATGCTGCATTTGTGTGTGGTGCAGGGGATGGAAGCTGCTGTCTTGCACATACTAAACAAGATCCCTGCACTGCGCTACCTCCCAGCCTAGTGCAACCCACTGGAATAGAAAGAGCAGGCCTTGGATTTAGCTCAATTGGAATTTAATTCCTACTCTAAGTTCTTACTTTCTAGCCATCCCTTAGCCTTTCTGTGCCTCGGGATTGTTACCTACAAAATGAGGACTGAAAGCAGTTCTCTCACAAGACACCACTGTGATGGTTAAGTAAGAATCCACACAAAATTTTTCGAATAACTTCTCAAACAAGTAACAGCTCAATAATTGTCTGATACTATAATGTCTCCTATTACTACTTAACAAAGGCAATATTTCAATTAAGTAAAATAAAATAATTCAAATGGACCTACCTTGTGGGGTTAGAATTATTTCAATAAGCCTCCAGACACTTTTTCTCATATTTTAACACCTCTGTCATTGGAAAGCCACACACAGCTCAGAAGACAACAGGTCTTGTGTAACTATAACTGGTGGTGTGGGAGGGCCCCTCCTGACCTTTGGAGTATGGGGGGCTTTTTTTTAACATCAGCCTCTGTGTATGCTACTGATATAACACTATAACATAAACCAGCCTATAGAATGTTAAGGTATACCGGCCAGACTGGAAAATCCTTGCATGTGCCCATATAAGGGAGATGAAAAGACAAAAATTGTATAAAAGGGGGCAACTATACCATGTTAATCATGAATCTGCTGAGTTAGTGTCAGCACCAATGAAGCTGCCTCCTTGGGCAGCTGGAGTGCCCTGCCTCTCCATGTGAAAATCCCACAGCAGTGGCTTTTAAAAAGGTTTCTTCGTAAGGCATCATCACATGATTCATAGTAAAATCTATACATACAGATAATTTCTTTATTTCAGAAGAAGTAAAAAGTTATCAGAAATACCAATACACACACATAAAAATGAAAATTATCTGTGCTTAACTAATATTTCTGTTTTTCTCAAGGATTATTTTATTAATAATCAACTTTCACTAGAGTTTCATATCTATTATAGAAATCAAGGATAAGAGAAAGGAAAGAAGAGCACACAGTACCGTTGCCAATACTAATCATAACATGCAAAATGCAAGGCACAAAAATGTCAAAATATAGAATACTCAGCATTGTTTCTGGGCCAATGAAACTGTTAGAATGAAAAAATTTAATAAACTCCTAAATATTACAACTAGAATGAACTTCTCGATAATAAAAAAGAACAGAAAATGTCAAATGCCTGAAAATAACAAATTTTGCCACAATTTGTATACATTTTCTGTCTAAAACAAGACTGCAGCCTATCTGTGTGTATGCAAAATTAAACTGACTCTTTGCTCAGTGGATATATGAAAGTACATCTTTCCCTGTTAAGAATATATTGATGTGATGCCAATTTCAGTGATTATATATCACTCCATCCTATGAATGCACTGCAACTGATACAATCTCTTCTGTGAATCCATCACTATTTTAAGCAATACTGAAGAAATGCATATTAAATGCGTCTCTGTATGTCCTAAAGATATTCTAGAAGAGAGCTGATTGGTGGAGACATGCTTTCCTAAACTGTGGTATAGTACTTATATCAAATTTCCTATTTGAAAAAGTCATAAGCCATCTCCAGTTTTAAGCAGCAGAATAAACTTTTCTTCATTCTCACACTCTGTAACTGGAAAACATTTGATTCCTTTGTAAAATTAAATTCCCCTTATCAGGGACATTAAACATTTCTTTTTATGTTTACAGGTCACTTGTCAAACCAACCACATAATTTAGAGTTAAATATAGCTCAGCAGTACAGCCCAGGATATGAGGCTCACAGTGTTGCTATCTAGCATGGAAGTAAATTAGTATTCAATATTTTTCTTTGATGATTTTTAAAAAATTACCCTGTAAGTTTAAGATACATTTTTTATCTGCTGTATGTATGTATGATTTTGTTTCATCTGATGTATGATGTATTTTATGATGTATCTATTTATCTCTCCTTTATTTTATTTTATTTTATTATTTTATTTTATTTTTTTGGCACTGCAAATCTAACTCCTGACCTCACATTTTCATGTGGGCACTGTGCCACTGAGTTAATATCCCAGGCCCTTGTTACAAATGTCTCACAAGTATGTTTTTCATTTTGTTAATGATTTTCCAATATAAATGAGAATTTAATTTTTCTTTTGGTAGTCAACCTTCAGAATGCAGGTGGGGAAGGGGATGGCTGAGTGGTAGTGTGTTTCGCATGCACCATGTTCTAGGAGCAACCCCCAACACAAAAAAATGAATGTTCATTGTTGGTGTCATTCTTAGGAAGGCTCAAATAGGCTATGTGTTTTCCTTTGCCACTTTTCTCATTTTGTATGATATAAAATTTTTAATCAATACACCACCAGAAACTTTTGTGACATAAAAATCCAGGTTTTTTGGAAACACTTTACAGGCATTTCATTCATGAGTCATTCCAATTTTTCAACTTCTAAAATCTGACAGATATTTGAATGTTTCCAGGTTTTCTACTAAGTTACATTCATTTATTTATCTTTTGGGCTGTTGGAAAACAATTAATTTGTGAAAATGACTTACGAAGGTGGGCTTTCACTACATTTTCTTAGTGACCCCATAGCGAAAGAGGCTACGGACACTCAAGTCTTATGCGATTTTTTTATTTAGCTTCTATAAAGCTGATACACAGAAAGCTCACATTTTGAGACTAACAGAACTTTCTAGTCAAGAACATGCCGTCACCTTCCCATCTCAGTTTTCTTATAAGGTTCCTTAGTAAAGAACATACATGCACAGGTGTACACTGATAGTAAATGGACACTAGATTTTCATCAGGTTAAGTTTCCACCCTAAGTTTGTAGATTACAGGAAACATGTCATAGTTCCCTTTTTAAATAATATGTACAACAGTACATCTCTTAATGTGATACTAAGAATAAAACTCTATACACGTGTTACCATGTTTAAATAGCTTTTCTGCAGTCAATAATGTAGTCTACACAGGAAGTATAAGTCCACTAAAAACCAGTGAATGTTTGGTTTTTATTTTGCAGCTTATGGACACCACCTGAGGATCGACTCTCTGGCCAGCTTTGCCTCCCAGGGTGGTGGGAATCCCCCTGCCCCCGCTTCACCCACTTCTTCCTCTCCCGCATCATCCTGGCCCCACTCACAGCCCCTGGGCCTGCAGCCCCATTACCTTTGCTTGCTGTCTCTGTAAACCGTGTTCCATTTCTGGAGGAGACGCTCCACCTTGGCCTTGTCGCCCTTGCGGGCAGCCTTGTGGAGCTTGGGCACTGAGCTGCCAAAGATGCCTGGCATGGCAGCCCTGTGACTCCTCCGACCGTCCAGTTTCCGGTCCTCACCGGGCAGAATCTCAGGCCCCTTTGACCTCTCTGACTTTCAATGAACGCCAAGCAACCTCTTTTATCCAATGTCTAGGCTCTAATGGCCCTGTACATGCGCATTTCCACAAGTCCTGAGCAAGAATCGCAACCACCTCACCCGCTCCGCTTCTGAGTAAGAAGCCTAACCGCTTCTGCACGTGCACGGCCCGTGCACGGCCCCCGGGCAAGCAGCCTAACCGCTTCTGCACGTGCACGGGCCCCCGGGCAAGCAGCCTAACCGCTTCTGCACGTGCACGGGCCCCCGGGCAAGCAGCCTAACCGCTTCTGCACGTGCACGGGCCCCCGGGCAAGCAGCCTAACCGCTTCTGCACGTGCACGGGCCCCCGGGCAAGCAGCCTAACCGCTTCTGCACGTGCACGGGCCCCCGGGCAAGCAGCCTAACCGCTTCTGCACGTGCACGGGCCCCCGGGCAAGCAGCCTAACCGCTTCTGCACGTGCACGGGCCCCCGGGCAAGCAGCCTAACCGCTTCTGCACGTGCACGGGCCCCCGGGCAAGCAGCCTAACCGCTTCTGCACGTGCACGGGCCCCCGGGCAAGCAGCCTAACCGCTTCTGCACGTGCACGGGCCCCCGGGCAAGCAGCCTAACCGCTTCTGCACGTGCACGGGCCCCCGGGCAAGCAGCCTAACCGCTTCTGCACGTGCACGGGCCCCCGGGCAAGCAGCCTAACCGCTTCTGCACGTGCACGGCCCCCGAGCAAGGAACCTAACCTTCTCTGCAATGCATGTCTCTGTAGGTTCTGCGCATGCTCACCAGGTCTTCCTAGTATGCTGGCCCATGGGTTTGTGCTAGCCTGGGGATGGCCAGGTAGTTAATCATCATACAGGTTTTGTTTTCAGATTTGGAGATGTTGGGGTGAAGATGTGGGCATTATGGAAAAGGTAGGGAGATGCTGGGTTTGAGCTGGGGTTATTTGTTGTGTGTTGTAATATTGGAGAATTTTTATTTGAACTTGAGATTTTAGGCTGGGATTTATGTGGGAGAAAGGAATAGTGAGGTTGAAAACTGTGCAGTAGACTGTCAGTAAGGCCGTGTGTCCTAGAAGGAGAATGAATAGGAGTAGTGGAAGAGGAAGTAAGACCGAAGGCTTTGTTTTAGGCAGTGTAAGGTGTTTGAATCTAAAATTTTAGTGAACAATAAAAGTTTTGGTGTTGTAGGGAGAGACTGAAGTATGACAGCAGCAGTATGAGGACCAGCAGTAAAAAATGCCAAGGAAGTAAAGAGAGTAACAGAACACTGGGCTATGAACGGGTGAGGTGGAGGTGTGTAGGTCTTATGATGAGGCACATGTGTAAAATCTATTAGTCTTTATTTGGAGTGTGTTCACAAAGTTGATAGGTTGGGAAAGAAGCAGATAAATGTCTCTGAGGAGAGGTTTTGGCACAAAACAGCTGTGAGTGACCTGATGAATATTTTTAGAGAGGAATGAGTAGTGAGTAGACTTAGTAGTTTATATAGGGCTTGACTGTCTAGATGAAAGCAGTTATGTATGTTAGTGATGAGGTCTAAAACATTGATCTGGGAGGAAGAACTTGTGGGTTTGTGAATTAACTGTCACTGTATAGATGAATATTGAAGTGAAGTCAATGTGTTTGGGATAAGGGGGGAAAGACGAGAGACATATTGTTGTTGTGTAGTTAATTTAGCCTGTGTGTTCACACAGGTACTATCCTGACAGATAGACCTGATGATGTTTGGTGTCCCTTATAGTGAATGATTGTTACTTGTTTTGGAAGTTGTGTTGTCTCTAACAAATTAAGAATGAGAGGTGTATTAGTGATTAGGGGTCCCTTGTGATTACTTAGATCTCATATTTGTTACATAGTATGAGAGTAAAGTATGTTGAATGTATATTTGGAGTCAGTATAGATATTTATGATTTTGTCATTAGTGTGAGGTCCCATGTGAGGGCAATTAGTTTTCTTTTCTGGGAAGATGTTTTGAGTGGCAGTGAGCTTGCCTCTATGACTTGAAGCCTTTGATTATAGAATATTTTGTCCTCTTTTGAGGGTTTGTGTTGGCTGTATTGTCATCTATGAACTGTGTATCAGAAGCTGTAGGGAGATGAATACTGTTAATGTGAGGGAAGGGAGTAGGAGTCATCTGCAGGACCTCACTATAATTGTGTAAGGGGTCTCGTCAGAGGTGGGAAGTAAGGTGGCTTGGTTCAGGGAGATATTAACAGAGATGGTGATTGTAGGATCCTGTATAAGAATTAAGTCAACTTGTAGGTGAGACGTCATTAAGGCAGGAAATATCTTGTGTAAAATAAGGTCACTGGAGCAATGGGGTAGGTGGACAATAATTGACTGTTTTAAAGTGAACTCTTTGGCCCCTTGTCTTAGTGAGGCTGCTGAAGCAAGTGGAGAAAGGCAGGAGGTCAGCTTTGTATCATGTTGTCTGTTTTGAGAGATAGGCTACTGCTTGGAAAGAAGGGTGTGTGTGTGTGTGTGTGTGTGTGTGTGTGTGTGTACTAAAACTCCTACAGCATTATGATCTTGAGTGGTAGAAATCTTGGGTTGGCCTAAGGAGAATGAGAGCTTGGGCCTTTGAAACAGCCTCTTTTAATTTAGAAAATGAGAAATAGGAGTAGTGGATGTGAGGCTTCTGATAAAGAACCTGTGGATGCTTTTATAAAGGTTGGGCTAGTGTAGCAAAGTAAGGGATCCAGAGATAAAAGAAGTTTTTAAATCTAGAAAAGATAAAACTTGTTTTGAAGTTAGCACCTGGAGATCATGGAGATGGGCTCTGTGGTCTGAGGTTATAGGTGGGGATGAGAGTGAGACTCAGGTATTTAATCTTTGGTGAAGCTATTTGGGCTTTAGTAGGGAACACCCTATGTTTGAAACTTGAGAGATAGTTGAGAAAGGTAGCTGGATGTTATGTAGTTAGAGGATAGACTGGAGAATAGAGGAGAAGCTCATCTGTATATTGGAGAAGAAAGTCAGGTTTAAGATTGAGAGCCACAAAAAAAAAAAAAAGGTTGAGAGCCACGAGATCAGCAGCAGGGGCTCAGCTGAAGTGTGGAGTGTCCATGAAGCCTTGAGGTAGGACTCTAAATAAGTTGTGTAGATTGCAGTGTCTGGATTTGTCCATGGAAAGGCAAAGAAATCTTGGCAATTGAGGTGTCAGGAAATAGTTAAAAATGTATCATTAAGGTATAATACAGAAAAGTGAAAGGTACACAAAGAAAAATGAGAGTATAGTGTAAGCGTTTGGCACCACCAGATGAACTGACACTATCAATTGCATTTTTAGTATCTCCAGGATCTTGGACTGGTGATAGAAGCCATTGGATGTGAGGATAGGGACAATAGTGGAGTTGAAGGGTGAGTGAGTGACTTTTGGAGACCCATTAGATAATAAGCAGCAGATTATAGGTTTGAGCCCCTGTTGATGTTTAGGGGCTATTGGATATGGGGAAAGTGAGGGGTGTTTGAGGTGAATTACAAGTAATGTGTTGGCATGAATAGGATTGGAGATGTCTCAGACTGTAGGGTTGACAGTGGAGGAGGGAAGGGGAGAGGCTGATTCAGCAGCACATGACAGTTGGCTTGGGAGTCTGACCCCCATGGGCAGAGAGTATAAGAGAAACTGAGTTTTTGGAGCAGATTATCAAAAAGAGGTACAGGATAGTTTGGGATACTGAGAAGTTGTGTGTAATGGAAAAGTTTTGGAATCTGCAGGAAGTAGGTCCTGTCTGGGGAGATCATGTAAGCTGGCTGTCAATTCCCATAAGAGAGCCTGCAGAGCAGAAACACTGCCCTGAAAACTCAGGAAGAATACCATAGGTGGCCTCTGTCAACAAGAAAAGAGACAGTTTTACTTGAGACATCCAGTGAGACATGGGGCTCTTGGAGAGATAATTTGGTGGAGCCTGCAGGCCCCAAGCCTTGTCTATCCTCTTCAGTGGTGATGCTGGGCAGATCAGCTGGTGATGAGTCCAAGGCAGCAATGTCTTAGCCTGTGAGGGTAGGGAAGGTGATGACTTACTCGTTCTCACAGGGCAGTTGCACTTCCAGTGGCCCTCTTGGTTGTAGATGGGACAAGTTCCCATTCATGGCCACAGGTCAGGGCAGGCTTGTATCCAGTGTCCTTTATCTGCTGCACTTGAAGAATGGTGGAGAGGGGCTCAGGTTTTTAGTCATTTTTTCTACCTGTGTTTTATCTTGAGCCCTGAGTTCCACTGTAGCTGAAGCTACTGAGGCCAGAAATTGGCATTTGAGTTTAGCCTAAAATGCATCCTTTTTAAGGTCATCCTGTTTTTGTTGTTTTCTCCACTGTTGAAGGCATGGAAAGCCATACCTAAGAGGTATCTCTAGGGGGATTGAAGACCAAGGTCTGACTTTTTGAATTTAGTCTGAATGTTTGGTGCTGCTTGGCAAATAAAATAGAAGTTTAATCTTTTGTTGAGGGCAAAGAGTGGAAGCAAGAATAGCATCAAGATCCTTGTAGATAGGATTGAAGGATGAATTTGAGCTTTTTCTGATATCATTGTACGGGTCAGCAGCAAAGGATGTTACATGCTGGAAGATATTTGAGAGACTGGAGAGGGAAAAAGGGACATGAATGTGGATTAAGCATTTGGTACCTCTCACTTTGTAAAGGGGGAGAGGGTGGGGTGAGCATCATGTCAAAGATGGCTGGGGTGGGGATAATGAAGACAATGTGTAGGAAGGGTCATCAGATGGCAGTGAGTGCAAGCAGCTGCAAGACGGTGGTGAGAGAGGAGTGAGATCTGCTATGGTGTGGTGGTGGAGAAACTGATGACAGTGGAGTTGGGGAGGAGTGGTGAGGTGAGGAGAAGAGAAGATGGTAATGAAGGAGTAGTGAGGGAGGTAGGAGGCGGAGGAGAAGACGGTGGCACAGGCGAGCAAGGAGAGCTTTGTGGATATGCTGGGGGGATATGAGAGTAGAATGGATATGGTTTGTAAGGTCAGCACAATAGTCAGGTAAGGTTTTTGGCAGTGTGGAGCAGGATAAAAGTATTTGGTGGCCCAGCCTGGGAGGCTGAGGCAAGAGGATCATGAGTTTGAGACCAACCTTGGTGACTTAATGACTTAGGGAGAACCTGTCTCAAAACAAAAAATAAAAAGAGCTCGGAATATAGTGTAGTGTGAAGGCTCTGGGTTCAATCCCCAGAACCAAAAATAGTAATAATATTAATACTCTAATATACATTAAAAAGATGAAAAATGAAGAATAAGAAATATTTCCAGCCCACACAGGAATTTTTTTCTTGAAATTCTGTATTACTTGTACCCTTTTACTGCTTTCTTTTTTATGTCCTTTCTTTGTTATCTTTAAATAAAAAAATAAATAAATAAAAGATGGTTCATAGGCAGGGAGCTCGAACTGGGAGTGACTCCCAGGAGCTAACGCACTCTGCCATCCAAGTCATGGGCACCATAATGATAGAGTATTCTGGTGCAATAGAGAAGCAAAAGTACAAAATGAACAGGTTTATTGAGTTGAGGACGTAGAAAGGAGCACACAACCCATGGCGGTTGGGCTGTCTCCTTCCACTGGACACAGAGAGGCAGAGGGTTATATGACCTCTGATCAGGAGTGGCATATGGGGTAGATACTGGTGATGTGTGAGGAACCGATTGAAATTCTGTGTGTGTGTGTGTGTGTGTGTGTGTGTGTGTGTGCATGCAAACAGGAAGGAGAGTTGTAATTAGGGCTGAAGACAAAGAAACACCTGCGCTCCTGCATCTAAAGGAGGCCAGAACCAGTGGCAACAACAACAGCCTGAACAACCTAGGAGAGATACTGCTCACAGAAAAGCCAGCCCTGGTCCCGCTGTGGACTGAATTAAAGGAGCAAGAAACCGAGAGCTAGAGCAGGCGCGGCCCACACCACACTGCCGGAGACGGGGCTCCCCACAGCCAGACGTCGGGGCTTCCTCCCCCAGCAGCCTGCTTTTATCAGCAGATACAATGAACTGCAGTCAAACAGTGCTCCTGATAGTTAAAAAAATCTTTTATTAAAAATGCTTCTGGTAGTGGGCAGTGGGAAGTGCACAGACTGTTCAAGTGGCTGTGATACACACGCACATATACACAAACACACAAGTGGCTTGAAGAAAAGTGCAAAACCCCTAGCAGCCTAGGGCTCGGGAAGCCTGGCAGGGACACTCCGCGGGCGGCCTGGAATGGTTCACAGCCTCCCTCTGGCCTCAGCTTCTCCCTCCACAGAATGGGTTGAAGGCTGGGTTAGGGGGATTTTGAGTCCAAGCTCCTGGAATGGGGCACTGACATGGAAGGAAGCAGGATTCTGGAGTCAGAATCCCCTTCCCAGCCCTTCAGGAAGCCAGAGGCTCCTCCTGTACCTGCTCATGGTAAACAGAGCTGGAAGACAACTGCCTCTGAAGCTTCCTCTGGCTAACAGTGGGAACCGCAGGGAGGAACCTGCGGCTCCATCTGAGCCATGATGTTGTGGCATAAGCTGTTAAGGGGGACACCATAGAATCTATGCAAAACTTTGCTCTATTAGCCCGACATACTTCAGGTTCTGTCTCACCAAAGTGGACTTTGGCTTGGGCGCAGTGGCACACACCTGTAATTTCAGTTCTCTAGGAGGATGAGGCAGGAGCATCCCAGGTTTTCAGCCCAGCCTAGACAACTTAGTTTCCCAAAATAAAATAAAATAGCTGAGGATATAGCTCAGTGTGAAGGCCCGGGGTTCAATCCCCAGTGCTAGAAGAAAACAAAACTGGGCTTTGAAAGCTCAGATCTGTTGCTGAAGGTCACATGTCCGGCCAAACCCTGTTACAAGCTTTACACCGTTCCTGTCTGAGCCGGCATTGGTGGCTGCCAGGTGGCATGCGACCCTGCCTTCTGTGGGCTCTCCTGAAACCAGAGAGGACACTGTGTTCTGCAGCCTTGGTCATTAGACTTGAGGACCTGGTCCTGAGGGTGTGCACACAGTCCTTAGCAAAGTGGGGAAGAAGACCCTGAATCCTGATGAAAGCCCACTGGAGGTTCTCTTCTCCCCTCCCTGAAAGGGGAAGCGCTGGGAATACCCGACCCGGAGCCCCTGCCTGTGCAGCGGCCCCGCAGAATTATCTTAAGCAGATCTTCCTTGAATAAACTGGGGTCACTACCCGCGTATCCTGTGAGGTCAGAAGAGGATAGCAGGGTCAGGCTCCTACTTCTAAGCAGTTGCGCTGCCTCTGCCTCCCACCAGGTGGCGCCACGACCCCTAGGCCGCCCCTCCTGGGGCCTCTGGGAACTGTCCATCTACCATGGGACACAGCTAGCCTGGCTAGAGTTACGGCAGCAGAATGGACACAGTTTCTTCCTGCTATGGCAGGTCTCTGGGCTGTGGCAATGGCCGTTTCCCTCCAGGGTCCTAGGTGCAAAGGACACCATAGAGACCAAGCAGCAGCAGCCCACCCAGTGCCTTAGGCTCAATGTGGGGACTCTGCTTGGTGCCAGAGGCAGGTTCAGCTGTCCATCAGTGGGCGGGGCCAGCAGTCCATCGGTGAGAAAGGCCGGCATCACAAGCCAGCCGCTGTCCTGCTGCCGGGGCTGCCGAGGAGGGGCATGGGCCTCAGAAGATCTTGAAGCCCTTTAGGAGGGTGAGGGTGGGCGCCTTGCGCTTGCTCTGGGCACGCGATGACTTCACTGTGACCAGCTTGGCCTGAGCCACGGCGGGCATCTCCTTCAGGCTGACGGTGGACAGCGTGTTGAAAGTGCAGCTGGCCAGCCCGTGCCGGGCCGTGAGCGGCACCTGGTGCACGGGGGCCCTGTCCTCAGCGATGAAGAGGGGCCGGGCCGGGGGGGGGGTCCGCTCCAGCTCCCGCCGCGCTTCCCGCACCGCCTCATGGAACACGTGCTGAACATGCTCGAAGTCCAGGCAGGCGGAGACCTTGAAGAAGAGGCAGCCGAACCTGCTGGCCAGCGCTGTGACCAAATGGGAGGGAGGGGCAGGCAAGGTGGCCAGTCAGAGGGGCCGCAGCTCCTCACTTTTCTCCAGCTCATTTTCACACCAGCATAATGGGATTGTGACATCAGCCTCTCTCGGAGTTGTCAGAACTAAGAAACACGAGTGGCACTGAGTGCTTAGCGCAGTACCTGTTTCAGGTCAGGGCTCAATATGTTGTAGTTGACACACTGAGGAAGGAGGCGGAACCCCGGATAGACCTGCTTGTGACTGAGGTACCCCATCCCAGCCTCCTTGCTCCATCACAGCACTGGCCCCTCAGGCAGGAATGAGCCCCTGTGGTGGTCCTGGCCTGAGAAAGGCAGCTGAAGGGACCACACAGGTGACTCAGGAAGCCTGCAGCAGGCAGAGCTTTTGGGACTCAAAGGGACAGCTGTCTTCCTGCCCAGGAGACAGCCAGGGAGAGCAGGGGTGATGACATTTCACATGAGCTGGGGACACAAAGAGAAGGGGCAACATCTCTTCCTGCCTGGTCCTGGCCCACTTCTTATGATGACCGGAAGGAACATCTGAGGTTGGGAAGGTTCTAGAAGCTTCTGGCCCGAATGCCATGGAATGGAAGTAGGGGAAAGAGCACATGGGCTCTTGAGAGGGAAGAAGTCTGGAGGCCAAAGCCAAAGCTGCTGGGCTGCCCCACCCACCATTCCCAGGGACAACGGCCCAGCCCAGGAGATGACAGAAGACCCCAGGGTGGGCCTTGATGGGTGCAGGCCCTGCTCCCCAGTGACGGGAGCAACAGAGGGAGGAGGTGACCGGGATCCAAGAGGCAGGGGCAGAGCATCTAACCCCCTGCCGCAGAGACACACCCCAGGGCTGTGCCCGGGCAGTTTGCACCTGCCGCTGCTGCCCGAGGAAGCCACCGAGCGCGGGAACTCTTCCTTTGTCACGAGCTTCACCCTGAACTCTGTCCTTTATCCTGCTCTGCTGTGGCCTGGTGAGCTTCTCAGGGCGTGGGCATCGCTGCTCTAACACCATTCCCACCTTGTAGCTTGCAAGACACTCATGGGGCGGGTGTGGGGAAGGACGCTGACTTCAGGGCAGCTAAAACATCCAGTGCGAGTCCTGAGTCGCGAAGACTGGGACAAGACCCAAGAGAGAGGGGGAAGCGTCCTGACTCATCCCTGGGGACCCAATGACACTGCCTCACTCCAACCTTATATTCTCGGTCAGTTGCTCCCAAACCATTCTGAGACCACCCCTTTGGCAGTGAACAGGGACCTGTTGGTTATGTCTCCCTGCTGAAAACAGGCCTATTTGAAGCCTGGTATTCCAAAGCCCTCTCACAGGCCCTGGGATTCCTCAGACCCTGCAGTCGCTTTAATGCCACACACTCTTTCCTTGCTTCAAGATGTCATTCTCCTGGGCCCTGACTGTGGCCTGCTTTGGGAAACCACGACTCCCTTCTCCCACTGCCCACCCAGCCTGTCCTAGACCAAAGGTCCCCTCTTCTGCTAACACCAGTCACTGGAGCTTCAGAGCCTGGGAAAGCAGGGGCAAGGGGCCTGAAAGGGACGGCAGGGGGACAGGACATGGCTTCCAGGGAGAGTCCAGGAGGATTACTCATCCATCGAATGTGGCATCACAGTCTCAGCTGCCTCAGGGCCAGGAGAAGTTGGAGGGAAACCTCGGGGAACAGCGAGGCTGTGGTCAGCCAGGCTGTGGTCACAGGGAGGAGTGGGCCCTACCCCAAAACATTCCAGTTCCTGTCTTGTCGAACACCATGCCGGCCAAGCAACACACGGCTGCAGACTCTGCGGTCATCCACCTTGTGGCCTGGTCCTGACCTCTGGCTCAGGTCCAGCATCTAAGAGCTGCCCTTGGCACCGCCTGGGGGGCTGCACTGGGGTGGAGACAGAGCTGGCTGGACCAGAGTGACCCCCCTGACCCAAGGGCCTCTGGAAGCCTAGCCTTGGAATGGAACGGGCATGGAATCAACTGTTTAGCTGCTGAGATGGGACGGAGGTCACAGTGGCTTGGGCAAGAAAGGGCGAGGCCAGGAGAAACCAGAAACCCACGAGGATGGAAGGAGTGGCTGCTGTTCTGATATTCAGGGTCCAGCCCTGCCCTGCTGGTCTCTGGCTGCTGGGAAGCCCAAGGCCCTTTCTGCTCTCAATGCCTTTACCTAGGTGCAACGTCCTCCAGGCAGCTCCCTAACCCATGGGCACCACTGCGCTCACCTGTACTGGGCCATGTCCAGTTTGTTGCCCAGCAGCAGGGCCGGGTAGCAACGCTGCGTCTCCTTGGCGTGCAGGGCGAGCAGCTCCAGGTAGCTGCTGCTGCCCTCAAAGCTCTGGCGGCTGTCTATGCTGTACATCACCAGGAAGGCATGGGCCCAGTTCAGGTAGCGCTCGCAGTTCTGGGGATGTCCTGCAGTGAGGGGAGAAGCCCTCCAGGTCACAGGCCATGGGATAAAAACCTTCACCTGAGCAGTCACCCCCGCTTGTCCAGGCCGGGTCTCTGTATTGTTCCCCACCCGAGCCCTTTCCAAAGGCACACTTGACCACGGACTTGGCTTGGTGTGAAAGGAGACATTGTCTCATGACCCACCCCCTGCCCTGCCCCAGCCAGCCAGCCAGTCAGAGACTTGGAGACCTTGGCTACTTGGGCACAATGCCAAGGACATGGCACAGCCCCTCCAGGGACCTGTTGTCTCTGGGCACTGCTGGTTTGGGGTCAAGTTCACGCTGCCCTCTTGGCTTCTGTGAAGCCAAGAGGGAGGACGAGGGGGAGATGGCCAAGGGGCTCTCACAGAAGCATCTGTGTCAACAGGCATGCACCTGTCTGACTGCACAGGGCCCAAGACCTGCCACGGGTAACTCCCCAGCCCCCTTCCCATCCTCCTCATTTGGCAGATGGAAGATTTGGGCTCAGGGAAGTCAGTGTCTCATTTCAGACCACACAGCAAGTTGCACTTTTAAAGGGACCCAAACTCCCTGCCCTCCAAGGGGCAGTGGGGAGGTTACCGGGTCTGCAGTGTCCATGACCCTCAGGTGGATGGGCTGGTGGTCCACCGTCTCCTCGGAGCTGTAGGTGTCCTCTGCAACACACACAGACAGGTTGGGCAGGGCAGGCTACTAGACAGGAAGCTGCGACTGAGTCACAACTGGACCCCCGTGCCAACTGGAGGGCCCCTGGGTGCTGCTCTGGGGCCAGCGGAGGTGGATGCAGGAGGACTCTCACCGAGGAGGGGCTGCTGTGCTGCAGGGCTCAGAGCATCACAGGCCACAGCATAAATCCCTGGTGGGCAGGCCAGTGGCCAGTGCCTGGCTCACTGCAGACTCAGGAGTGGCACTGCCCACCACCCTTCCTTCCCAAACCCAAGTCCTTCTGACACCAGGACCTGGTCCATGGGAGACCCTCCAAGGACACCGCCCATCCCGGGGGTGGGGGGGCAGAGACAAGGGAAAAGAGAAGCACATGACATCTTGGACGGAGGGTGGTCGGACCCCAAAGAAAAACTCTAAGAGGGTTTTACAAATAATCCTCAACCGTATGACGAGTTTTAAGCCCCAGATGTGGAACCAAAGCCAACGTTAGCCATTTCTGAGCTGTATGCTTGGACCAAGTCAGCCGCGTCCCCGAGCTCATCAGCAGGCGGCAGCACCTCTGCCCAGCGCGGGCTCCAGGGCGGCCCCGGGCCTGAAGGCGGCGGCCGCGGCCTCTCGCCGGCGTCGGTCCCCGGGAAGGGCCGGTACTGGGGCGGCGGCGGAGGCAGCGGCGGGGGCGGCACCGAGTAGAAACCGCCACCACTGCCACCGCCACCGCCGCGGCGGGAGCCTTCCGCGGGGACCCGGGGTTGCAGACCCAGCGAAGGCTGAAGGAAGGGGGCGGAGGTCCCCGGATAAGGGCCGGGCCGCTGGGGAAGGGGCGGCAGGAAAGCCGGGGAGGGTAGCGGCGGTGGCGGGCAGCCGAAAGGAGAAGGAGGCGGCGGCTGAGGGGGCGGCGGGCCGGGGCGGGCCGGGGAGAAGAAGGGCGGCAGGGCCATGTTCCCGGTGGGCAAGCTCTGAGAAGTGACAGGAATCTCGAGCGGGTCTCCCGGAGCGTCTTCTGGGAGGAAGTGACGTCTTACTACGCGCGACCGCCTGCAACGTGCCTGGGGGAAGCAGGGCGCAGGAATGGACTTGGATTCAACCTGTGATCCTTCCGATTAAAATACTGCGAGGCTGGGCGTGGTGGCGCACGCCTGTAATGCCAGCAGTCGGGAGGCTGAGACAGGAAGATCGCTGCGAGTTCGAGGACAGCCTGAACGCACAGGGAAACCCTGTCCCAAAAACACGAAACGAAACACTTAAACTGCGAGGCAGAAACTGTCCGTTCTAGGTGGCGCTCCCCTACTTAGTGTAGGGAAAACTCACAGATCAGATACTCGCACAAATGTGGACGCGGCATGATGAATATTTGACTTAGGCATTAGAGAAAGTGAGGTTTCACTCAGACTCGAAGGATAACTAGGAGTTAAAAAAGGAGGGGAAGCACAGTTCGCATGGGAAGAGCATTGTGCTAGCAGATACAGATTGGGGTAGGGAACTGAAAAAATGCCAGTGTATACAGAGCACAGAAAACCTGAAACTGGCTCGATTGTATTCTTGAGAGTAAACAATTTTGAGAAGACTGCTGCTGGGGCCTCGTATGGCACACATCTGTAATCCTGGCACTCAAGAGGCCTCCAGGCAGAAAGATCACTAAGAGTTGGAGGCCAGCCTGGACTACATAGTAAGACCCTATCTCAAAAGAAAAAAATTAGTGTAAGAGATCTGTGTCATTGCCCAGGTTCTCTTAATGGCAACATCTTGTAAAACTATTTTTACAACATGTACTATGCCCATCCTTTTGTTCTAACCGACTCTGTTTTGTTTAGCCACATTAGGTTTTATTCTCTCCAAAAAAATAATAAGAATTGTGGGAGAAAAAAAAAAACCCAAAAAGTTTAATTGTTATTAAAAAGAGAGGACAGGAAGGTGGTCTAAGGGATATAACTGCATGTATGTTTGAGTGTGTAGAATGGAAATCCGTATTAGTGAACTTTTGTTGGATGATTGAACGGCACTGTCTGCAATCTCATTGTATGAATGTTCACTTTACATGCTTTAATTTTATAATTTGGACAACTATTTCAAAGATGACAATATGTAACCTATTAACTAGTGATATCTTACTGTATTTTTTTCCTTGAAATTCTGTATTATTTGTACCCTTTTCCTGCTGTTTTTTAAATTTTATTTCCTTTTTTTCTCTTTAAATAAGAAAAGAGAGAGAGAGAATAATAATGGAGTATCTCTCATTTTAAAGGAACAGAAAATCTTCATCCATACCAGGCCTGAACAGAATGCTCAAGCATAAACAGTAGGGGAGAGGAAAGAGGAAGGAAACAAGGAAAGAGCAGAGTGGTCATCTGGGCAGAGGACAGCATATGCAGAAGTCTATGGGCAGCATGGGGTCGAGTGCACACAAGTGAGGAAAGCCAAGTGAGTCTGAAGAAGAAAGAAAGGACCAGGACACAAAAGACCAGGCTCGAGCGCCAGGCTTCTCAAAGGCCTGGCTCATGCTTCATGGGCAAGAGGGTCAGCTAATACCAGCCTCTTTAGAAATGCTGTATCAATACTGGCCAGTTATACAAAATAAAGCTTGTCTTATCTGACATGACTTTAAGAACAGAAGGAATCCTACAGGCGCTAGAGAAAGAATTATTCTGCCTGGAGATCCTGATGTTGTTAGTTCCCAAGGGCCCCACTCGATTCTGCCTTCCTTAAAGTCTCCTTAGACTCAGTTCATATCAATTGCATTGGTTGAGTTTCAAATTTCCAAGTTTCCAGGTTAGAAAGCCATGTATTTTAACTCACTTTATCAACAAAAACACACCTTGTTTTTACTAAAAATGTTCTTCTTCTTGAAAGAGAATAAAATGATGTCCCTGAAGTCAGCTGGGTGCTTCACGTGAGTGTCTTCTGCGCGGTACTGGAGGACCCGAGAAGTCTTGTTGATTAACCAGTAGGGACTAAAGACAGAGAGCACCATGCGGTTGCCAACTCGCCTGACGTGCACCGACAGGTCAACTGTCACTGCTTCTTTGGAGTTAGACGTAAAACACACAAGAAAGAACTCGGGAAGCGTGTCACATATGCGGAAATGACCGGTCCAGTCTCTGCCCAGGTATCTGACCAGAACTAATTCCATGACTTCTCCACTGATTGGGGAATGCAGGACGTCTGCTGTACTGCCTTCTGCCAGCTCATGAGTATCTGCTGTTCCCTAAACACACGCACAAACCAAGTCTGTTTAGCAACATCTTTGAAATACAAAACCTGTATTCTACACAGCGGCTAGACTCTGCAAGAAGCAGGTTTCCTGCCAAGTCTTCCACAGAGTACCATGTTTATATACTGTGCATGCCACAATTACCAAGGACTAAAAAGAAAACACAGACCACATTTACAAAGGCAGGAACTGTCTTTGGCCATTAATAGGCCAGCAGCCAGGAATTTTGAGAAGGAAAAAAAATGCATCCACAACAAGAATCCAAGGCTGGATTCCTTTACTCAGGGACCCTGGCGGCTGGCCGCTAGCACGGCATTACTGAACACGCCACCTGACTGCCTGGTCTTCAGCTCCTCTGCTAGTCACACACCAGGCCTGACAGTCCCCTGCAGGGGGAATAAGGAAAGTGACAGCGGTCCGCTGCTCTAGCAAGCTATGTAAGCAAGGTGAATTATTTTTAAAACGCATACTAACAATACCTAAATCAGGCTCCCTTACTAACACCTTATTATTTTATACTTTTTATTTATAAACTATTCTTCTCTTTATCCACTATTCAGTTGATTTAATTAACTGCATAATTCAGAAATAGTTCATGACTAGGTAACAGAAAATAACAACATAGGTAACCAGTTTTTTTTGTTTTTTGCACCATGCTCGGGCTTGAACTCAAGGTCTCTCACATGCTAAAGCGAACTCTTTACTACAGAGCTATACTCCAAGACCTGATATTCCAGTTTCTGCATCTTAATATAACATAGTATGTACAAACTTTAAAATATTTACCATATACCACTGCTACAAAATGCTGCTTATTATTTCCCAAGACAGTAATTCTGTTATTTTTAGTAGAAACCTTGGACTAAATAATTGTAATATTAACTTTAGAATAAAAACTTTACGTAACCCAGTACTTTGGGAGGCTGAGGCAAGAAGATTACTGTGAGTCTCAGTCCACAGTGAATTCAAGGCCAGCCAGCACTACTAAGTGAGCTACTGACTCATAAATACATAAGTAAAACTTTAAGGTGAAATATTCTCATTAGATTTTCTCCTTTGCAAATAATGAAAATTTTACTTAAATTAATAAAGTAATAATAATGGCTCTTAAATTTATGGCAGATGCAACAGAGAAAGTGGTAAAGAACAAGGAGCCAAACCACACAGGCATAAATCCCAGCTCTTCCACTGACTAGCTGTGAGACTTGGCCGCCTATGTAACCCCTGCATGACTCAGTTTCCCCAGCAGTACAGAGGTTCATTAATATCCACCATAGAAGGATTAAACATGTGAAGTCACAGGACAGTGCCTAACACAAAGCAGATGCTAGTTCCAGTCTTGCTTTCATTAACACTTTTAAAACACTGTAAGTATGGTATATAAAACACTGACTTCAGCTAAAAATACCACGAAATAAACTAGAATTCACTTTGTACAATGCTGGAATCTAAACCAAATACAAGAGACACACCTCCAGTAAGTATCTTAGGGAATAGGGGAGCAGATTCCGCAGTGTGAGAGAAGGGTAGAGGTGAATGATGTACGCCGGGTTCCAATCCTCCCCGTGTGCGCTGATGTGGCTCAACTCGTCAGGCTCGGCAACCGTGTTCACAACTAGCGGCAGGAAGCTGCGCTGCACCGCCGGACACTGCAGCCTGCCTGTTACGGAACTGCTCCTGTGCAGCTCCTCCTTTCAGGGGATGTAGGTGGTCGACTCCTTGTACTGATGCTCTAAGTCCCCAGCCGGCTGGATAAACAACTGAGATCTGCAGAAAAGCAAGCCCATGTGGGCAAAGAGGCTCCTGAGAACCCAGGAGCAACAGCCTCATTCAAACCTCAAGTCAACAATGGTCACTCTATTTTACAGGTAAGGAAACATGGTTCAGGCAGGGTGGAGAATGTGCATAAAATCTCATGGCTAACTCACAGAGGAACGCTCTGCGGGAAAAAACAAAAACCTATGTGAACAAAGGTGACTGAAAAATATTTTCATTCCAAATATAAAGGCTATCCAGTAAATACAGATTTCAGAAAAGTCTAAACCATTAAAAAAGTTGCGTCCATTTGATAAACTCAATATTTATTTTTCTACAGAATAAACCATGTCTTTAAAATAGGTTTTACATGTTTTTAGATAATAATTATATGAAGTTATATTCTTCACTATCTCTAATTCATAAAGGTAAAAACCCCATTCAGTGAATTTTCAAAAATTTAATGTTTTGAAAGAAGTACCCACCTATACGAATCTAAAGGGACATGGAACTCCTCTTCGGGGCTGACTGTTCCAATGCGCTCCAGAAGTTTAACATTCTTAACCAGTTTATAGATAATAAATGGAACAGAGAAGTGGTTTTTAATCTGTTGGACAAAAATACATATAATTAGCTTTAAAAACATAAGTTAAAAGGAAAATCATTAGCTGCATACACTACATAACTAATGTTTTAAACACAATTTTGGAAGATACTTCCCTTAACAATTGAAACTTTAGGATATTTAAAGGCTACATACATATTAGGACTATTAACTATCAGCCTAAAATTCAGATATTCACATAATCTACATATTGTAATACTGTTAATCTATATCACTGTCATCCAAATAGTATTGTTGTTTAAAGATTCTAATTACATTTTCTCCATTATAATTTTTATCAATCAAATGATCAAATCACATGATTAAATAAAAAAGGACAGCAAAAGAATATAAGAAAACCAGTATTACTATCTTTTCTTGACCACAGTATGATATACATTGTATTGTTTCGTTTTTTATCTTACACTGTATTAGGGAGAAATATTCTGTTGCTGATCATATACTAAAACCTAAAATAATACACAGAAAAAGAAAAATGTTTGGTAAAGGCTTACCAGTAGAAAAGGAAAAAAAAATTTTTTTTTATTTTTTGGTACCAGGGATCAAACTCTTAACCTTGTGCCTACCAGGCAAGCACTTGAGCTACTGAGCTAAATCTCTGGCCTGAAAAGGAAATATTTATACAGACTAAGATGCCAAAATTTTTTTTCAGGAGAATAGCTCATTTTAACAGTCCTTGTTACACGCTCAAAAAATATAACCCCAAGTGATATACAAAGAGAATGATGTTATCCTATGTGACAATCAACTGTAATTATAATTTTCATCAATTCTTAAAGAAATACGCAAAAATATTTCATTAATGGTAAACAGAGGAGATACAAAAATGGGCTTTAAATTTAAAAATTTTATTAACCATTTAAAATAAAGAACATTACAAAAGCAAATTAGGGAATAGAAATGACATCATTACTGATGTAATGCTGTGTTGCGATATTCCAAAATGAGTTAAACTGAGAACTGAACAGTATACACTTCACTTTAAAGTCACCTGCAGCGCAGAGCGGAGGGTGATGACTTTATTCCCTTCGGTGGCATCAATCTGTACCAAGACGGAGTCTGAGTAATTGGCATGGGGATTCCGCACATTGTACAACCGCCGTCCAGGTCGGGCAACAGGGACATTGGCAACCTCTGTGTATCCATGTGGTACTAAGGCAGAGGACAAGTGAAAAAAATTCTAAATATTTATTTACTAATATGTTTCCATCAGAATAGTTACCCTGCCAAAACAAAGACAAGAGTATTCTTCTTGTGATTGGAAATAATCACCATGAAATACTTTTCTAAAATACAGGGTTTTAAAAAAGAGAAAAACTATTACTGATACAACATTTTTGACCCTAGATAATTTGAGCAAGTCAGTTTAAATATACGAAAACAAACAAAATGTGACAGATTTCTTATTCTCTCAACTATCCAGCAACAACTTTCTTGTAACAGTACTTAATTATTCTCACTATTTTGGGACTGCTATCATCCCAAAACAAGAAACAAGTATCAACTATTTAATCCAAGTTTTTACAAGTGTTTTTTCCCAAATAAGTATGCAGCAAAATATTTTTCTATATTTTATCAAAACTAAGCCCACAGTGATTCTTAAGGTGCTCCTGAAGTAAAATGCAGCATACCGAAAGTCAGCGTGAAGAAGGAACTCTCCTGACGGCTCAGCACAGACAGCTTCCCTTGAGAGGAAGGTTCCGTGCTGGCATACTCCAGTTCCAGATGCTGACCGGCATCCACACCATAGACATTGCTCTTCCCTGGGGAGCCCATCACTCTCAGGTTACGACTGAGCTGCACCTTCATGGGAACACCTACAGCATTTCTGACCGTAAACGGAGCTCTGTCTTTTAAAGAGTAATCGAAAGTAGAAGCAGTGCCCTCCGAAAAACCCTGAAAAGGAATGTAATGCCATGAGATAGTTACAAAATGTACATTTCTTTCAAACACTTTCCCATGCATACACATTTCTGAAACTAATTTTGATCACAGAAGAATGTATACAGTACATTTCACTCTTAAATTCTACTTGAAATATTCCAAATAAGAGCCACACATACTTTTGCTAAATTGCTGAAAACATTGAGACACGTTTTGGATATTGTTATATTCATTGTGTCTGCTGAAGAAATATAAATTGCCATTTTGGGCTCAGGAATAAAATCATCTCCTGGTATCAAACTTTTATCCTGGATCGGGTTCTTCTTTACCTACAAAGATAAATAACATAAAAATTTAAACAGCCAGTTACTAACAAATCTAAGATAGTCAATAGTGTTGAATTTTCCTAAGCTGGCACTTTATAGTAAGGCTCCTCCAAAGCATCATTTTCAAAGCTATTCAGAGGTTTCCTCTGCTCAGGTGAGGTGAGCGCAGCACAGAGTCTACTCTGGGGAAATGCTTTGAACTCTGTCAGCCACAGAACCTGTTCCATGCATACCTCCCACCCAAGATCCCATCTAATCATCCGGTACTGCCCAGCTAGTAACTATGAGTTGATCAGTAATAAAAGGTGATCCTGAAGTCTGAATCTGTCCTTATTAGAATATCATCTAGAAATAATACTTTCTTGTCTTCTGCTTTTTATTGGTAACATCTATAAATAAGTAATATCAAGCTTTCAACCAGCCCCCAGATTCCAGCTATTGCAATATTCATGGTTTTGTTCTAACAGAGTTGCAAAAGCCACGATTTCTGGTTACTGTCCTTATGCCAGAGAGAGGGAGGCCAGAAATACTAGTTCTACTTCATTTGGAGCACACAGGACACAAGTTAGAATCTTCTTTGTCAGCGTCCACGTGTAACAGCCCCGTGAGGCCGCTCTAGAGAAGTGCTCTGGGACAATCTGCTAATGCCAGCTCACACACTGGGTACTCGAGAAAACCAGGCTCTGCAACCCAGGATTCTGACACACTTGGAAAAATACCAGGAAGAGATAATAAGGAAAGTTCATAAATTAGTGGTGATTCATAAGATTTTTAGTTACACCCTTAAAAAAAATCATTATCTCAAAGAGCTTCATTTATGAAAGCTTCGTTTATCTACCAATACATATTCTATTAGAAATGAAAACTGAGAAAAACTTTAATATTTATCCAAAACTAAGTTAATACAAGACAACATTTTAGTGAAAAGTATTTTTAAAATACAAATAGTGAGATAAAGGACATTAATAAACTTCTTCAGTGCCTGCTTAAAAGACAGGTGGTCTCATCTCTGCTTTGCAGTCTCCTACAGAATCACACTCACGTACTTTCCCGAAAACTCCATCACACATTCATGAGGATGAAAATTAAAATGATATATAATGTCTGAATATACACATAAAAACATTTTCTATCTTACGCATACAATAAAAGGGCTCCACAGGTTCTGGACTACATCTTGACAAGAACCAAATTAAAGAACATCAATGAACACGTGCAGTGCCACTCCATACAGAGATGCTTTACTGTGTCCTTACATCAAGCTTTAAGTTCCATTGTTTCTTCCCCTCTATTCGCTCGATCAATGGCTCCCACACAGCATGAATCTCATTGTAATAGTGAACCTGGCACAGAATTATAAAAGGTCAGTTTTCAACCTTAATTATGCAATTCTGGAACAAGCAGGAAAACAAGTAATACGATACAGTAATAGCCGTTCAAAACCACTTGCCTAAAGACACAAAAAAGTACCTAAAAAGAATGTATTTCCCTTTATCCCTTTATTTCTTGTCATAAATCATTTAGCACAAGACTTCTTAAAAACAGTTACCACATATACAGTTACACAGCCACAAACTGAATGTCAGCATATGTATCTATTCATATATATCATCTAATTCAATCATGCACAAACAAACTATAAGAGAACAAAACAAACAGGCAACAACAGAACCTGAATCTTAACCCCACAGTGTTTTAGGCAGCTGCCCTTGGGGTACTCCACCATGTCTCCATACCTGCAGTGTCACATCAGCAGTAGCAGCCAACAGGGAAGTCCAATTCTTAATATTTCCTGAAAACTTGGACTCTGCCAATAGTAAAGGCACAGTTCGGTGCCCAAGGCCACATTCTAGAGTGACTTGGACCGATTCCACAGCAACAGCACAGTTTTCCTCTATCAGTGGATGATCCATCGCTCTGAAACTTTCTGTTGCTTCGGTTGCCATGTCAACACCAAGAAACCAAGAATTATAATCATCAATAGACTTGATATCCCAGAGACTTTCCATTTCCTTAGATGTGTCTCTCGATTCATCCTCTTTCATCTTTGGAGACATGGCAGCCATTATTGTCATCACAGTATTCAGAATGATGGGTGAAATCTTTCAGAAGCAAAGCAGAGAAAAAATCTTGAAAAAATTCTTTCCCAGATGAGAATTGAAACACACATGTTAAAGCCTTTAAAAAGTAACAAGTTAAAATTTACCTGGTTATTCAGCTCCTAGCTAATGAAAATATGGATTAAGGCGTGTGTCTCTGTGTAACGCCACGTCCTGCTCACAGAACCTGAAGCAATTAATGCTGCGCAGCAAGAGTCAAAACTAACCACCAAGCTGAACTCACAGCATGGCATCAACCAAAAGCGCAGAACTCCAACCAGCTAAGTTCACTACGTCAAGACACCTGAACTGAACAGAGAGGCATAGCAGTATCTCCCTCTGTCTTATAGAAAGGAGAAGGCTGAAATCACTCATGGATCCCACTTGGCTCAACCAAGATCCCTGAACTTTGCTTCTGATATCTCTGGGTAGAGCCTCTGCTCACTTTCTCATTCCTGCACTGCGCTTTAGTTCTGACACTGAGGACATCTTTGTCTTATTTGTTTTTCAATGTCTTAATTTAGTCTTGTGGTGCTGGGGACCAAGCTCCAGGTCAAGCCACGTGCAAGGCAAGCACTCTACCTGAGCTACCGCTAGTGGCCAAGTGCTGAAGGTATTTTTTGTATCCAGTCAGCACTCTGTCCTCCTATCCTTCAAACTGTCACCAGCAGAGTTTCTTTAACCCTGACTCCATGCATATCACTCCTATGCTTAAAATCTTCACTGAGCTCCGTAACTTTCAGAATGAAATTCAAACGCTCTTTGGCTTGGTGCACAGCACTCTTTGTGAGCTAGTTCCTAGCCTATCTGCTAGCAAGGGTTCTATAAAGTTTGAGAAATACTCAGTTAAATAATTTAAAAGGATTCCTTTACTGTTAACTTCTCACAACCCTTTCTTCACTAACACACTAAACACATACAACTGCTTCATCACAAAGAGGATCTGATGTACACCACATTCCTGACCTACTTGCCTGCCAACCGACTGCTTTCTTTCTCCTTGTCTTATTAATGTTATCTGTAACTAACATCCCAGTCCTATGACTCAAACACACCGCTGAATGCAGCCATGGGGACGATCCTTCTAAGTTCTTCAAAAACATTCTCCAACCTTTGCCTCTGTGCAGACAGCAAATTCAGTCTGGAAAACCTTCCCCTTCCTCTCCATCTATCTAACTTACACCAACTTGCAGTCCTTAGTCCAAGATGTGTCCCTTTCAGACAACTTTTCTTGATATCCTAGTCTGAACCGCAGCCCCCTTGTTCATGCTGCCAGCAGCTTCTGTGCACGCCTCTAGCATTCGAAGTTACAATCACCGATCTACTGCTCTTCCCCTGGTCATTAAGTTTGTTGAAAGCAGAGACCATGTACTGCCAATGTCATACACAGGGTGTGTTTTTAAGTATAGAAGGAGATCAAAAATGATTTATACAAAGAAAAGAAGTCTCCATAACACTTACCCTAATGTCTTAGAGCAAACACAAGCAAATGCATTTTTATTATGCTACATCATTTAAAAAAAAAGTAAATTCATGAGAAAAACACAATCTAAGCCTTTCTAGTGTTTTTGTTTGTTGCGTGCTTGCTTTTTTTTTTTTTTTTTTTGTCTTTCTCATTTTTATCGGCACCAGGGATTGAACTCACAACTGCCTGCTTGCAAGGCAGGCTCTTATGCCACGGAGCTAAATTCCCAGCCCCACGTGCTTGCTTTTTTCAAAACAGGATCTTGCTTAGTTCAAGCTGCATTTGAATTCACTATGTACTCCAAGCTGGTCTCAAACTCATGGCACTTTTCTTGCTTCAGGCTCCTGAGTGCTGGGATTGCAGGCATGTGCCACCACACCTGGTTTTACCCAGTACTGTTTTAAACTGAAAAAAACCTGCGTTGTTATTTAAAATGGTTCAAATGATATTAGTTTAAGTATTAATCCAATCATACTGGTCTCTGACCTACAAAAGTAAAGCTAGTATCATTTATGCATCACTAGAATTAACTGTCTCATCTTTGCATCTTTCAAAAGAGAGCAAACTAGATTTGAGAAAGTATCATGTGCTCCCTATTTACAATGGGGAATGAAGTCCTACTGAAAGAATTTTGAATGACACTGGAAAATAGATTGTTCTTTAATATTTTAAATGTAAAAGATCTTTTAAAAAGCAAACCCCAGTGATTTCCAGCATACATCTGTCACCACAAATATAAGCTAAGTATCTAATCACATACTTATCAGGCCAAATCAAACTATACATTAATAAAAGCCTAAAAATAATGTCTCCATCCTTTCTTCGTTTCTCTATCTCTTCTCTCCCCTCTGACACATACACCACACACAAATGCAAATAAAACAGAGAAAACTACTCCTGCCAGGTATAGGTATTAAAAAAGTAGTCTCTTAAAGAAAACAGAATAAGCACTTAAAATGTATTTTAACCCAGAGGCAATCTGATTACCAAATATGTGACTTACAGCAATGCTGAGACCAAAGACACTATTTCAAGAATTTACACACAAAGAATCTGTCAGGCACCAACCTTAATTATAAATTCTTTAACCATAATATTGATATTCTGTTTTCCCGAGGCCCAGGTACATTTTTCCATAGATAAAGAGCATGGCTGCAAGACCTAGACAAGTAAATGAAAAGTCACATTTTCATTAATGTTTACATAACATGCACTTACACAAACCATGTCTCACTCCACTGAGATTCTGAACTATAAACTACTATTAAAAATTACATTAGCTAAGACACTCTTGTGAAGGTTCTTCTGAATTACGACAAGTCCATGTATATTGTTAAAGGACTTCAATCAGTTCTGATGAAGTTCTTCATTCCAAATGCTGATGTAAAGACACACATTTACTATCAGAAATTTAAAGTGTTTCTTTTTCCAAACATATTTTTTCAGTGACGCACTCTGTAAAATATAATTATGAGGTATCTACAAAATGAGCTGATGACTAGAGCAGGGGTTAGGGTAAATGACCAGTTTCCAGATGATTATCCAGTTAGTCCCGAGGAACACAGAAGTTCTTTGTCATGTGACTCCACCTGAGTTTTTTTTAATCTGAGCTTAAACATTTATTTTTCTCTCATTCGATATACTTAGTGAACAAAAGAAATAGCTGAAAAACACTGATCTGAACTAAAATTCAACAGAAGATCATGAAAAGAGGACTAGTCTGGAGGCAGCCCCTAGTTGTTTCCCTAGCAGCCACAACTCGCCAGGTAACACTGGCAGAACTTGACCTCTCTGCCTGCAAACCAGAGGTTGTACTAAATAATCACTTAAATCCTGGACAGCACTCAGGCTCTGAGATTCTCGGACTCAGCTATTTCTGTCATTCTTCAGTTGAGGGCCCAAGGCAGTGCTTACTGTGGTGATGGTTTGCCCCCTCTTCTCTCTGAGGAAAGGACAAGCGAGCACTCTCAGGTCTTTGATGGATGCCTCCGTCACCTGCTCCAGCCCAGATGCGGACACACAGAGCTTACACTGGAAGGAGGCCGACAGCGCAGGAGCGTCCGCCCTGCTCAGGCTGGCCACAAACACCACTTCCGGGTCTGTGATCTTGGCCTTCAAGGTCATGTTTCGTCTTGCAGAATCATCTGGAGAAACAAAAACGGGGACCAGAAAATTTTTAAAGTAAATCTTCCTATGGCTACAATATTATCAACAGGCTGTTAAACTGTTCTCAGTATTTTTCCTATAATGGGTATAGTGAAAGCACTAATTTTGAGTTGGTTAATTAATACTAATAATGAAATGATTATTTAGTAAGTGGTAATTATGCAAAAAGATGCAATCCAAAAACTGCCCAAAACAGATCATTCCCATTTTGATCTTTGATATTTTGGGGAACAAAGCTGTTTGGAAGTTCTTCTGGTCAGAGTCAAGGCAGGCACTTGTATACATACATGAGAATGTGTGATTCTATGACACAGGGGCCAAGAGGAGGAAAACAGAGAGAGAAATAACAGGAAGAAAAAGAGACATCCTGATAAAGATGTTAAACTATTCTTATTTTTTACTTTGGCTTTACCCCAAGGATCAGAGTCAAGAGTCATATTATCTATACTATAAATATGTTCAAAATATAAATGAATGCAGAGATATCAGTATGATTACTATTTAACAAACATTTAAAGTAAGTAAATGGAAAAATAACATTCTGATCTTGCCAGTGTTAGTTTCCAACATACTGGCTTAGGCATTGCAGAGAAAACGCCTGACCTTAAGTAATAATAATTTAACAAGAAAATCACCGATTGGTATAAAGGTGATGGGATATAAAATACAGGGCAGGGCTCAATGTGGATTCAGCATATTCCCAGGAAAGAGTTAAAGGTGACATCTAAGGGAACCCTGCTAGCTCCTGCAACAGCCTCACCTTCTTCTATCTTTTCAACTGTTCCTCAACATGATACAGTTCTTCAAAGTATTTTCCTGGACTAAATGACCCACCTATAAAATAGCCCTCCAACCACTTACCCCAATTAACTTCCTTTCCAGATGAGTATAGAATGTGAGTGACATGACAAGTCCCAGAGCAGAGTCCCTGCCCCTAATATGCTTCTACTATATACTTCTCACTTAAAAACATTTACTAAGATGTTTCTGTAAAGTATGTTTAAACCTAAAAGCCTAATTTTATTTTCTCAAACCCAATATGTCTCTTTCTTGCTGTTTGTAATTTGTGTTAAAATATACAACAAGCTGTCATCTAAGACAGATACAGTCTGCTAACCTTTTTCTGTCTTGACTTTCCCCATGGTAATGTGTCTTGATGGCATTTGTATTTCCTTCGCCGTATTTTCTGGGCTCTGAGGCACAGCTTTGATGAAGAAATCTGCCACAGTCATCAAAAACTCCACACTGGCACACACATACAGCTTGTCAAGAACAGCATCAATTAGACTTGTGTTTTTGTCTTGTTTGTAATGAATATCAATCATAGAACTGCTGCTATCTTGGTCATTCTTTCTGTCAATCATTCTGAAAAAAATACACACATATCACTCATTATTTTATCTCCCACTAAAAATAAAAATTATGAAAGTTTTCCTATGTATTTTAAGAATTCTTTCATCAATTAGTTTTTATCTGAACATAAAATAGGACAGTGTTAACTGGATATAATAAACCAACTAGTAACCAAAACATGTTTCCCCATTTCCCAAACAAGGTGCATGAGATTAAGCAATTATATTTTATAATCACAATTTAATACTAAAGAAATATTATTAGAAATGACTTGAGCAAATTTCAAAATGTATAAATGCAGTCCCAATATTTCACTAAATAAAAGAATTCATCTTCCTAAAAGAATTTATCTGCAAAAATCATCCTATACATTTGAATTCCAAAGGTATTTCATGCAACTCAAATCAGCACACGTTTATCAAGGGTCTGCAGACTTCCGGGAGAACATGGCGGACAGATAACAGCAACTACTGGAGGCTCTCTGAAAAACTAGGCTCAGAAGCCAGGAATGGTGCGGACTAAAGAGACATAAGCAGGTGGAGTTATGCTCTGCTGACTCAGGAACGAACTGGGCTGAGAGAAACCAACTTGGAATGCAGTCCTGGTGCTAAAACAGGAACAGAAAAGCCTCGGTGCGGAGGCTGGACCCCGCGCCATTGGAAGCCACGATTTGGGTTTCCCGCCGCGCGGTGGCTGGCTGCCTCTACATCGGCTTGGCAAGGAGAGAGACGCGCGGAAGCTCTGAGAACGGGAGTCTGTGAACGGAGTTGAAAACAGAACGGGCAGGGAGGCGTGTACTGACTTGTGGCGAGGTGAGTGAGAGAAACTGACACTCCACCACAGTTTGACTCCAGCGGAGGATTTTCTGGGCCCGAGCAGTCCTACGGGAGCAGGGCGTGGTGGTGACTCCAACCACACATTCCCCTCGCGGGCGGGATTGGTGAACAGTGCCTGGCCTGCGTGATGCTGCCGGCGGACCCAGTAGGCTGGCCCAACCCAGATCCCAGAGCCTGACGGTGGCCGGGAGGGGAGACGTGTAGGCTGCCTGGTCCGTAACTCCCTGGTGCCCAGCGGTGAGCGGGAACACCTAGCCAGCACAATTCGATCAGGCTGTGGCTGACAGGGAGGGAAGTTGGGCCTCCTATGTAAGCTTGCATATATATAAGGAACAGAGAACATGGGAAAAGGCAGCAACAAGAAAGGCTCCTCGGCCCCCAATTCTTAGAAACAGGCAATAGCGGACAGCGCACCAATAGACATTAAGCGCCATATAGAGAGCCTCATAGACCAATTCAGGAATGAAGTTATCAATGACCTGAAGCTAGAAGTATGCAGAATAGTTAGAGAAATGCTAAGCACCACGCAGGAAAAAACAGATGGTGGAATGGAAGAACAGAAAAAGAGGGGAGAATTGTTTGATGAAGAAAACAGAAAGCACAGAGTACGTGAAGCAGGTTCAAAGGGACTACCAAGAAATTAAGAAGTCTATCGAAGACTGGCATAACAGCTTGAAAGAAACTAAGGACAGACTATCTGAACTGGAGGGCAGACTTGTAATATGGGAGAATGAAATGGAAAACTTCTTAAAAATAACAAAGAAACAAACAGCAATAATACAAAGACAAGAAGATGATAAGAGGATCCATAACTTAAGGATCAAGAACATAAAAGAAGAAGTAGGAACACAAACAAGTGAACTTCAAAAGCTACTCACAGAAATAATCCAGGAGAATTTTCCTAATTTAGCAAAAGGTAAAGATACTCAGATGTATGAGGCATACAGGACCCCAGCTACCTACAACCCAAACAGAGCAACACCCAGGAATATAATAATAAAAATTCCAGAAATTCAATACAAGAACAGAATATTAAAAGCTGTCAGAGACAAGAAACAGACCACTTACAAGGGAGCACCCATCAGAATTACAGCAGATTTCTCTGCACAAACCATCAAATCACGAAGAGCGTGGGGGGAAATAATTCAAGCTTTGAAAGATAATAATCTCTAGCCGAGATTGAGATATCCTGCACAACCGTCCCTGGAAATTGATGGAAAAACAAGGTGCTTCCAGGATAAAGAGGAACTGGGGGAATTTGCAACCACCAATTCAACTCTACAGAGAGTATTGCAGGATATTCTAAAAAAAGAAAAATACAAAGAATCCAGAAATAGTGGCGGGGAGGCCACAACGAATGGAGCAGAGAACAAAATGAGGAAGACAAACTGACAGCTACTAACAGAATAACAGCTCAACAGAAATGAGGCAGAGAAGATTGGATGATAGGAACAGCTATTTTGGAGAAAATGACATCTTAATAGGTAATTCTGATTTAGCATCATCTTGTTTTGAAGTCTCATCTAGCCTTTGTCCTTCTGTCTCCAATGGTCTAAATAGGTTGTATCTTATTGGATTTTATTATGTATGATAGTATAAGCAAAAACCTTTTAAAGACAAGGAGATTATACAGAAACCATTGTTCATTTTCTGTTAGTCGATTCTAAATACTCTGTAATGCTGTCATTCTCTTAAATGGTTTTACATTGTTTTGATATACTTAATGCTACAGTATACGAAGTTGTGCTCAAAGATTTCAAGGAAAGAGACAATATGGTAACTACTTTTAGGTCAGGATTATCTGGTGGTGAAACACTATTCTGCTTAAATGGCTAGGTTTTGATCGGCGCTGTTTCCTTGTTATGCCCTCTTTTATCTCAATCTCCACTCCATTATTTACTTTTTTATTTTTATCCTTTTAATTTAAGGAAAAAAAAGAGCAGGATATATTATAGTAACCCACTTTGACTTTCCATTACCTCGATTTAAAGCCCTGTATTACTCTCACCATCTGGTTTTTAACTGATGTTCCCCTATTCTGTTTTGCTGGATAGTATCAGGTTTGAAAGTTTAGGCATCAGCGGTGAAGATAATGAGATTCATTATAATGCCCATTCTCATTGACTGTTATCTACTTTTGAAGACCTACAATGTCTCCAATGTTTTGGTTTTGTCGGTTTTTTTCTTTACTGTTTTGTTCAATTGTATTATAACTAACGATATAGGCAATTCTATTAGAGATAACGGGAGGCATTATGGTAACCATTGTTGATCACCTTGTATTATGTTTTTACATTATCTATTATGTCCACCCTTTTGACTTGACCGATTCTGTTCTGTTATGTCACATTTGGTTTTACTCTCTTCCAAAAAAGTAATAAGAACCATGGGAGCAATGAAACCCAAAATGTGTAATAGTCATTGTACAAAAGAGAGGAAAAGAAAGTGCTCTAAACTATATAACTGCATGTATATTTAAGTGTATAAGATAGAAAATGATATCACAGAGTTTTATTGGATCATTGAACAGAACTGTTTGCAGTATCATTGATGGAATGTCCACTTTACAAGCTTTAATTTTGTGACTTGAACAATTATTTCTAAGATGACAATATGTAATCCATTAACTAGTGATTTCCTACTGTTCATTTTTTTTTCTGTAAATCTGTATAACTTGTACCCTTTCTCTGCTTTTTTTTCTTTTCTCCTTAAATAAAATTTAAAAAAAAAAAGGGTCTGCAATGACAGTTCCTATGCAGCTCCACATGTAATGTAAAGACCAGGCTACCTAACAGATTTCGACATTTATCACCCCATCTAGAGAGCTGCGGACAGTTCCCTCGACGTAAAATTCCCGTAGGAGAAAAACTGCTGCATGGCCACGCTACTCATTTATTTCTCCAGGAAATACGGGGTTTAGCACTATCCAATACGTACTCAATAGAATACAAGAGTAAGTAGCAACACAGCTTTTCTCCAAAGAAAACCAGTAAGTAAAAAATAGTACATGTCTCATTATTTCAAAAAGGAATAAAAAATTATTAGGCTACTGAAGTTACACGTTTCTAACTTCACAGTAGGCTGATTCTGTCAAAAATGTGTTGATAATGTGATTATGCTTGGGATTCTACTCCTATTAAAAGTGACAGAAATTTTGTAGAAATGTTTTAAAAGACAGACAAAATAAGACAAAGGAAAAAGTCATAACTTTAAGGATTTTTAAAACATGATTCTGGTGAATGGAGATAATTTGAAAAAATATATCACCACATATTTAACTACTGAAACTCACATTGTGGTAGTTCCATTTTTAAGACAGTACTCCAATTTATTAATAAACTTTCATTTAATATAACCATCCCAGCAGCTGAATCTGATATTAGCATTACTTCTTGATGCAATTCAGATTAAAGGTCTGACCAAAAAGACACAAATATTTTTTGAAGAACCCAAGCACAGCAAAGCCTGCAGTGATGCCAGGTTCAGGGTTAGCCGTGAGTGGCATCCAGCACCCTGCGAACTGACAGACCTGGACGTGGCTCTCTCGATGCCTTATCTGAGGTCATCAAGCGTGCATGTCTTCAGCTTAAGGCTGACATTCACTGAGCCATCCTTGAACATCTTCCCTGCAGAGGCCATCAGGTACAGTCTGAGCTCACCGAGACGAAAACTATCATTACGAAATGCAAGTTTGGACTCCTGTGGTACATTTTTCAAACAAAAGAATCAATTAGCTTTAAAAATCATGTAATATTATTAAACATATTTAACCCAGAGCTAAAACACAAATCAATCTCATAAATTTTCAAAGCACAGGTGGGAAAACACAGAAATGGAACAGTTACGCATTGTCTATGAGTACATACGTACATACAAATAAATGCGTATGTGTCCTGATCCTCAACAATAGTTAATATATTAAAAGTAACCTGATATAGTTTGAAGTAAGTGTGACTAATTAGCAAATAGTTTTATCAGATAATATGCAATTCAGCTAATAAACATTAATGAGCTCTTCTGTAAACAACAGTGATAAGAACTAGGGACTTCATAAGAAAAAATAAGCCTTACTGTTGATCTCAGTGATTTTACACCTTAGTTGAAAGAATAAACTAGAAGTACATTAAAAATAACAGTCCAACGAGATGCTACAAGTTGTACATAACTACATACCTTGCGATATATATTAATTTTTATTAATATTTATTAGCATCCGAACTTCCACAAAGCATATAAAGTAGTTAGATAAAAAAGTACAAACAGTAAAAACTCGGAGAGGTAAAATTAATTACTGTAGGCTGCAGGTTAAGAACATAACTGTGTGGTGGAGAATGAGGAAGACCAGATAAAGGGAAAGATGTCCACACGGGGAAAGCGTGAGCATGTGAGGCACTCTCAGGGCACAGGGCACCTGCCCTCCTTCCCTGGAAATGAGACCTAGCCAAAAAATAATCAGCCTTGGAAACCAGAGATGAAAAATGCCAGCCCCAACAGCCTATCTGTCCCTTACCTGCCATCACTACACTCTTGCTGCTCTTTAAGGGGGGTAAAGTGAGGATATGTGGATTAGGATGACAATTTTGGTCTCCAGTTTTCAAGGTGTATTATCTTCCAGTTGGGTCTTACATGGGGGGAAAACTATAAGCTTGAACATTCTAGTTAAACAACATAGGGAATGAGGATAGAAGGAAACATGGATGCCTTAGGGCTCAAATGATGATCTGCACTTTCAGTTCTAGAAATGGGGGCCTCAGTCTTCATTCCACCATAACGTAAGTCCACATACTCCAGGTAAGCCCAGATTTTACAAAGAACAGACCTGACCCAACTGATCAACCAACAACCTTATCAGCCACAGTGGCTCACTAGACACCATGGCTTTGTGAATAGCACCAATGACCTGCAGTCAGATACAGTGGTTAGAAGGCCACAATTCCTTTCATTCCAGGTAGGAGACTGCATGTAAGTAGGTTAAAATGACATTACTGCCAGTAAGCTTTGAATGCCTTCACCTTATGAAGAGAGAACTATTTTGCAATTTTTGTTCTTTAACTATTGACAGAAATGACCCGAGTCACAACTAGTGATCACAAGACACTACCTTTCCTAATATGGCTCCTGATGTAGACAACTTGGAGACCCATTGTTTCCTAAGGGGACACTCACACACTGTAAGACAGAACCCCTGTAAGGAGAACGGGAAGTTATAAGTGGCCACTGGAGATATACTTATGACACTTGGACATTGCACCAATGTCTAAGACAAATCAAACAAAGCCACTGCAGTACAAGTGTGAGCTGAGGAAGAGTCTTGCACAACAAGCAGCAGTGAAAACAGACAGGAAAGGACAATGTACACTGACAAGAAAAGCTTGACGGTACTCAGTGTCTAAAAGAATACAAAAAGTAAACAAGGAAAGAAGTAAAAGAAGAGATGAAAATTTGAAGGCTGAGGAACCAACAGATAGTAGTCCTTAGATGAAATCAAGGTTCTTTTAACTGCTCCTTTCCTGTAAGGACATTCTCTGATGGTTTCACGCAGACTGGACAGCAGAAATTAAGACAGCTCACTGCATAAATCATGGACACTAAACCAAAGTTCAACAGTAACAACGTACAAATAGTATACTGCTTTAATCTTAGAAAACAGTATGAAATCAGTATATGAAAATGCACATTAACAGATGTAATACCTAAAAACTCATAGATTTATGTGAATTACATATGCACAATAGGTATTAACATATGGCATAATTGATAGAATAAAAATATTATAGGACAGAATATAATTAAAAAAAACAGCCTTCAAAAACACCACTGAAACATTAGCGTCTACCATTATAGAATTAGACTTTGGTTCTTAAATTTATTAATAGTATTATTAATACAAATTCACTATATATAACATTCATTTTATAGAAACACAATCACTGTTTACATTCATAGACAATCATGAATTTCAGAATAATTGTCCAAAGCTCTAAAGCCATTAAATTATTCTTAAATAGGTATCTACACATATGTATTTAGCTATGTCATAAAATGGAACATATAATTAATTGCACATATAAAAATCCTCTATTAGTGCAGATCAAAACACACTTTGGTGTCCATGTTAGCTAGAAAGAACTGGTATACCTTGGCCTACTGAGATTAAAAATAGAAATCCAGAGAAGACCGGCAGCAGAATCAGCACATGCACATGTGGCACAGGACAACCAACACTGGCAGATACCTTAACACTTCCTAATGAATACTTAAGTGACAAAACGTTAGTGTTTTCTTTTAATTTTAAAGAGAGTAAAACAGAACAGTAAAATGAAACAAAACAAAACAAAACAGTGACAGGACAGTAGGAAATCCACTATTGTTACTATACTGCACATTGTTATCCCCTAACAGCTGCTCAGACTACCGGCCCCAGGCTGCTTCCCTACTTTAGCTATTGTTCTCTGAGCCCGTGTGGCATCCAGCTGCTTGAGGGGTTGGCAGAGAGGCCTGGGGATGGCTTCCTTGTTGCTTCTCCTCAGCAGGCAGGCAGGCAACTATTCTTAAAACAAATACCAAGAGCAACAATGCATCCCCACCAGACACTTTACTACATACCTGACTGACGTCACTGTTATAAAGGATAATGGACAGAGATGCAAAATGAAAGTCAAATTGGAGTGTGACGGTCTGGTCCAAAGAAGTCTGTCAAATCTTCTTGTTCTCATGGTTTAAACATGAAAATTAAAATTATAAAGATTTTAAGTAAGCACATTATTTCATACATATTTTAAAAGCTGAGATAATAATTTGCTGTACTAAATTTATGTTATTCCTTCCAGTACTCTTTAAATCATATTATGTGACAGTATATAAAAGCAGCAATGATTACCTTATATTTAGTACAGGGCAAAGTGGCAAAGGGGAGACTAAACAGTATTTCAAGGCAGTTTTAACAGTTCTTCAGTGTAAGATCACTTGTTATCATTTTTCATATCAAGGCATTTTCACCTGCCTGTTTCCAACCATCCTCAAGAGGTTACGAGACAGAAGGCACAGAAAGCCGGAACATGTGGGTCCAGGTTAGGCAGTAAAAGCTTTGCTGAAGAGCACAAGTCTTACTACCTTTAAATACCCACACTGCTCACCTCTGCCTTCAGAAAGTATAGGATATAACTCAGCGGTAGCATCAGAGCTCAAATATGATGGAAGCTGGGGGGAAACTTAGGAATTTTGAGATGAGAGAGACTTCAAGAAAAATTTAGTCTTTTTTCTCATCTTTAGACAGGACAGACAAAGCCTGCCTTCAGTTGCAAAGAGACTCAATGATTCTCTCAGAGACTGTTTCTCTCTATTGGTTACAGTATAGGAGCTTCTTATCTTACAAATTCTACAAAAGGAAGCACTCCATAATTTTAACCAGGTAGGTTTCTCCAAACTGGAAAGTCTTTTTTTCTCCACTTTTCCTAAAAATAATTTACATTCCAATCTTCACCACCTTTGCAATCTTCACCTCTGTGGCTCGCATCTGAACTCAAATTTTCCCAAGTTCCACATGAACATCAGTGAGAATGGAAAACAAATCTGATCACAGGCGGATCTAACGAGATCATTAACCAAAAAGCATGCCTGTCATGTATGCTCTGTTCATGTCTACACAGCTCCTGTCTGAGACACTCTGCTCCCCCAGCACTTTAGAAGGCAGTATAAAGCCAAATGAAGGAGAACGTGTTGGCCTCACCAAGCTATGCAATACAAGTAACTATCTACTTAGACCAGAAACCTGTTCTGCAAAATGTTCCCATCATCTGTGGTATCCCTAATTCCAAAACATGTCAGTCCACCTATATAAGCAGTGTTAGTATGGTATTATTTCTTGGCAGTTTTACCAATTAAACTGGGATGATCTGAGAGCATTTGCAAGCACATACATAACCGCCCAGCACCATTTATTACAAAAGCAAAGGGTACTTCCTCTTTTCAGCATGGAAATAGTAACCTATTTGCATTCTAATAAAACATCTGGTGTTCATTCTAATGACTTCAAAAAACTATATTTGATAGAATCTGTTTAAGCAAGTAAAAGAAACTTTTATTCTACAACAACTATCATTTAAAAATGGCTGAATTTAAAAGGTTCAGTGCTTTTTTTTTTTTGTCTTTTTCCTGTTTATCGGTACCGGGGATCGAACTCACGACTGCCTGCTTTCAAGGCAGGCGCTTATGCTGCTGAGCTAAACCCCCAGCCCGGTTCAGTGCTTTCTGAAAGTTCAGTTTAATAATATGAAACAGAGCTGAAGTTCATATGACTGTATCCTTCTCCACATCAGGTAAGTAAAGCTTCTTTCTCAGGGTTCAGTCACCCACGGGTGGTGACACCACACCAAGTCCCTTTTCTCTCCCAAGGACTTTGGGACCAGGCCACACTGCTTGCCTACTGACTTCCTCTCGGTGTGCACTGCCTGCAAATGATCCCAAATTCAGTGCCTGGGGAATTCTGCAAATGCAGCTTTCACAAGTCAGGGCAAACACGGATCATGTGGCAAGAATGAGGCTCATCCTCTCGTCACAGATGACGGGCAGATCCCCTCCCCCTGGGAGTTTCCAGAGGCAGCTGCCACAGGCCCTCCCCAGTACACTGCCCAACAAGGAATGCAAAATTAAAGGGCACTCAGTATAAAGAGGGTACCGACAACAATGTTTCAGTCATCAAGCAAGCATCTTCATCTATTTCTACCTCTCAGGTAGTCTGGTCCACTTGGAATATCTTTCCTCACTCTCACAGCCTCCTGAGCAGACAGTGCAGGGCTTGGCTGTGGAGAAGCTTCCCCAAGATTTTCCAGCAAAATTTTCATTAGAACTGTTAGGTCATCTTCACTGAGAGCAACCTGGAAACAGGCAATAACTGTCAATATAAAGTAATAAAAAATCCAGAATATCATACATACATACATACATACATACATACATAATTAAGTTTAACCAACTGTTTGCATCTTTTTAAAAATAAAGATGGGGTGAGATTGTAGCTCACTGACAGAGTGTTTGCCTAGCATGTGCAACCCGTGTTCAATCCCCAGCACTGCAAAAATAAAAAGAGAGAGAAACAGAGATGGTGATGGACAGACTGGGAGTTGGGAGGAGGAGTGGAGAGAAGATTGCCACCTGTCCAGTGTGAGACACCTCTCCTGGGAGGCACCCTCTGCTCTGCCCATAGCCAGGCCCTGCCTCACCACCATGCTGCCTGGCCTCCGCCTAGCTGTCCCTTTCACAGGCCTGAACTCACTTCCAAGATCCCACCTTCTCACGCCCACTCCATCTCTCTTCCAGGCCCCATCTGCTCCTCCTCCTACGGTATTCACTCTGCTCCAACAAGTTCAACACCAGATGGTACAGTTTGATTTCTAGTCTCCAACAGAAAATAAGATTTTCTCCTGTTCTGTAGCTCTGTTCACACAGTACATATGCACCTGGACATACATAGACTATCTTAACGTATCAAAAATAATACCTTTTACAATAACAACGAACATAACTACAAAAGATTTTCTAAAACCAAAACACACACTAGGAAGGTAGCATCTTTTCATCTTTTAACTTTACAAAAGAGTATTTTATATTTATAAAAATACAAAACAGCAAGGCTTCGGACTCAAGTAGATCTGATTGCAGCACCCTAACACTTTCAAGCTGGGATGCTGGCCGGGTTTTCTTAGCTTTCTTACATCAAGTCTGTTAGTCTTAAAACAAGAATAGTAGTATCTTCCTTACACAGTGTTGCAGAACAACACACTTGCTACTGGCTATTAAAGTCTATTAAATCAGTACTTTCTTATTCTATCTTTTGTAAATTTCACTTCCAAACACCAGAATCGTAAAACTTTGTTTTCAGAACTTACACATGGTCTCACACCAACACGTACACGTGCACAGTTAACTTCCGGATGCGACGGTAACCTGTGTCCCCTAAATTAGATCCCTTCAGCCTGCAACACTGCCTAGTACCCCTCCTCAACGAAAATAAGGAGATACTTTTGCACAAGGCAATGATCAGGGACTTCTTGTTTGTTTCCAGCCCCGGTCCTTGGATAACAGGAAAAACACCAATTCCTTAGAACTTCCTCAGTGTCCATTCCTATCTGGATACCAACCAAGTTATCACAGTAGCCCAAAGGGCAGCTGACCTCACCACCCTGTGTGCTTTGAACAAAAGTGCTATAGATCGCCTACTACACCGACCTTCAGGAAGGCTACAGGATAATTCTGAAAGGTGGCCCCAGAGTTCTTCAAGAACTGTCAAACAATATACTGAAAAGAATTTATTGGTGTCACTTGCCTGATATCTTTCTCAGCAGCACCCTTGACCCAGGAAATTACACGAACCGTGCCCAAAGCCTAAGTGATTCAACAGGCCTGACTCACTGACAGATCGGGTTGTGGAAATGTTATCCAGTGTGGCTGCACTACTGAATTAACAAGACCCCTTTGGGTAAAATAATGATCATACTTTGATGCTAACCTGCTGGATTTACTGCTTTTTTCCTTTTTCCTTTTGATATATTTCAAGCATAAAAGAAAAAGAAAATACTATAATCCTCCCATGTGCCTACCACCTGGCTTCATCAAATCTTAACAGTTACCACATTTCCTTCAGATCTTTTTCCCTTTACAGACATAGCTGAATCCTCCATGCAACTCTGTGAGAGCCCGTTCCCACATCCATGGAAAGACTCCATCCCGAGTACGACAATTATTTTCATGAATGCTTTCTAACATTTACCATTACTACATATCCTATAACTTATGCAACCCTTGCTTGTTAAAATATTTTCAAGTAACATAAAACTGTACTATCATTTTGCAATTAATTTTTTTCATTTTTATCTTTAAGATATGCTATAATTCTGGTTCATTTATTTTAGATGCTTTATAATTCCCAAATGTGAGTAATTATAATTTTATCCACATTGTCCCATTGACAGACATTTACATTTTACTTTTGCTTTCAGGAAATCTGTAACTCTACAATCTTTGAAAGGAAGAATCAAATATTGTCCTGGAATCTAATATCTTAGCAATAAGGAGAAATTGAGGCACAGAAGATATTGTCTGGAATACAGACTACCCTACAACTTCAGAGAAAAAACTCTGCAATATGTAGTGCTCTGTGAACTGAAAGAAAGAACCCATGCTCTGGAGTATCAATCATTCAACCACTCTTTCATTTAATACATCTACTTGTACTCACTGGGACATCTACTTAAAAACCTTCCATTTGCACAACAAGCTTCTACTTTAAATGCCTTCCTAAATGCTCCTCCAACCCCTTCTTATCACAGAACCAACCTAGAATAACCACGGATACCAAAACTACTGACATTATAGTTTGGTTGGCTTTTCACTCGTTCAATTTGCTTCCTCTCTCCCCACTATCTTGACACGTGCTGTAGAGCTTCCCACTTCACACACGGGTACTTGAGAACCACAGGGCTAGTACACTCCCATAGCTCCTGTCCCCGGTCTCTCCTGCTCCCGGGAGCTGGCACAACACCTGCAAAGACTGCCTCTGAGACGCTGCTTCACTGCTCTGCTACCAACACAAACCTCTGCCTACTCAAAGTGATACTCCAGGAGGCTTCCTACACCTGAAAATACTACTCCGTCGCTGTACAAATATTGTGTCAATCGAAAAACTTTAATTTAAAAAGAAAATCACAACTAAAAAATCTCTGTGGTACGTGAACATCACTTTTCATTCTCTTACAATTTAAACGCACTAAAATTTTAATTTTCCAAAATTAAGAACAGTAGTTTCAGCAGACTCAACAGGTTTATCTTAGTCCCCACCCCCTCTCCTGTGTGTGCATGTGTGCACACACACACGCATGTTGCTAGGTCAAGTGCTCCCCCACAGGGCTACATCTGCAGGCCCTCAACTGCACCAACTGGCCTGAAACCTGAGCCACTGTACCAGCTCTTTCAACGTTCTTGCTAGTTTTACCACACAGCTAATTAAAATGTAATAAAAGAGCAAGCGACAAGGGTGCTCTCACTTGATACAAAGCATCTCTTTTAATACACTATAACTGCACTGTGATCCACCATGAAGGTCCACCTACAATGGCCATCTATCTCATGTGATCCGCATACCTGCATAGGTTTTAACTTTCCTTTTATCTCGATCCCGGGAATTTCCATGTACCAGGTTGCTGATAAGTTTCGTTGTATAGACAAAAGCATGTTTACTGGTTTTAAGATTTCAATGTCATCCTGTGGCAAGTCAGCTTGCAAGATAGTTCTGAGAGGAGAAACAAGATCATGCTTCCATATACGCTTTAAATTGACATTTAAAATGACAATATCCCACACTGTTTAAGAGTTTCCACAAGGCACCTTCCTAAATACATAAAAGCTACTATCAGAACTCTTTTAGAACATATTTCTTTCCATAAATCAGAGCAAATCAGAATAAAGTTTATATATAGTTATCTAAAACAAAGACATAACTTCCAGAAATTATCACTGTATCATTTGCTATCTTTCACAAAAACTATATGATACAGCAGCTAGTATCTCATATTTGTACTCTGTGAAAACAAAATAAATGAAGCAATCATATACTCAGTCCTCAATATGTTACTTCTCCAAATCCAAAGAGAAAAACACATCAAATCTAAAGTGACTCACATGGCAATAAACATTTCTAACTTGCCTACAAACAGCCATTTGCACGAGGAAATAAGAACTCTGGCCGCTAAACAGAGTCAACACCTTCCCATCTGGATTCAAAAATCCTTTAAGCACCACACTACAAATACTAAATCTCACTACAAATTTAGGAAGAACTAGCTATGAGCAAATGAAATGAAGATGTATTTCTGAGCAAGTACATACATTCTGTAGCATTCTCCATAAATTTTTTTTCTTTGTTCCTTGAGATAGGCTCTTGCTATAATACACAGCATAGTTTGGAACTTGTGAGCTCAAGTGAGCCTCCTGCTTCAAGTACTACAGGCATGAACCACTAATCCCAGCTAGTAAGCTGATATCTTTTAACATGTAAGTTTTCACAGAATGGAAAATAACATTCTAAACTTGGTACTACAAAATACAGATACTATAAAGCACACCATTATATTGACAATTAGTCAAAAATGATTAAGGTTTCATAATTAAACAATGAGAGTAAAATATCACTATTTTAATCCTAGGAAAACTATGTAAAAATCTTCTTTCTAGCAAATTATGACAGTTACACACATAATTTTACCTGGACAGCTTCAATTGAGTGAGTTGGACCTTCATTTTATCAATGACTGGAGGGAAAGGGTAACGTTCTACAGGAAGCAAGCTAAAGCTGTTTTCCACGCTGATTAAACCGAGATCTGCCACCACAGCGTTAGACGACACTGAAGACTGAGGGATAATAATAACCGGTGCTTTCAGGTCCACATCCATCGCAAGGCGGAAGCTCTTCTGGGCCAAGTCCCTCACACTAGAAGCAGCTCTCTCTGCAGCCTGCATGGTAGCCGTGCTCAAAGCTTCCTTGGCAGCTTGGAAGTTGTTGAGGAAATTCTGTTGGAAGAGAATGATAGTTAAAGACTTCCCCCCAAAAGATGTTTGTTCTCCAAAGGAAAACACTTTCAAAAGTACGTGCTGCAAAATGAACAACTAAATAAGCATAATAAAAGAGATTATTTATGATTGTGTACGTGGAGAAGAGTAAAGTCTAGGAAGATATACCCTGCGCTATTAACAACAGCTACCTCCAGGGAGTAAAGATTCTTAACTTTCATTTATATTTTTTATTCTTTTTTTATTTCTATTTTTAACCATTAATTTTATGATGAAGTTCTGATATAATTCTTTTTAAAATGTTTCTTAGTAACTATGCCACATGCAAGGAAAGGAATGGAGGACAGCACTTTATCTCCCCAACAGTAAGTTCTATTCTGTACCTCTAGGTCGCAGTAAATACAGTCTACTTTTAAAAATGAGGGTTCAGGAAGCTTATTACTGAGTTTGTTTCTAATGTACTGCATATGGATGGACACAAATGGTTAACCACCTACAATTCTGCAATCATGACTAAGAATCAAAACTTCTTTATTTAGGTAGGATGCATTTTCATCTCCACGCAACCAGAAAGATTCTTCCCAGCAAAGAAACAGTTGCTCTTACAACTCATGTTCTTAATATCCACCATTTGTCATAAACTTAATCTCTTCCTCTTCTCCCGAAATAACTCACTTTCTACACAAGTGAACATGACAGTTCAGAGAGAAATTCATGAAAGATAAGCTCTGGTTAGCAACCCTGCTAAAAGCAGTAAGCAGACTTAAAACTTTTCAGCATAGGCTACTTCCATGACGGATAAAAACAAAAGAATTCTATGGTCTTAGTGATCACAAATATAAGCAAAAGCTGTAAATTCTAATATTAGTTCTTAAGATACTTGCCAAACTTCCTTTAAAAGTTCTTTTAGCTAAACATCTCTACAAGCATTCCCATAAACAAGTACTACTAAAAAGTCCTAAATTAAAAAGCACTTGTAAAATACACACCTAAAAAAATGCTGGAGAAACACAGCTTGTGTACTTACCAATGAGTTTTAAAATTCACTTAGTTAACCATCATCTAAAGATCTCTGACTGCAGTAATCTGGCTGGTGTTTGGGTGTTTAACACAGCCCACTGTGAAGACCTGGACTCCCTGGGTTCAGGAGTACAGGCAATTATTTAGGTCCCAATGAGAAATAAACACATACTGAAACATACACTTACCAACAGAGACATGAAGAATTTATGAACGTAAACGATCTGAATACAACCCACTTTGAGACTAAGTCTGCCATCCACTTTAGACACGTCGGCATAGGCTTCTCCTTCTGTGGCGTCTGGATACAAAGTCATCTGGAACCGAAAGACTTCCTCTCCCAAGATGGAGACAGCCTGAAAGAATGAGATCATTGGCTTTGGCACCGGAGAGTTGCAGGCCCTTCTCTGTATCACAAAGTTCCTCATTAGAGAAAGTGACCCCCGATTCAGCCTTAAACATTATTAGTTAACCCAACTTATTTGACAGTAACTTTTTTCCTATCGTTATAAAAAACCCTTTACTAAAGGCAGTATCAGTCCATCACTGCACTTTCAGAAGTAACCAGAAGGCCTAGTGTGCACATGACAGGAAAGCAGGTGGTCACCATCTATATCCCCACCCTTAGAGAAGGCCTCATGTGACAGACTAGTAAATGCATTGGACAACAACAAAAAAGCATCTCAAATATAAAACACAGAAGACATTTCAGTTGAGAAATCAATTTCTACCTTTTTGTGAATGGACTTCAAATCAACATTTGTTACTATGATATTCTGAAGTCTGGCAAACATATCAGTCTGTTTTGGCTTCACAGAAACAGAGGCGTCCATTCCTAGGGAAGGCAAGACTTTCACAAAGGATTCATTCAATCCAGATGAGTCAAGTGAGCAGTGCTGTGTTCAGTAACATACTACTAACATACAGAGTCAACACAAGCTATTATTAGACATACTGGTATTGTTATACCAGTATTCACGTATGAGGTATGTAAGACAGGTTACACCTTTAAGTACTTCATGCATCTTACATAAAAGTTGTGAGTTTAAACCCAAATAAACAAAACACCTAGCCAGACCTGGAGGTGGAGGCCTATAACCCCAGTACTCCGGAAAGCTGTCAGGAGGATCCCAAATTCAAGCCCAGCCAGGGCAACTGAGCAACTTCAGAAGAAATTAAGTTCTCCTGGCTCAAAATTACAAAAAGTTTAAAAACTAGAGTGAGAGTATAGCTCAGTGGAAAGCCTCTGGATTCAATCCCACAAAGGAAAGACAGGAAAGAAGGAAAAGAGGAGGAGAGGAGGAAGGGTAATGTGCTGCTTCATTCTTCTTTCAAACCGACAACATCAAAAGGTCACAAAGTGTCTTTCAGAAACTCCTTTGCCTATGCTACATACGGGGAAAAGGCAAAATAAATAAACTATTTTTTAAAAATTCTGCGATGTCTCAATTATCAGATTATTCTAAAAATACAAGTACAGAAACAAATTAAGGCCTCAGATATAATCTGAAATTTTTAAAATACACATGGAATGTCTCAAGTCAGAAAAGAATTATAACAAATTTACTACAAACATTTCCAAATATACCTTTAACCTTCAGTGTAAGGAAACAATGTTTGACTCATAAGAAATTCACCCCTACAAGCTCACTTTTGCTGGATGTTCATATAACAAAATAGAATTACTCACCATGTATTTTAACATCAGCTACAGAATAACATTAATAGCATCTAATTCAGCTGTAACCTTTAAATCGAACATATCCTCTTTAGAAATGGTGCCAGATACTAAAAAGTAATAGAAAATTTGTGATTGGCAAAGTGTAAAGATGATAGAACACACAAAATAATCTCAAATTCAATAAAATAAAATTGTACTAGGAGGAGCCAAAAAGCTCTCCATTAAGATAAAATGTGACTTTGAGTCAATTTTCAAAAACCAACCCAAAATAGCAGTTTCCCTTCACATTAAGAGTAAACATAACTACTGTTAACATCCTGATTGTGTTATTCATGACATGAAAATTTCACTGATTTTCCTTCCAGAATAAAATAAAACACTTTAAATTAGAATTCTATTCTATTCGTCTAAAAGTTTGATTTTAAAACCTGTCATATATTATATCAAAACAGTAACTAATACAGAACTAAAATATGTTGACTAGTTAACACAGTTCATTTTATTTACTATGGCACTTATTATACATGTTATTTAACTATGGAAGCAATCCAATTTTACTACAGTATATGCAATGGCTCTATAAAGAATTGTAAAATAAATTCAGAATGGATAAGATATAAATATAAAGGACTACAGTTCTTTTAAAGTTCTTTCCTATAAAACTGCAAAACCATCAGGATATGTATTAGTAATTAATCCCCATTACATGATGATAAGCTGGTTTTTTCCCTAATACCAAATGTGGCAACATCAAACCATGAAGACCAATCATACAGCAAAACCACAAGACTGTTTCTATGAATTAAAATTGCTTGTAGGTTATCGTAATTTTAAATATTTATTTTTCATGTATTCAACTATTTTTCTATGTATTCTATTTATGTTATAACAGAAGAATTCCAAGGCTATTACCTCTAGATACTGTACTGCTGTTGCAAGCAAATTAACAATAAAATGGGTAAAACGTTTTTACTATAGTTTAGAACAATTCGCTATCTTCCAAGGTTAAAAAAAATCAGATCCTTGTATCAGATGTAATGGTAATAACAGTTTTATTCTAAAGATCCCAGTAATACCAATCTATTCTAATTGAATTACTGTATGTTACAAGTTCATATCATACAATGTGAAAAACCAAAATGATGCTTGCTCTATAAACCAATACACATTCTCTATTGACTGTAGATACTTCAGAGCTAACATTTCACAGCTCAAGGTATCTGCCTAGCAAACATGTCCCCAGATCTATTTAGAAACAGAATGAGTCCATCTTCTCTGTGAGATTCCTTCAGTGCGCACAAGGCTTGAAGCCTGCTCAGCACTAGACAGGACTGGGCGCAATACAATTTTGTAACTATGCGTGACTGCATTCGAACTTTAACTTCTTCCTTCCTCATTTCTATTGCACTGAAGAATGCAAAGAGATGTCAATGCAAAAAAGATGCTATCTAGCCAGTAAAATAAAAAAAAACACACCATTAAACAACATTTATTTAAAACATTTCAATAAACTGATGTATAATCCTATAAGGAAAAATTTTGAGTTCTTTCAAAACTAACTTAAACTGTCAAATCAGGTAGAGTAACATCAAGATAGTAAGTATCTTCTTAGCTTAAAATACATTACAGTATTATATGAGAGAAAGCATTTGACCATTACTCAAAAATTAATACCAGCTTTGATGGCAATACTTCTGGACTCCCCTACAAGTGGTTTTAGCTCAGATTCCTTCCTAGAAGATGACTCAGAGGATGGAACAGCCGATGACAAAAAATCCATAAGGGAAAGTAAAGCTTCTAAATGAAGTAATATGTCTAAGGATGAAAATGAAACCTAAGAAAACAGAGAGGCAGAGTAAGACATAGTAACATTTGTGTTAAGTTTCAACACACACAACTAGCACAAGAGCAGTTCAATTAAAGAAAGGCCCTTAAAAAAATGAATTACTACCAGCATCAATTCTTAGAAACACTATTATGTTAATTGTAATCAGTCAGTAAACCAATACTCTTCCCACTCCTGTGTGCAAACATAATTCTATTGTCCACAGGGTTTGAGTTTTAAGAAAATGTATAGGAAGCGTCCCAACACTGACCCATTTGCACAAAGGGAATGTGAACAACGTCCTTAATCCTAACGCCAACACACAATGCTAACATTTAATGCTGAATCAGTATCAGGCCAAATAACTATGGACAGCATTTCCTTGAGAATACATTATTTGTTGTATAAGTAAAGAGCAATTTACATCTGGGAAACAAGCAATCTCTTTATAAATCAAATTAATTTTTATAAAAAGTGTATTTTAATTCTATATGCACTGGCTTTATCGACAAAAATTAATCTATTTTTATTTTCACAATATTCTAATGTTAGCACAACCTTACAACTCAAAATGGCTATGAAGCTACATTTAATCATTACCAGCTTACCTTTAGTCTCTGTTTGGTATTGTCATGAACAGTTTTAAATTCCGGTCCATCACTGTCTGCCTACAAACAGTGGGTAATTAAATCAATGGATTACAAACACTAAAATTGCATGTACTGAATAAACATCCATTTTTTACTTATTAAAGTATGCTATTAAAACACATTTCTTATAGGTAAAGAACATGATTTAAACCACATCTCCCATCCTACAGATGAAAAGAACTACTCTGGAGGAAATACTAATGGACAAATCTGAACTGCAGGGGAAATGCTTGTGTACTGGATGATAATACACTCTGCTTCAGAACACAGCACAGCTTTTCTGTTCCACTTGTCCAAACCACTTGTCTGGTTTCCCTAGAGAAACCAGAAAGTTAACGAGTGTGTGCAGATGCTTTCAAATTCATCGCAGTCAACCCAAGGATAAAGCACACTTTCAAAGGAGAAAAACTGGAGCACTAAACATGAAGGGAACAGACATAACTTAGCATATTCAGGAGTTAGACAGAAAGCTGGTACCTTGGTCAAGGCCATCTTCAGGAGCGGCTCCTTAGTCACGCGAGAGGAGCGCACAATGTGCAGAGGGCCTCCTTCTGCGTCTGGGGGCAAGAGACAGGCTGGTCAGCACTGCAAATGCCTCACACTTCTTACACAGCATGAACAGCCAGTTACATTAAGGTATGTTCATCAGCACTAAGAATTTTACACTAAATATGAATTACACTGCTAAATTTTAGTGTAAATTTTACACTAAATATGAAATCATGCTTCAAGAAGCCTGGCTTTGAAAAGAGAGAGAAAAATCCCTAAAAACAACAAACCCAGTACCAGTCAATTATATAACCTGTGAGATGTGAAAAAATGTTCAGCATCACTGATCATTCAGAGATGCAAATGAAAACATCACTGAGATTTCACCACACCCCGGAAAGAATGGCCAGGACCAAGAAATCAACCAATAACAAATGCTGGAGGGGCTGTGGGAAAAAAGGAACCCTTCTTCACATTGGTGGGAATGTAAACTGGTGCAACCACTGGGAAATCAGTGTAGATTCCTCAAAAATCTAGGATTGGAGGGCTCACAGTCTAGCTATTCCCAACTGGGTGTCTTCCCAGAAAAATTAAGAACATCATACCACAGTGATACATGTGCACTCATGTTTATAGCAGCACAGTTTATAATAGCCAGATCTTGGAAAAAACCTAAATACCCAGTGATTGAGGAATGGATAAAAACAAATGTAGTGTTTTTATGCAATGGAGCACTACTCAATCATAAAGAAGGACAAACTGGAGACTTTTATAGGTAAAAGGATACAACTTGAGACCATACTCATTAGTAAAATAAATAAGACACACATGTGTAAACATCATATTGTCTCATTAGCATTAAAAGCTGAAAGAAACAACATATATATGTGTATATATATTTATATATATAAACAGTCAAGATAATTTAAAAATTATGTAACATTTGATACTACTAATATTACTGATTTGAGCAAATCACATATTATATGCTATAAAGAACAAAACTATAAAATACATAAAAGCATGGATTATTCTCAATATGAGCTTGTTTTGTTTTGAGACAGGGCCTGGCTATGTAGTGCGGGCTGGCCTTGAACTCCCAGAGCTTCTCCTGCCTTGGCCGCTTAAGTGCTGGGGTCACAGGCATGCACTACCACGCACGGCACAAGCTTGTTTTCCTAAAGCTCTTCCACAGAGTTCTTATAAACCTTAAATGTCACCAGAAACTTTTAAAAGTTGTCTCATATCACATTGTTCCTTTTCTATGAGAAATCCAGCATAAAGATGAAGACAGCTTAGGAAGAGGAAAGGGACAAGTGTGGGGGACAGGTGAGGGAGGGAAGGGAAAGGGGATGAAGATGTGTGGTGTAAGGTGTCAACTCCACACAAGGGAAGGGAACTTTACACACTACGCACATGTACTAGCACACTAAAACTAAGAAAGAGAAAGTGAATTTAGGAGATCCAAGAAACTCACAAAACAACAATTTAGTTTTTACTTGAGGGGAAAAGAGACTTCTGGATTATGTTACATTTTTCCTTCCATAAACTTCTGTATTGCTGAAATTTCCTTTTTCATAAGCATATAGTGATATACATGAGAAGAAATTTTAAAATACATGTAATTTTGAAATGAATAGCAACAAATAAACTAACTCAACTTTCCCAAGTAAGTCCCTGTATGTACCCAGGTCCTGGTCTCCTGATGGATCAGCTCTCGTGGCACAGTTACAACGAAACAGTGCCTTTCCTAAGTACTGAAGTATCACACACAGTGACAAGTGGCTCCTTCTCCAGAAATACTCTACTCTACACTACCTGAGTATGTATGTGTAACTAGGTAAGATGGTAGGTTTTAAACCGTCACATGCCTTCGCATCAATACATTTAACCTGAATGATTATGGTGACACATGCGGGGTGGCGATCCAGAAGACCACCTGCCTACTGCATAACTCACTGACCAGTGAAATCCAGGCACCGCATGCTGACTTGCTGGAGATAAGCTTCAGCGGTCACGGCATAAGCTTGAACTCTAGCTTCCACTCCAAGCTGCAGGACACTGAGCTCGTGCACTGGCCTCCCACTCTTTTCCGCCTTTTTCATCAGCATCACCATAACCTGTAGGAATGCACCAGTATTACCACCCACGATTTCACTGCTGCACAAGAATTTAATAAGGACACTGATACAACACTGAGAGTCACACAATGTAAAAACGTCCACCTTCTTTGGTGACTGGAGGCGGCATCATTTACCCGAGGCGACAACTATGCTTGTTCAGACTGAAGCACTGCCACTTTTTTCTAGTGGTTTTCTCCACCCTGACCACTGTCCTCAGGGAAGAGAACTACCATAGTATCTACAGCAAATCATATTAGAAAGGACTGACAGGTTTTCCATCTACATATGTTAATTACACACTTGTCAAAAAATTGACTCCGATCAGTCTTTTAATTATCAAGCTTAAAAATCTTCAGTAACTAAGCTAGGCATGGTGGCACACGCTTGTAATCCCAGCACTCGGGAGGCTGAGACAGGAGAATCATATAGCAACTTTGAGACCAGCCTGGGCTACAAAGTAAGCTCAAGGCCAGACTGAACTGCAGAGGGAGACACTTTCTCAAAAACACAAACAAATAAAAATAAAAATAAAGCTTATGTAACTGATATTACACAGAAAACATACTGGAGGTTTAACAATCCAGAATCTAGTTGCCAAGTGAACACAGAGCCCATTCATTCATCTTTAGCTCAGAGGAAGAGCATGACATTTAGAGAACTACGCAACAACCAGGTATTTTGGGAAAGGTCCGTGGTTCCCTGTACGCTCTATGCTTTCTCACAACTTCATGCCCACTCCAGTCCATCCTGCACCCCCCCCTTTCTTAATCTCCTTTTCTCAGGTTATTTACTGCTGCTCTTTTAAAAGCTCAACTCAAAGTTACACTTCCTGCAGGAAAACTCAGTTTAATACACTTGCGGACCCTCTCGGTTTGCTCAGATGCACCTTCCCTACCACCAGTGCCACAACCTTAACAGAACCCTAACTGAGCACATCTTTAAGGGGGAACAAACACTTCCGAGCTCAAGGTCTAGGCATCTAAATACCTAGCACGTGCAATGAATACGTGCTGAGTGTGTGCGTGAGGGAGAGGAAAAGCTACCTGACCTTTCCTCAACAATCTGTAAATGGAAGTACACTGACCGAGTACCATTCTCCATGAGTACCATAACGCTTGGTGTACACTTACTGGTTTTATTCTCTTTAGAATTTCTAACATTTGTAAAGGATTTTGCATCACTAGTTCCCTGTCTTGTTATGCTTAGATAATAAAAAACGCAAAGCAAGGCACATTCTGGCTGTCTCATAATCATTAAAAGGAAGTTATAGAAAATCCTACAGCTTTCTCTATGTAATCTTATATCCCCCAAACATAACTCATCCTTAAACTCTCAAATTTTAAACATCATTACATGTAAATAGCCTACCTAAGATTTTTTCACCCATATTAATTACCAGAAGCTTATTTTAATACAGGTAATTCTACAAATCCATTAACTTACCTCTCTACAAAAACATGAAAATCACCTACCTCTTTAATTTCAAAATTCAGCAGTACATTAACAATGTTTACAGATCTAATTTCTTCTCTTTCAGCTCTTGAAGCATCTTTTGAAGCTTGTAATCTCTGTGATGTAGAAACTTCAGGGGCATCTTTGATTTCACCTACAGATGTTAAAAAGAAATTCATTCACTTCTATGCACACATTTCTTACACACTCAGGAGGACATGGAGAAGTGCTCTGGACCTAATGAAGGAACTAAAAATCCATAAATCAATAACCCTTCTGGCCCTCAGAAAACCCACAGTTTAGTACAAGAGACATATACATTTAAACTAAAAACAAAAGACTAGGCATGGTGGCACATACCTATAAAAAACAAAAGACTGGCACTCTGGGAGGCTGAGGCAGAAGAAAGGCAAGTTCAAGCCCAGCATGGGACTATTAACAACTCAGCAAAACTATGTCTCAAAAAAATAAGTAAAATACTAAAAAGGCTGGGGATGCATCGCTTTGAGTTCAATCCTCAGGAAGGGTGGATAGACAGACACACAGACACGCATGCACACCCACACACCTACACCCACACCCCCCCCACACACACACAGTCTGCCCACTAGCCAGCCAGGCAGCCATACCTACTCACATGGAGTGGACAAAGGTTAACAGACTCTAAGGTGCACAGATGACACCAAACAAGGCACAGCCTGGTTCCAGCGTGGGGAAGAAAGGCCTGAGGGCGGAGGCATCCTCCAAGCAGAGCTGAAGACATGCTCCCGAAGAGTGGCTCCCTACAGCTTCACATAAAACCCGGGGAGATACGAGACCCTCCACGGTGGGACCGGTCGGAGCACAGTGACCTCTGGGCAGATGGGGGCACTATCTAGGCCTCGCGAGCCATGCTGCACCTCACTCACAGGGATGACACAGGAGCACACACTATAAAAACTCTGCCTCGCACACAAGATGTGTTCATGGATGTTACAATACAGTCAGAAAAACCCTGAAATCCTATGTTTCACTTTAAAAAGGGGCAAAACGTTTTAAATCTGGTACCATCTGGTGTTATAAAGGCACGCAAAAGCTACCCAGTAGGAGTACAAACCTAATACAAGTTCTTTAGTGAGCAATCAGCAAGATCTGCCAAATGATTACATCAATTTGTTAGATTTTTATGTTACTAATAAATTTAAATTAATAAAGATTGCACAGGCCTTAACTGATATTTTCTTATGACACACAAGTGCAAATTCAGTGCAATGTGATACAAATGAAACTTTGGAAGCGTGAAATTTCTGTCAGGAGAGACTTGCTAAATAAATTATGGCACGTACTTCCACAGGCTCTAATACCAGGCCGCCATTAAACAGAATGAAAGCAGCAGGCATGCTGGCAAAGGTCTGTAATCTCAGCACTCTGGGAGGCGCTGTAAATCAAACTCAGCCTGGGCAGCTCAGCAACACAACAAGACCCTACCTCGAAATCTAGGAAAGGGCTGGGAATGTAGCGCTGTGTACAGCCCTAGTACTTGGGCCCTTCGGTGCCATGAAAAAAAGACAAAAATGAAGACAGCCTATAGGCAGCATATAAACAGATATAAAAAGTACACACAAAAGATACTGATAATTTAGGAAAAACATAGCAAGGTTCACAAACACAGGTGCTAATTTGAAAAACACTGAAGATTATATCAATATGTGTGTGTGCATAACACATTATTTATATACATAAGTGTGCGTGTGCACGTGTATATACAGCAGCATGGAAAGTATGTAGTGGTTAAGTCAAAAAGGCCGTATCTGATCATTTAAATTTGCTTACATATTTATTGCAGCATGTTCTGGGATCTTTGGAAGGAGTGATAATTTATCAACTATTTTAATTCTTACAGACATCTGACTACTAAGCCTAATTTAAAAATCATATGGAATGTGCTACCACAGCTTAGTGGCAACTTAATTGCAAATTTAATAATTACTCCAGGACTTCATAATACCTGCTTGCTTAACTAATAAGAGTCAAGCATCTTTAACCACGATGTGTTATTTTCTGTTTTTGCTTTTATTTTTAAGACAGGGTCTGTGTAGTTCACACTAACCTTGAACTCGCCACGTAGCACAGGCTGGAACTCAGGACAACCCTCCTGCCTCAGGCTCCTAAATGCTGGGCCATCAGCAGGCAGCAGCGTGTCCAGTTAACACATTTCCACTGGGTGGCACTTTGTTTATTTGCTGGTAATACAAATCCAAATCATGAATGTGTACCTGCTTACCTCACGTGCCCTGTCTGTGCTGGGCTGCAGGTGCAGCACAGGGGTAGTATGTGCACCTTAACTCCTAGACTCTGGATTCAAATCCCAACCCACCATACAGAGAAGAGAACGATGTCTTCTTATTGTCTATCAAACTGCAAAATAACTGTGAAATATTAGCCACCTACTGTGCATCTCTTACCTGTCTCTGGTACTCTTGGTTTCACTTTATCTAACTCTTCAGGAGTTTCACCAAGATTTTCCGACAGTATTCTAAACAAAACATTAAGATCTTGATTTAGACAAACCTGTGAAATATTAGGTTCAAAAGGTAGATATATTTCATTTAAAATGCAGCAGTTTATTACAGAACATTCTCAGAAACAAAGCATGAAGCACAGAATAACCCTACCTTACCAAAAATATATACAATTACTACGCACGTGTTTCACTATTTCATGTTAACATTTTATTTTCAAAGATAGTAACATAAATCAACATTCACTCCACTGACTTAATTTATATTATTTTTTACTGAAAGGTATAATTAGAGAGTTGATTTTTTTAAAAGACATTCTGCAAATACATCCAATTTTGTCTGTTTGTTTAAATTGAGTGAAACAAAATGGCTGTTTTCAGTTACCAGGCACTTCTCCCAATGCTATAATTATCTTAGAGGTACTACATAGATGACCTTAAAAATTAAGTGATATATGATATATAGCAGACATGAAACCAGGAAAATTTGTGCACAGATTTCCTTCCATATGTACAGAAAATGTAAAAGTAAAATATTACTTATTTAGAGATTTTTATTGAAAGGGGTAATACCTTTTTGAGCTGTATCTTACTGAAATTCTTACATCATTCAGTAAAATACTCTACTTTTCAGGGAGTTCTATATTAAGAAAGTCTTCAGAATGTAAGACTTCAATGACCAAGGGTTTTTTTGTTTTGTTTTGTTTTTTCACTTGTGCACTTACATTCATTGTATCAAGATGTCCTTTAATTTCCACAACAGGTACCTTATGATACCAACTTGCAGGTAGATTTCGATTTACAAAAAACTCAAAGTTAATTGGGTGCAACAGCTGAATATCAGGCTGGGAGGTGCCTGGTTGGATCACTGTCCTAAAGAAAAACAGAAACATCAGATGTGGACATGTATGAGGGAAACACAACATGTCTTTAAAACAGCAAAGGCAAGCGGTCATTTGCCTTTTTAAAATACTGATTTGAAGCGGCATTACTTGAATTTTTCACTTCAAAACCGAGTTATAATTAATTGATAATCCACTATCAGGGATAAATTAAAATGTCATACACTGTACACTATTAAGAAAACATTTTTCTTTTAAAAAGAAATTTACACCGTTGAAGATGTGCAAGAAATCATCAAACTGTTTCTTGAGGACTGGCCGAGTTAAAATCACCAAACAGAGGTATTCAAACATACTGCTACAGTGGACCAGGAATGTTTCCACAAGATCAGAATGGAGAGGACAAATGACTGCTGCCTAGAGATGTCACGACTGTCCTTGGTGGTAGTGCAAGGCACGATGTGTGGGCGTGGAGATGCTGCTGTGAGCAAGCCTACTGTACAGCCAATCACACAGAATCACAGCACATCAGACCACACAGAGTACAAAGTCTTGATCATAAACTACTGTCACTGGCTTATGGATTTATTATACTTTTATTACGTTAAACTATATTTACCAAACAAATGTAACTACAACAGCTTGCCCCGTCACACTGACAACAGCCTCATCATCTCTTGCTGACTGTTGATCCAGATTACAAAAGACCATATCAAAATAACTGACCTACACCAGCAAGGCTCATCCAAGGAGCACTGTAACATTCACACAATGATGAAATCGCCCACAACTCGTTTCTCAGAAGGCAGCCTCACTGCTAAGTGATGTGTGACTGTGCGTTTGTTGGTATGGAGACCAAAAAAGACAACAGTAACAGAAACATTCTCAAATCACATGTCTCACAAATTTACTCTCCAACAGTATTTTCTGCAACTGTCTTATGAGTATTACTTTTTAAAATATGGATAGTTAAATCACCTTGGATGGAATAGGTCCTGAGTTTTAATTTTTTGTGTGTCTTCATGTCTCACACAGTGTGAGCACTGAGGGTATTACTTAGAGAGCAGTCAGGCCAAAAATGCTTCGGCTTAATCAAAACCCATGAGGAATCACTCAAAAAAAGAGTTGTTTCATGGAACAGCCAGATTATACCTCTCAAACCAGCATCATTGTAAGAGACAGAAAAAGGTGCAAGAACTATTCTAGAGAAAGCATTTATCAGGAAAGAAGTTCTTCTCAGTAAGAATGGAAACAGTTATGTGTGATTCTGGAAGGGGAGGGGAAATTACTACAAACAACATCACTGCAACAACTGATATGACCTTAATGCAGACTGCACGTTAGGTAATATTACGGTGATACTATATTTTCAGAATCTCACAAATACATTGTAGTTAACGTCAAGAGAATGAATTTTCTTGTTTATAGGACACACATGGTGAAATATTTAGGGGCAAAAGGTCCAGATGTCTATTATTAAATGATTCAGCAAAAATGTTTTACATTGTAAAGATGCTATAAGTAAATGACAGCAAATGTATAACAGACTGGTGAATGTAGATGAAACATTTATGTGTACAGTCTTTATTTTTCCAGTTTTAAAAAGGAAAAAAACCACTGATTCTGTGAAACAGCAACCTGTTGAGTATGAACTTGAATGATCATGAAATATCATAGAAAAAGTGAACCTAATACTTAAGCCCGGAAACACTGGAGAACACACCTGGACAGCTTCAGGTCCGTGAGCTGCACATCCATTCTATCGATCACAGGAGGATTTACAGACCCTTCCCCAGACACAAGACTGAACTGGTTCTGAACTCTGATCAAACCAAGGTCCACCACAACAGCGTTGCTGGAGACAGAAGACTGTGGGATGACAATAACGGGTGCTTTCAAATTAATGCTGACAGAGAAGCGCAAACTCCGCTGGGCAAGGTCTTTCACACTGGTGGCGGCCTTTTCTGCAGCCTGCGCGGTGGCTGCGCTCAGGGCCTCTTTGGCTGTCTGGAAATTGTTCAGGAAGTTCTGTGGACACAAAGGAAGTACGGAGAAACTGAAACAGAAAGCAGGCTCTCAAGAGGGACACCACCTTTTGTCTCCATGATGCTGACATCTTTTAGGACAGGTAACTTTCTGTTAAGCCTGCTGTGACCATGTTAGATGGGAGCAACTACTAACTCATCCAAGGTCACGAGCTGCCTGGCTTACACAGGGGTTACACAGGGTTACACAGCTAAGGAAAAGGAAGGACGGAAATCCATTCTCATGATTTCTGCATGGAAGAATGCGGCTTCAATACTTACTCTAACAAAAGTAACTTCAATTCAACACAAAAATCATTAAATCACTCAGATTTTAACTGTTAAGACAATTTACTTGAACCTTCATACATAACTACCACATCTAATCAAACAATATCACCTACAATGCAAGATTTGGAACACTTGCAATCATAACTATCAGCATTGTTTCCTCAGCTGAAAAACTCATATGGAAATAGCGATTTTACCAAAAGGGACACAAGGAACTTATGAAGATAGACAATCTGAATGCAGCCAACATTCAGCGACACCACGCCATCCACTTTGGACATGTCAGTGTATGAATCCCCTTCAGTCGCATCTGGGTACAAATCCAAGTTAAAACGAAAAACTTCATTTCCCATTATTGACACAGCCTGAAAAACAGAAATGTGAACATATTCTTTCTACCAAAGTAACGACAAAGTAAATTACCACTTAGAATATGGTTTATATTTATAATCTTTATAAAAAAACAAACATTTTCATGAAGTATACTTAGTTTCAAGTATATTACTTTAAAATTGGATTTTATATGCAATCACCAAAAACATAGTCATCATTTATTTAGTCCAACTTACATTTTTATGAACTGTCTTAGGATCAACATCTGTAACAATAATATTTTCCAGTCTGGCAAAAAGTGACTGCTTCCTTGACTGAAGAGAAAGGGACGAGTCGAGGCCTGAAAAAAAAATTAATATAACTTCTATAGATCTAGAACGAATAAGATATTTATTTCTATTGTATAGTGCAATTTTTAAAATTTAGCAACATCTCAATTCCCAACTGATCAACAAGCTATATTAGATATTTTATACTTTTATAAACACTCAACTTCTAAGTTAATAAACATTAATTACCTGAGTTTTCAATCCTCTGACAAAAGTACGTGAGAGATGATCCCGGGATTTAGTATATCCCTTATATCTTAAACCCAGGTATCTACATGGAGACTATGGAAGTGTCACAAATCCAGTTCATTCTAGTTGATGTACTACCAGATTAGAAAGGACAAAAAGAAATCCCTACCTTTCAGGTTCTTAAATTCTTAAAGGGTTTCATGAAACAGACTGAGCATATCTTTACCTTCAGCAAATGACAATACATTCTTATAACTATTAAGACCAGAGACAGAGCGAGATGCATTTCAGCAGCTTTCTCTGTAGATACTGATGGCTCACAGGCTTTCTCTCATTGAAGGGCTGCTGTGCAGAAAGCACAAATGCACAGAGCAGTACTAACCTCCCTTCCATCACTACATACAGACAGATAACTACACCCATGATGAATAAGGCTGGTGAAGAGCAGGATGTTCGCAGACTTCGTGTGCAAGCCGGACTGCCACTCCTGCCACCCGTCAGCATTTCTGCGCGGACATGCACTCTTCCACCCTACACAAGCCTGGGCCAGGCCCACAGCACCAGCGCACGCCATGAAGGAGCGGCGACGGCCTTGAACAACTGTGCCCCAAGAAAAAAGCACCCGATTCAACAGTATCCTGCTGGCTCTACCCCTGCCGAAGGCCTCGTTCGTGTATTCTTTAACACTGAAAGGGAATAAATGAAAAAAGAAAAAAAAGCTCATCTTTTAATGAATTTTAACGCTGTATTTTTTACCTTGTTTCTTGTTCTGTTTTGTTTGGTGATGCATGGAATTGAACCCAGTGCCACCAACAGGCTACATTCGCAGCCTTTTTCATTTCGTATTTTTTTGAGATGAGGTCTTGGCTAAGTCACTAAGTTACCTAGGCTGGGCTTGAACTCTAGCTCCTCCTGCCTCAGTTTTCTCAAGTATGTTACCTTCTATCTTTTTGGGGTTTTTTGGATCCATGACCCAAACTCAGGACCTCATGCTTGCCAGGCAGGCATTAGGCCACTGGACTATATCCCCAGAACCTGTTACCTTGTATCCTGATTTCAGCAATACTGCTCTTCTCATTGCAAATGGTGACACAGAAAACATTTAACTTGGCAAACAATCTGAAGCCAGTAACATCACTGTCTTTAGAGGATACAATCACTAAAAAGAAAATAAGAGTTATTTCACAATACAATTCAGATAATATAAATTCTATTCAAGACTTTTCTATATTAACTGAACCACAATTCTGTTAAACAGAAATATACACATACACAAGTTAAATTACAAACTTAATTTCAAATACTTCTTTTGCCTTACAAAACTAGGCTTTTTAGTAGACGTTCCTTTTGCAATTTAAAAAGAAGAGTCAGTCCCCGACTTATGAACAAATTCTATTCCAGATTTGTTCGTAAGCCAACAAAATGCATCTTATAGTTCAGTCTGAATGTCAGTGAGTTGGTGACGTTCTGTAAAACAAAGTAAATAAGGACAATAAAATTCTGAATAGCTAAACAATGCACCTACAGCCACATAGTTTAAGTAGGAAGGTCAGACTCTGAACTGAGCACTTTCCTATCCGAAATCTGGGCTCTTGGCTTGTAACACCTATCTGGAAGCTGGCCTGTCCCTGGGTCAGGATGGCCTCCAAGGCCTTCTGAGGGAAGGATGGTTGTCAGGTAGTTAATAGAAGAGAGAAGAGCTTGGGTTTGCAGCAACAAGTTCAAAGAGGAAAAGGCCACCTAAAAAGTTTTAAAACAAAGTTACTTTTCACTGGCAAATGCCAAGCTGCTGTATGCACAAGGGGCCTGACAGGCAGCCAGGCTTGCATCGCGGCTTCGCAGCTTCCATCACTGGGAAGACAGCAGCGAGGAAAGTCATGACCCTCAAGGCAGGGGTGCAGAGAGAGCAAATTAGATGTTCTCGCTCAGTGCTCAGCGCAGATTAGGGCACAGGTCCCTAATCACTCCATTTCCCAAGCAGCTGCCCAGGGAGCATATATTCTGCTGCATGTGGCCACCTGTATTCCCAACATGCATCTTTGTACATTTCCCATTCACTACTCATCATGATCATATAACAAGTTTAAGTCAGAACCTGAAACTCCACAAGCACTACATACTACTAAATCCACAGAGGATTCCAAATGTGGCATCTGTGAGATTAACAATTGGGAGAGTTCTGTTACTAAATCATTAAAACTACAAAAATGGTCCTGTCATAAACACAGAGGAAAGTAAATGTCATAAAAGTACTACACTTTTAGAAAAATGACTCCAGAAAGCTAAGACAACAACACAAATTGCCTCAAAGAAAGTGGTTTTCTAACAGCAAGTTAAAACAAAAGGTCCTTATGGAAAAGAATCTTTCGTTTTCTCATTTCTGCATGGAAAGAAATGTACACAAACAGTATGCTTATAATTCCAGCACTCAGAGAGACTGAGGAAGAAGGGATACAAGGCCAGACACTGTCTCAAAATAAAAAATATAACAACAGAAAAACACATGCACACATCAAAGAGGAAAAGTTCACTATTAAACCAGACCCTCTCAACCCTCTTTTTTGGTGCAACCCACAAGCACCAGCTGCCACTTCTTTAGGAGCACTTACCTCCCTCCCTGTGTCCTACACACTTTCTCAGTCCTGTATTACTTGAAGCTTACAATCCTCTCAGCTGTTTATAGATTACTGTTCCCTTATCTAAAGCATTCCCTTCTTTAGAAACAACACTGCAAGGGCTGGGGATTTAGCTCGGCGGCATAAACGTCTGCCTTGCAAGTGTACAGTCGGGATCCCAGCAGTTGGGTGGCTGAGGCAGGAGGATCGTTGCGAGTCCGAGACCAGCCTAGGCTACAAAGTAAGCTCAAAGCCAGCCTGAACTGCAGAGAGAGACCCTGCCTCAAAAAAAAAAAAAAAAAAAAATTGTAATATGACACAGCCAGCCAAAGTAACAGGGTTAATTTTTGTCCATTTAATATGATATTGGCTGCTGGTTTGTCACAGATGCTTCAAGAATAAGACAAGGATGTCCACTATCACCACTCCTACTCAATATAGCTCTGGAGACATTATACAGACTAATTAGACAAGCGAGAGAAATAAAAGAAATAAGGATAGGAAAAGAAGTTGTTAAACTATCATTATTTTCAGATGACATGACATTCTACATAGAAGACCCCAAAAACTACATCAAAAGACTACTACACTTCATCAGATTCGGCAGTGTGCCTGGATACAAAGTCAACGCTCAAAAATCAACAGCATTCCTGTACACAAACAAAAAACTCACTGACAGAGAAATTATGGAAATAATACCCTTCACCCAAAATATGAAATATTTAGGAATTAATCTAACAAAGGATATGAAGGATCTATATATTGAAAACTACAATACTCTGAAAAAGGAGACCTAACATGGTATCAGAAAATAGGAAGCCATCCCTTCTTCTTGGATAGAAGGAATCAACACTGTGAAAATGGCCATACTTCCAAAACTATTATACGGATTTAATGCAATTCCTATCAAAATACCATTAGCATACTTCACAGATCTAGAGAAAACATCCCTAAAATTCATTTGGAAACAGAAGAGACCTAGAATAGCAAAGGCAATCCTGGGCAACAAAGGCAAGACAGAGTGCATCACAATTCCTGACTTAAATTATACTATAAAGCTACTGTGATAAAATCAGCATAGTAGTGGCAAAAAAAAAGACCTTAAGATCAATGGAATGGATCAGAAGATGCAGACAGAAATACAATGACACTCAGCTACCTTATTTTTGACAAAGGGGGCAAACGTTCACTGGAACATGTTCACTGCCTCTTTACTAAGCAGTGCTAGAAAAACTGGCTTTCCACATGCCAGAGACTAAAATTAGATCCATGTCTATTACCGTGCACTAAAGTAAAGTCAAAATGGATTAAAGATCCAAATACTAAAACAGAAACACTAAATCTACTGGAAGATAAGGTAAATAGAAATCTTGAAGACACAAGGTAGGCAAAGAATTCATGAACAAAAATGCAAACTGCATAGAAGTACTTCAAAGAATCAGCAACTGGGATTCTTATCTTATTAAAAAGTTTTTACACTTCAAAAGAAATCACAGTGTGAAAAGAAAACCCATAGAGAAAAAATTTTAGCCTCCTGTCCCTCAGACAAAGGACTTACTAGAACATATAAAGAGCTGAAAATATCAGGCCCCTCAAATTCAAAGACTTAATTCAAAAATAGGCATCTGTGATGAGCATGCCCTTCTCAGATGCTGAAATACAAATGGCAAATAAATACACAAAGAAATCTTCAACATCACTGGTCATTCGAGAGATGCAAATTAAAACAACATTGAGATTACACTTCACTCCACAAAGAATGGCTGTTACCAAGAAATCAACCAATAACAAATGTCGGTAGGGAAAAAGGAACACTTCTCCATTGTTGGTGGGAGTGTAGACCAATGCAGCCACAGTGAAGATCAGTGTAGAGATTATTCAAAAAACTAGGACTGGAGGGCTCATTCAATCGAGCTATTCCTCGACTGGGTAATTTTGCAGTTTCCAGAAGAACTGAAAACATCGTGTCAAAGTGGTAAATGTGCACCAATGTTTACAGCAGCACAATTTATAATTGGATTGATCTGGGAAACAACCTAAGTGTCCATTAACTGAGGAATGGATAAAAAAGATGTGGTATTTTTATAAAATGGTGTACCACTCAGCTATAAAGAAGGACAAACTTGAGGTTTTTATAAGTGAATGGATGCAACTTGAGACCAAACTCATAAGTGAAATAAATCAGACTTACATGTGTTAAGTATTGTACTGTCTCTCTTATGTAAAACATTGAAAGGGGGTCAGGGATTTAGCTCAGTGGTGTAAGTGGCTGGTGGCAAGTGCAAGTTCATGAGTTCGATCCCTGATACCAAAAAACAAAAACAAAAAACCACTGAAAGAGTAAGAAAGATCCAAAATATACAATAGATACTGAGGAAAGTGATAGGAAAAGAATCTGCTCAAAAGGAAAGAACAACTGGAATAGGTGAAAGGAGAAAACAAAGAGGGGAAAGACTATATGTACCTAGACTCTTTTTTTTTTTTTTTTGTCTTTTTTGAAGCAGGATCTCACTATGCAGTTTAGGCTGGCATTGAGCTCACTTTGTAGCCCAGGCTGGTCTCGAACTCACAGCGATCCTCCTGCCTCAGCCTCCCAAGTGCTGGGATTACAGGCATGAGCCACCACGCCCAGCTATGTACATATACTCTTTATATACACTCAATAGATAACTATACTACTAAACTATTAGTTTGTCCAAAAAAACTTTGCTCTTTCATTTTTATGCCTATATCTTGTAACATGAATGTCACTTTGAAGGGAACAATACACAATACATAACCACTGTTAACCTATTACTTTGTTTTGAAATTTTATATCATCATTATTCTTTGGCTTTTAAAATTTAAAAAAAGTAACAGCTTTACTAAAAATCAGAGTATTTACAAGGTTAATTTATAACTTTTATTGGTTCTTGATTATATCATCAAGTTACACAGATCCTATCCCCCCAAAAATACTAAAGATTTCCATTAATAATTATTTTCAATAGGATATATGCTTTAATAGAATTTCTTACCTTAAATGTCTGTTCAGTTTTTTCAAAAGTGGTTTGAAAACTAGGTCCACTCTTATCAGCCTAAATAAAAAATGAACAAAGGAATTAAGACCAAAGTAATTAATCCACTGTAAAGTCATGCATTTTACTGATTGTAATATGCTGTGTGTTCTCCTCTGGGAGCCCGGGAGAACAATTACTCACTTCAGGGAACCTACAGCAGGGTGTAAGAATGATACACCTTGGGAGGTAGAAGGTGCAAAGGTCATCTAGGTCATCTAGTACATTGGACACCTAATGCTGAAATCCCTTGTCCACTTCTCTGGTAAGTCTGTTTACATCTCCAGTAAAACTTAATGCTACAGTATACGAAGTTGTACTCAAGGATTTCAAAGAACGAAACAATATGGTAACTACTTTTAGGTCAGGATTATCTGGTGGTGAAACACTATTCTGCTTAAATGGTTATGTTTTGATCTGCGCTGTTTCATTGTTATGCCCTCTTTTATCTCAATCTCCACTCCATTATTTACTTTTTTATCTTTATCCTTTTAATTAAAGGAAAAAAATAGCAGGATATATTATAGTAACCCACTTTGACTTTTCATTACCTTGATTTAAAGCCCTGTATTACTCTCACCATCTGGTTTTTAACTGATGTTCCCCTATTCTGTTTTGCTGGATAGTATCAGGTTCGAAAGTTTAGGCATCAGCTGTGAAGATAATGAGATTCATTATGACGCCCATTCTTGTTGACTTTTATCTACTTTTGAAGACCTACAATGTCTCCAATGTTTTGGTTTTGTCGGTTTTATTCTTTACTGTTTTGTTCAATTGTATTATAACTAATGATATAGGCAATTCTATTAGAGATAGCGGGAGGCATTATGGTAACCATTGTTGATCACCTTGTATTATGTTTTTACATTATCTATTATGTCCACCCTTTTGACTTGACCTATTCTGTTCTGTTATGTCACATTTGGTTTTACTCTCTTCCAAAAAAATAATAAGAACCGTGGGAGCAATGAAACCCAAAATGTGTAATAGTCATGGTACAAAAGAGAGGAAAAGAAAGTGCTCCAAACTATATAACTGCATGTATATTTAAGTGTATAAGATAGAAAATGATATCACAGAGTTTTATTGGATCAATGAACAGAACTGTTTGCAGTATCATTGATGGAATGTCCACTTTACAAGCTTTAATTTTGTGACTTGAACAATTATTTCTGGGATGACAATATGTAATCCATTAACTGGTGATTTCCTACTGTTCATTTTTTTTCTGTAAATCTGTATAACTTGTACCCTTTCCCTGCTTGTTTTTTTCTTTTCTCCTTAAATAAAATTTAAAAAAAAAAAGAAAAGGAAAAAAGAAACCTCATCTTCTTAGAAATCCAATCATCAGGGTGCTCTGATTTAATGAAGTCTTTGTACTGCTTCAAGCAATCTCCCAGCCTTATTATTCACTGTATTTCTGATCCCTGAAACAAACAGTGTAACTCCAAACACAAAGATGACCTCCCGGGGCCGGGGATTTAGCTCAGTGGCTTAAGCGACTGCCTTGCAAAAAAGCAATCGTGAGTTCGATCCCCAGTACCGATAAAAAAAAAGAAAAAGACAAAAAAAAAAAAAAAATGACCTCCTGTGAGTTTTCTGCCATTGCTTGTCTGCTTGTCTGCTCCCACAATGCTTTTGTTTTGCTTTATTATATTCATATTACACTGCTATATAATAATCATATTGTCAACCAATCAACACATTTTAATTATTTATTTTTGTACCTCTCCCTTCTAGTTTATAATTTGCCTGCAAAACATAATGTTTGTCATCTGTGTCTCTAAGCACCTGGTAGTGTAATCCATTTAGAAACACATATAGACATTCAATAAATAATAAGTGATTAAAACAAACCTATTAAATCTTAAATGAACCTAATTTTATCAATTACTTCAGCACTTTCCTGGTGCATTTCTTGGTCTCTTTCCAGGCCTGGGAGTTCTCTGCAGCACCTGATCCAATGTGTTTTTTTCTTTGAATGTGGCTTAGCCAAACTGTCACCTACTATACAGACAAGTGTGGACATATAATTATGCCCCTAAAGAGAGAAACAGTGCCTCCTTCCGCCCAGGCTTCTGCATTTGAGAAAAAGAGGTCAGCAGCCTTCTAATAGCTCTTCACTTAGTGAAAGAGAAACAAGGTGTTTACGTGCAAAAAGAAACAGTTAAAAACTAACCTACCACCCAGAATGATTAGTAACACACTGTCCTGTCCACTTCCCAGGGGCACAGTCCAGACTAGTGCTGGCAAATCAAAGACAAAAGATGCTAATGTAGAAGTTGTTCTTTCCTAAACAAAAATCTCAGTATTCAGGTTTAATTGCACTTAATTGGCATTCTGCCATAAAAAAGTGGGTTTTGGGGTGCAGTCTGAGCTCTCATCTCTCCACAGGTTCTCCAGCACTGCCATGGTCCTTACCTTAATATACTCTACTTTTAAAAGATCTGACCCAGGTTTGTCAGAAGAGCTAATCAAGTGAAGGGGCTTTTTTCTTGATCCTACAGAAAAAAAAAAAAAAAAAACATTTTCAAACAAGTTGCTTCTAGAACTTGCTAGACACTTCTTTATAAAAGCTGCTAATTAAGCTTCAAAAGAATACCTGTGCATATTTTCATGGTTATTAAATACTAAAACCATCACTCATGGAGAAATAAGCCACTCCAAGTTCTTGCCTTAGGCATCTAATTTACTTTAAAACATGTATTTATTTTCAGTTGAATTCACATCTGTTCAAAACTAATCAAAGCTTCTTTAGATATTTTTAAGGCCACATGTTCATTAGTAAGGCAGCAGAACAGAATACAGGTGCCAGCATCAAGAAATATCAATTCCAGCTCACCTCTATCCTTCTGACTTAAACTACAAGACATATTTTTCAACAATGTAACGAACAAGTTGGATGGGATTCTGTTGTGTCTAAAATTCTATGAAAGAACTTTATATAGAGAGAACTTTGTGTAGACTGGGAGAAGAGAATTTCAAGAGAAGCAAACTGCAATGCTTCCTGTAAAGTTTAAACACAAGCAGCCTCCACCCCTGCACCTGGGCCAGGGAGCAGCTCCCACGCAGGCCCTGGGAAGGGAGCAGCCGCCCACCGCCCACCTGACCACTGGACTTCTACTCCTGCTTCCCCACCGCACAGGGCATCTTTCTCCCGAGTCCTAATCCTCCATGACAACAAAACAGCCTAGAAAATTTATCATCTACATTTCCCTCTTTCTTTCTGTAAATTCTTTCTTTCTGTACAAAAAAATAGTAACGTAAAATATTTCTTTTCTAAATTGAGGCTGATTTCAGTTACAAATACTCTCAAATTATAAAACCCAGGCCTCTATATTTGACTGAAGCACTAAAGAATTTTAATTATCATACATTTTATTCCTTCATGCCTCAAATATCTGAGGTCACAAGATAAATACTGAGATGAATAAAGTTGCCGAGCTTCTAAGAGAGTGAACTTCGTATTCTCCCATTTTTATTTTTAACTGGAGCTTATGACATGTGACCACTACTGCACAGAAAGCCTGGGACCTGCCAGGCACAGCTGTTGTAATCCCAGCCCTCAGGAAGCAGTGTTGGAGGATCACCATGAGTTTGAGGTCAGCTGGGGCTAAATTAGCAAAATTCAAGACCAGTTGCCTTACATAGTAAGACCCTGTCTCAGAAAGAAAAAACAAAGGGGACCCTCAACATTGTAGGATCAGAGACAAACTCTCCAGTCTTCTAGCCATAAATACATGACATGAAGGAAGCTACTGAATTCTTCTCTGACCCTTTTTGTCTGTCCCTGTGTTTGCTAAGGAGAGTTACACAAAGGCAGAGGTAACAGATCAGAGTAGCTGAGAACAGCAACCGCAGACTGCTAGCCTGCCGGACTGCCAAGATTTCATTCACGGCTCTGCTACTCCTTGTTAGACCAAGGGTAAATTTTATAAGAAATCTATACCTTAGTTACATAAAACTACCAACAGTAACACTATGTTATTGTAAGATTTAAATGAATTGTTATTTGTAAAGTGTTTTGAACAATGTTTACTCTTGTTTATAATAGATACTATCATAGAAATAAAAGTGTTTTAGATGCTTAAAAGTGCTACTTTTATCACTTCCATTTTTAGGAATATTACCTTGAATTTCATGGTAATCCAAGCTGATCTTTAAATAAGACACCACAGTTAGGTCAAAAGTTCTCACTGTGGCCTCTGTTCCTAACTGAGTAACATTAAATACTAGAATTGTATCTTCTTCTTTCTGTTGTTTAGTAAATTCCAAAATTACCTAAAAGAATTAGCATAGCCAAGTGAAAAGTTGACAAAAGTTTAAGTCATAGTTCAAATAAAAAACAAAGTCTTTCTCCATACACATCACCATGAATACAGTTAAAACTTTGCTCAGACCCCTTTCCCACCATAAAGTTATTTAATGTTATAAATTATCATTATCAAGAGTATAAATTCATGTATAAAAGATTATGGTGAAATTTAACATCTTTTGTTGACTTTTTTAAGTTTAGAAAAATTTAGAATTTATGAAGTCTTCCTTAATATTTTCTCAAACTAAAATCACATTTGGTGATAACAGAAGCTATTCAAGTAAAAATTTATGACAAGAAAGTCAGGCAGCGGGCATATGCCTGTAATCCCAGCACTCAGGAGGCTGAGGCAAGAGGATTGCCAATAGCTCAAGGCCAGCCTGCACTACAAAGCAAGACCATGTCTACAAAACAAAAACAAGAGAAAAAGTTATGACGAGAGTGCTTGTTATCATATTACTTAAGTTAATTGTGGAATGGCAGCTGATACATTTAGATAATAAAAAGCAAAGCATGGTATCTTTTAAAAGATATAAACTCCCTCTTTTTATTTATTTATTTATTTATTTATTTATTTTCCCCCAAAATTCTTTAATACACTCTCCAAAAGACAGAGGTCTGTGCTGCTTCCTCCTGAACCTGGACAGCCTGTGAATGCCTCAATCAATAGAGCGCAGAGGACTCTGGTAACACAAAGGGCCTGGGAAAGCTGACAATCACCATGGGAACCTGGAGAGTCAAGCCCAGATAGCAGCCAGCCCTCAGCCTCCGCCAGCCTCCGCCAGCCTCCAAGGGAACCAAAGCACCTGCACCCCAAGGCTTCCAGTGACTGAAGCCCCAGGTAACACCTGATCAAAGACAACAGGCAAACCCAGAGTAGTCCAGCTGGGCTTTTTGGTACTCCTAACCCACAATGCATGAGCAAACAAAAATAGCTGTCTTAAGCAGCTAAGCGTGAGGGTAACTTGAGAAACAGCAATGGTAGCCAGTAAAATAGAAAAACTATGGAAAAGGCACACTAATATTAGCAGGTGGTATGATTATGTACTTAAGAAAAATCAAGCCAAAAGCAACCAAAAACAGAAGATAACAACAAGATAATACAGTAAGTAAAGTTCAGCACACACTTTATATACAAAATAAGCTTCCTACGCATTATTTAAACAAAAGCAATGAAATCGTAAATACATAAAACATGGGGCCAGGAATATAGCTTAGTGGCACAGGGCCTGCCTTGACAAGCATAAGGTCCTGCGTTCGATTCCTGGGACCCACAAAAGTAAAAGGGAGAAAATATATACATTTAATATATACATATATATATTAAATGTATATATATATATATATAAACATAGGTTTTATCTATATATATATATATACATACATAGATTTTATATATATATAAACATGGGTAAGTATTTTGCGAGAATTTTCTAGGCATACACTAAAACTGGGTCATAAAGAAAAAAACTGATAGATTTCACTATAGAAACCTTTTTAAAAAGTTCTACTGGGAAAAGTATTCCAAACAGCATTATTCTTTTTCCTTCAAAAGTTCTGTTTTCACCTCAGTTCATTCAATAGTCAATGAAGTATTTATTGCATATCATGTGCCATGCATGTATCAGGCTGTCCCAGGAGCTAAAAAGACCAAGGTTAAGCAGGCCAGACATAGTTCTTGCCCTCATGTGCCCCACATGCCAGAGAGAGAAGGAAAAGGAACACTGCTCTCTTGAGGTAGTCAGGTCTTCCCAGTAAGGAGACACATACAAGCGCTTGAAGCACACAAGAACCAAGCCATGCTAGGAAAGTGCCCCCAACCAAAAAATGGCAAGCAGAGAAAGTTCTGGTGCACATATGTGAGAAAAAACACATTTAGTGGACTTGGCGGTGCAAGGACTTCGCTCCCCACCCATTTCCAACATCAACACCGATGTCTGGTGGAGGACGGCACCGCACTCACTGGAGGAATGCAAGAAACGCAACTGCAACAGAGGAAGCAAGCAGAAAACAGTGGCCCAAACAGGCAGGCGGGTGATCCCTGCAAGGCCTTGCAGGCCACAGGAAAGCACAAGTCATCACTGAGCCAGGGGAGGGCACGAACAGAGCAGCGCCAGGACGCAGCCTCCGTGTTAAAAGGGTCGCTTTGGCTGCCTTATGGATAACAGAGCAGCGGTCAGGAAGCTGCTGCAAAGATACAGCCCGGAGATGAAGAGGACAGGACAAAGAGCAGCAGTGGGGGAGAGCAAGCATGTGAGTGCAATAGAAAACAAAGCTGAGAGGTCTGCTGCTACTGGGGGTCAAAGAGGAAGAGGAAGACAGCAGGCTAAAAAGGCTAACGCATCTCACTTCAAACACATACCAGCAATGCTTGGTCCACATGCACAAGTCAAATCAGTGACATTTCTCAGATCTGTAGCTGTAAACACCGCACCCCGAGATGAACAATCTGTACTTATCAAAGAAAACATGTATATGAAATTTTAAACAGATTGTGTCCTTGCTAGTGTACATTCCATTTTCATCAAGTAACTATATACCATGACCGTATTTCCAGGTTTCCTTTTACTACATGACTTATTTTTTGGACCATTTTGAGACAGGGTCTCGCTAAGCAGTACAGTCTGGCCTTGCGCTCACTTTGTAGCCCAGGCTGCCCTTGGACTTGCGGGATTCTCTTGCCTCAGGCTCCTGCGTGCTGGGATTACATTTGTGTGCCACCACACTCAGCTTACTAGATGACTTTTAAAGGGCAGAAAAAGCATGCTGGAAATTTAGGATGTTTACATTTTTCCAAACTATAAATATGACAATGAGCAACTATTATTTAACTCACAAATGAAAGTTAAAAAAATAAGCTGAACTTTGTGACACATGCTGGTAATCCCAGCTACAAAGGGGAATCCAAGGTCAGAAACAGCCTGGGCAACTTATCAAGACCTTGTCTCAAAATACAAACAAAAAAGAGCCAGGGAAGTAGCTCTATGATTCCTGGATTAAATCTCCAGTACCACAAAAAAAAAGTCAGAAATTGTCTGAAAAAACACAAATCCTAATTAAAAGCTCTGAGCTCTTCCAAAATAGATCAGACCACAAGTCATCCCTATTTAAAAAAAAAGAAAAAAAAGACTTTCATTGTTTTGACATGGTGTGTGGGGATACATTTTCCTAACCTGATGTGTGGTCTACCATGAAACAGTTTAATGATGACAAGAATACATTCATAGACAAAAAGTACACATACTCCTTTAACTTCAAACTTGAGCAGAAGATTAACGAGGGCCTCGTTCGGAACCTCCGCAGCCTTTCGGGGTTCGGAGCCTGGCGCACCTCTAGGCACCTGGGAGGCACCGCCTTCAGCGTCGAAATACTCATCATCAGACTCTAGGGTAGAAAGACATCCACTAAACACTGCACAAAGCACTCAAGCCCAAGTCCTCTCAGGCAAAGTTTATGCATTAGATGTAACTCTATATTCACACTCAAAACTGCCCCAGAGCTTTTATCAAGTCCCACGAGGTGACTCAGTTAGGCACGTGATAATCAAATTTGAAATCAAACAGCACTACAATCTTTCCTTCAGTGACTTCATTTTTGGCTTAGTTCACTCATTGAGTACTCCATGAAATAGTTACTGACCCATCTACCATGTTCCAAGCTGTGTCAGCCCCCAAGAACTTAAGAGTGACCAGAACAGACATACTTATTATCTCTGCCAAGCTTATGCTCTAGCTTGAAATCTCAAAAGATCAACTAAGCATGGCTACAGAAAAGGATCACACAGAGATCAGGTCATCAAGTAGCTTATTTAGAACCTGAAGTAAAAATTGTTGACCACCAAAAGGGCTTTAGTAAAGAAACCTGACCTTCCAAACGTAAATAACTGAAGGCACACTGTTAGGTAACAGCACGAGAACCAGAACCAGCAGACTGCTGTAATGCACTCCTAACACCTCTGCTTTTCTGAAAATGTTATTGTGATAAAGATAATTTAGAAACACACTTTTACACTCCTTACCTGAATCCATTTCACTCAGCAATAATGAAGTACCAAGGAGAACTTTTGTCCCACTTGAAGCAACAGGAACTGACGATACCTAGCAAAGTACACAGAAACAAAAACAAAATATGAATTTAACAGGATTAAATACACACGAGACTGAAAACTAACAAAGTTCAGAGATGGAAAAACTCATACACGCCATATATAAATCTTCCAACAGAATACATGACATCCAGACACGGGGACACGTGCCTATAATCCTAGCACTCAGGAGGCTGAGGCAAGGAGATTGTTGTGAGTTCGAGGCCAGCCTGAACTATACAGCAGGATACTGTTTTTTTAAAAAAATTTTAAATAAAAAAGGAAGGATAAATTCTGTAACTGAATAATAGTTGAAATTTACAAATTAAGATTGTCATCATGTTTAAAAGATAAAATTATGTATAACTCTAGCAGATAAGGTGATTCATTAATGTTTATCATTTAGCTGCTGTGAACATCAGAGGTCCCTAGAAAATGAGTTCAGCATCAGATGATTCTCTCAAAATGTGTTTCTAAGTAAGCAAAAATCCAACATTTCTTCTGTGTGTTTGGGGTGGAGAGGAGGGTTTTCACTAGTAGTTCACGCTGGCCTTGATCTCATTATGTAGTCCAAGCTGGCTGTGAACTCAGTGATCCTCCTGCCTCTGCCTCACAAGTGCTGAAATTACAGGTATGTGCCACCATGCCTGGCCCAACATTTCTTTTATGCTATGAAAATTATTTCAATTAAAGTGACTCAGAACTTTAAAGTCCAACACAAAAGGAAATTTTATCCCCATTATTTTATCTGTAACATTTCTAAGATGATTTATATTTCTAATTTTATTTAAAGTATGTTTTCTATTTTATTTTCCTTTCCTGTATTTTTGGTTCTTTCAAGCATAAAGTTTGCCCTAAAACTGCCTTCCGACTGCTACTCTATTACAGCAGTTGTCTGAAAACAGAAGATTGAATATTTGTGTCATACCCATTACCTGTCTCTCTGGAGATTGAGTTGATGATTTCTGTGGCAAAGGTATACTGTTAATCAAACACAGCACATCTTTCATCTTCTGGTCTGAAATCCTCACATGCATCAAAGGAAGTCCTCCTGATGCTTTAAATCTAAAAACACAATTCAGCCGTAAGATTTCAGGATCAGCCAGCCTCTCCATCAGTACTGCAGAGGGGGAAGGAGCTGCAGAGTCGGGTTACTGTAGACAAGTTCTAATCCAATCCCCGGCTTGTGCTGACAATACTGTCAGCCAACTGGGATTCTAAGTCAGGTTTCCAGGTAATTTAATTAATTTAAGGATACCTGGTAATTTAATTTCCAGGTATCCTTTTTTAAGCAGCCAAACTTTTAAAGGTTTTTACAAAGCCTAAACATACTAAACAAATTCTCTTTTTAAAACCAAAACCGCCATGTATACTTTATTTCCAAATATCCAAGATTTCTCATCATTAGTGGAAAAGAGTATCTATCCTGTCACTATCTCCTTGTCTCTTATTTATTTTAACAGAGCACTTGGGAGCACTTCACAAGTCATATACGGATACACTAGCTCATCTCACATCCCTGGCTGCAGTGTAAGTTCCCTGAGGCCATCTGTCCATCTGTCCACACTGTGTCACAGGCCTGCTGTCCTCAGCAACTGGCCCCACAGCTGTTCCCTGCACCCACCCCAGTCTGCCTGTCTCCATTACACTGTGCAGCCACTGCCGCCATAAAACTCTTTTAAGTTATCCCTGGCTTCCTGGCTGGGCTGTGAATAGCCGGGCTTACAGATGCCTACCTGCAGGTGGGCTTTTAGGGTCAGGATAAAGGCAGCAGTGGTTAGAGGGAAACTCATAGCGCTACATGCCTACATGAGCAACAAGGCTCAAACGAATGACCTCAACTACTACCTCAAGAAAATGCGAATGAAAGGGCAACAAAACTCAAAATACGCAGGAAAAAAGAACAGCAGTAAACATCAGGGTAGAAATGAGGACCAAAAAAAGGCAAAAACAGAAATCAACTTGAGAAAATATTTGAAATTAAAAAGAAGGTTAAGAAAACTCATAAATCTCTAGCAAGACTTGTAGGAAAAAAAAAAAAGAGAGAGAGAGAAAACTCAAATCACTAATACCAGAATTGAGAGAGATAACATGACTACAGATTATTAATGTATTAAACAAATAAGAAAATACTATAATTTTATGCTAATAAACCAAACAACAAAGATAAATTTCTTAAAATCATGTAAAATATTTGCAACACTCAAAGGATGATTCAAAACAATCTGAATACATGTGAATCTCTATAATAAACTAAATTTATAGTTTAAAACCTAGAAAAAAAAGAAAAACTCCAAGTGCTGATGGCCATTCTAACGTCTCTTTCTAACGTCCCCTTGGCCAACTCCACATGAATACCCATGGGCTGCAAGAAACACGCAGCCGATGGGTGGGAAAATAGACACTTCTTCCTCTTTAAAAAAAGATTTTAAAATTCTTCCAAACATAGAAAGAAAGAAAGAAAGAAAGAGAGAGAGAGAGAGAGAGAGAGAGAGAGAAAGAAAGAAAACTGATTTCTATGTAACATTTCCCACATAGCCAATATTACCCTAATATCAAAACAAAAAAGAAAAGCATGGATCAATATCCCTCATGAACACAGATACAACACTTGTTAACAAAATTTTTGCAAATTATTCCCCATGATATTTTGAATATTACCAAGTAAGGTTTCTCTAGTAAGACAGTTGGTTTAACATCTATCTGGTAAAGAGTATGAAGGAATTGCTGATACATACACCAACATGAATGAATCACTAATTATGTTCAAAGAGATCAAACAAAAAATTAAAAATCTATGTTTTCATTCATATAAAATTCTAGAAAGTTCTAACAAATCCCCAGTGTCAGAAAACAGACCAATGTTGTCCAAGGATTGGTTGAGGGGGAGAGGAATTAGACAGGGAAAGGAAGGGAAGGAGGAAATACCAGAGTTCAAGGAAACTTTTGGAGGTGATGGATGTGTTCATTACTTGCCTGTGAAATTTTCACGGAGATACACACATGTCAAAACTTACCAAATCATACACTTTCAACGACTCAGCCTACTGAATGCCAACCATATGTCAACAAAAATGTTTTTCTAAAGGGCAGTTTAACTGACCAAAATTCAGTTTTAATTTTTATCCTCTTAGATTTTTTAAAGATTTCAGGTAGTTTCATGGTGAAACATGTTTCTGGAGGCTTTACCTCATTAATAATGCACCTTGAAAGAGCTATAATGCACCTGAAAGCCATTTAAAGACACAGATCACCTAATTTTATACTGTCTAAAAGTCTAGATAAAACTTCTCAAAAGGTTACATATAATTCAAATTATCATTTCTTTAAAATGTATTTTAATTTTCTGTCTCCCACAGAAATCTATCCAGTAGCTGATATGGACAGCATTCACTTTGTTGGTTTCTGAAACAAAAGACACCCACGCATTACCTGGCCATTCTCGTGTCCTTCTCTACCATCGCCTTGGCTAGCTCCACATGAATATCCATGGGATGCAGTATATGCATAGTGGACGGGTGCTGAAAACGACACTTCTTCCAGTTTTCCCCTTCAAAAAAGGAGTTTAAATTAATTTTAATGCATTATCGACTATTCTGCAGAAAACTTTTAGTAGAAAATAGTGAAGGGACAGAGTCAATGCTCACTTTTAATTCTTTCATTATACAAGTATTTCTGCTGTACTGGGGATCAAACTGAGGGCTTCACACATGCTAGGCAAGCACTGTACCACGGAACTAGGGTAACCTGTATTTTAAACATAGGCTCACAGAGACTGTGATATAAAGATAATTCTATATACTTTTTGAAAATGTTTATATGACAATGCTTGCATTTCAAAGCAAGCATAGGGGGCTCAGTGGCCTAAGTGCCTGCTTGGCAAATACAAGGTTGTCAGTTCTACTTCCGTTACACACACACACAAAAAAAAAAAAAAAAACCAAGAAGGGGGGAAAAAAAACAGGAATTACCTCAATTCCAGAGTTAGCAATCAAGATAGGTAGCTATGGTAAAAAGTAGGGGAAAAAAGCACAAAAGGGTGAGGGTAAGGTTGATGGAATTCCTAAGAACAATAATTACATTTGCTTCACATATGATGGCAGAGAAAAAGTTTTGTAATGCAAGATTTTATGATAAAAACATCGGATAATGGACTGGGGATTTAGTTCAGTGGCATAAGCGCCTTCCTGACATGCACCAAGTTGTGAGTTTGATCCCTAGTAGCAAAAAAAAGTGTGATAATCACTTTTTCAAGAAAAGAAAATCTTAAAGATAGATTTCCCAATGGCTGTCTTGTACATGTCTTCCTGATGGCAATGTGGAGCATGTTTTGTCACTTGTACTTCAACTGTTTGTAAATACATACTCAAAAAGGGAAGTTTAATGGTTTGTGTATTTGCCTTACAGGAACTAACAGGCCCTTAGTGTACAAAAAACTCACTCTTATAGATTGTACACTGTACTCCGTAATTTTGCCTGTACTTTTCTCCGATGATCTATCACAAAGTGATATACAAAGACATTTAATAAATACTTAATGCCTGTAAAACTAGAGAAAGTATAAATACCCGAAGCCTTTACTCATGGGATAGAGAATACACCACATCTGTTTTGTTCAATTTTATTGTAACTGATGATATAGGCAATTCTTTTTAAGATAGCAAGAGGCATTAAGGGTAACCATTGTTGATCACCTTGTATTTTGTTTTTACATTATGTATTATGTCCATCCTTTTGATTTGACTGACTCTGTCCTATTATGTCACATTTGGTTTTACTTTTTTCAAAAAAAAGTAATAAGAACAGTGGGAGTAATAAAACCCAAAATGTGTAATTGTCATTGTACAAAAGAGAGGAAAAGAAAGTGCTCTACAGGACATAACTGCATGTATATTTAAGTGTGTAAGATAGGTAACCATATTACCGAGTTTTATTGGATCACTGAACAGAACTGTTTGCAGTTTCACTGTTTGAATGTCCACTTTATATGCTTTAATTTTGTAACTTGAACAATTATTTCTAAGATGACAATATGTAATCTATTAACTAGTGATTTCCTACAGTTTTTTTCTGAAATTCTGTATAACTTGTACCCTTTTTCTGTTTTTTTCTCCTTAAATAAAATTAAAAAAAAAAAAAAGATAAGTAACATATATAATAATAAAGGCAACATGGGAAAATGACATCAAAACATTCCAAAAAGCATCAGGACAGAGGAACCTGAACCAATCACAGCTTCCATTTTGGATTCTGAACTGTTTTACATCATATTGCAAAAATACAATTTGTGAATTGACTGGGTTCAAACACCACCCTAAGATGAATTGGCAAATACTGTTTCAGTTTATAACTGACAGTGGTTTGCATAATATGCTTCTATATGGTTTTCTTAAGCACCAATAGTTATTTGTGCAAAATCGTTATAAAGGTTTATATATGCACATGAACACATACATGTATCTGACTTAAGCCATTCACACTAATTTCAGTATTCTGAAAGTTGATCAGTGCTATACCTGCTCTTGCAAAGAGTAGTTGCACACTCTTTATTTCAACATCAAACTTGTCATATGCTTTATCCATTATTTCTTCCAAAGATGAACTGGTAGTCTTCTGTAGACCTTGACATTTACTGTTGAGCTAAAATGAAGAAAAAATTTTTGATTTTTTTTTACACAACAGAATGTACACAAATCAACATATTTTAGTTGTGTGTTTTCCCAAAACTTAAATAAATGAGACTGTCCTTAAGGCTCTGCACCTCCCACCACCCTACACCAGGAACAGCAGGGCTTTACTCCTTCTCTCCACTGTTCAGTGATAGCAATTAGCCCATGAGAAATTAGTGTCCAGTTCTATTTCCTTTTCCCCCTTCCTAGCCGAAGCAAAGACTTATTTCTGAAAGTTTTATCTTTCTTCCAGAGGTTGAGATTCCATGAGAGTCAAACACCAAAATCTATGGGTTCTTTTGTTCTACTTAGTTAACTGGCAGTGATTAAATAAATATATACATACAGTCTCCTGTAAGCAAAATACATAAGCAACATGCAACACTGCATAATTAATCTCGAGAAACCATGAAAACTAACACTGTTCCTCCCCAATTAGGAAAACACAAAAGCAATCCCATCATCAATGTGAAATCACCTACTACTGATTAATAGTGCTATTTAACCGTTATATAATGCATATACTGTAATGTAGGCAAGCACCAGGGAACTACACTCACACTCATACTGAGTAATCTAGACTAACCTTGACAAATGCTAAGAAAGTCTTAGTTTAGTTTAAGTGAACTCTGAGAAGTTTCACTTTTTATGGTAGAAACCTAACTGTGGCATTATCAGAAAAGACTTCAGATTTGTCCTTAAGTCAAGCACTTTTCAAGTCTCAATAATATGTTTGTTTAAGTTCTGAAGAAAAAAAATGGAAGATGAAATGGTTAGGCTGAAATATGTAATAAAGAAAATATGGAAAGAAGAGCAGGCTATCAGTTAGTGAGCTACCAAGCCTGTCAAAGCAGACAGAAGTGTGCATACACCTACCTGAAATGTACCAAAATCTAAAATGAGAAGATTTGACTTTTCATGGTGGAAGCCTGTCTGTGGAACTATTAGATAAGAAGGCTTCAGATTTATCCTTAAATCACGAACTTTTCGAGTCTCAATTATATGTGTAAGTCCTGAAGGAAAAGAAAAGGAAACGGTGAAATGTATAATCACACTACTAACCAGACTAACAGATTCACTTGAAAGGCACTGAGGAGGGCAGCAGGCTCTCATAAGTCAGATTCTCAGCTGAGGTGCAACCTGCACACAGTCAGTGAAAGTAACTGTGTCACAGCGGAGCATAGTCAGCTCAGTACGAGTCCAGTGCTAGTGTTCTCTATGGAGAGAGAATGAACAGGTAACACACTTGGCATGAGTAGAGGCCCCGTCACACAGAAGCGTCCAGCCTGAAAACCAGCATCCTGCGCTGCATGGACTGCAGCTTCCCAGAACAGATGGAGGGTGCCTCCATCTCAAGCTCCTTCTGGGCAGGGTCCTGGACATAGAGCAGGTGGAGTCATCTGCACTCCCTACCGTTCTCCTTGTCCAGCCTAGAATGGACGTTTCAGCTTGAGTTGCCTTGGTACTTTTGTCTTTTCTTTTTTGCTTTTTAGGTTTTTTAAAAAAATTTTTTTTGGTATTGAGGACTGAACTCAAAGCTTCCCACTTGCTACACAAGCGTTGTACCATTTAGCTAAATTACCCCAGTCCCTGTATTTCCACTTGAGTAAGCCGTGTCTGTTGTACAATCCGCACAACTGAAGGAACCTACACTAGTTTAAATACATGGACAGAAGAACACACATTTTTCAAGTGTATGGAGACATGAATTCTTTACCAGTAGCTGTTCTCTCTTTAATTTCTTCCAGCTTCATCAAAGTAGCTGATGTTATTTGCTCAAGATCCAATCCCCTATTTGACTGAAAGAAATCAACCACTGCATTGATGGTTTTCTGTAAAGGAATTTAAAAATACAATCAAGTTAAACATATATACCTCTTTCAATATTGTAACTTTTTAAGACTTTGCCTCATTCTAAAATAGTAATGGCTTTGAAAGGAGAAATCGAAAGATATTCTGGACTATTTCACCTCCCACTAGAGGAAGAGCAGCCGAGTAAGCTTATAGGGAAGTTGCCAACATCTGCATGTCACCTCAGTGTCAGCTGCATTCCACAGGGGTACAGCGACACAGGCAAGGAACTACAGACATCACTGCTAGCTTTAGCCTCTCGTCGGTCAGTAAAATAGTACTTTTGAAAACTGTGATTGGATTGCATTGTACTCTGAAATTTAGAGAGGAAGTAAGAAGAAAACTATTCAGGCCTTATTTATATACAAAAGTTGATGTTAATTCTAAAAAGAGATTTTTGTAAAATGAAAAAGGTTCTGGAGATTGGCCATAGAACACTATGCCACTTAACACTACTTTAAAACACTTAACATGGTAAATTTTGTTATGTGTATTTTACAAAAAACATAAAATTTTTAGACGTTCAGAAGCACAGTGCATTCTGGAGTGTCTGCATCCATCCTCCGTGTATACTGGGAACCCATCTCTAACCTCCACAGTGAAGTACAGGAGGGTGGCGGTGGGTGAGGCAGTATGTGGAGTGAGAGGGAGCTTGGGCTAGCGGAGGGCGAGGCACAGACACAGAGCTGGAGGCAGCGCTGTCCGGAACACCTCAGCGTCAGTGCTTGCTCCCATATAGACAGCACTGGGAATTCTCCCCCCACTCCTCGAGCTTAGGTTCCAAACACGGAGAGCAAAAAAGACCAGGCAAACAGTGTGCACCTAATCGGCAGTAGCTGGCACATGCACAGGCTGCTCTGTAGGTATATTAGGGTTTTTACATCTAACATAAGGAGACATAAATAAATCTTAAATACTTAAGGAAAAGAATGGCAATAGCATATGAGAAATTAAAATCGACTACTATAACACACACTGCTTTGAAACAAGAAAAAGCTTATGAAACTGAAGCTTGCTAATTAAACAGAACAGAAGAGAAATAAGCAAACACTAAATGCAAGGCAGCCGCAGCAAGGAGCCCAGCCTCCCTGCACCTACAGCATCGTAGATGACCTCCACAGGCTGGGACTGGATGGTCAGCGTCTGGTCAGCAAGGCTGTTCTCTGGATTGGTTTCAAACTCAATTTTAAGCAAGGATGATGCAGTGTCGCCAATGGAAGCCACAAGGGATGGCACAGTATCCTGCTGTCTCAGACCTGTGATATACCAGTGTTCTAACTTTGCTTCTACCCTGCAGTCCAAGGAGAATGAGAAAGTCATAAGAGCCTTTGTAATTTAATAGGCTGAAATACAACTTTTTCTTAAAACAGTCTTCCAAGAATCAGGCCCAGTCTATTACCCAGAAGTGAAATTTAGCTTCCTTAGCCTGCCGTCCATTCACTTTCGTCATCTGTTTGCAATGCTGCTATCACTTTGTGACTGTTTTTATTACCTCATTGTCTGCTGGAAAAGCTCACTTTCACCAACCCCAGGGGACTGCAGCGGTTCTGACCACTTTTTGGTGAATAAAAATTCATGCAAAATGGGAGAAGTTATCTGCCTGCTCCTATGCCAGCCTCACCAGCCTTCATCTCTCCCCTGCTTCTTCTCGTGCTCTTTCCCATCAGCCAGCCTAAGCCTTCATGGGTTCAGTTGGGCTCTTGCCCAGATGAGCTTGTGCAGCAGTAACAGAAGGTACTAATGTACACCATCACCTCACTCTGACCACCTAACATGTTACACAGCTCCTGAATTACTAGCTTTATGTATGTCGTACCAGCTACAGCTTACACTTCCTGAAAACGAAGGCTCACGGTGCCTACACACAGCTTTCGGAGCCTGAAGCACATGGCATCAAATGTTTGTGAAGAAAAGAAAGGAGAGTACAATAATGATGAACTCTATGTAGTTCCATAATAACTGAAACACAAGATGACTATCTTGGCACACACAAAAAAATTTTAAAAAGAGGTGTTACTGGCCAGGGATTTAGCTCAGTGGCATAAGTGCCTGCCTGGCAAGCATGAGGTCATGAGTTTGATCCCTGGTACCACAAAAAATAAAAAAAACTTTAAAAAAAAGAGTGTTACTGATCTTTTCCATGCTGCATAGCATTTCATATATTCTGGTCTACAATCATTATTAGAGTTAAAAACTGAAATAAGTTTTTAAAAACTTACTTAAGGGCTTGCGCTCCTGGTCGCTGGCATACTTGGGTGCCCAGGCCAATGATCTGGATTTTTAGGATTTCAGGAATATTTTTGTTTTCTCTGATTACAATAGAAGTGCTTACCAACTTCAAGGTCATTATATAGGCAACATACTGAAGAAAAAAATTGAGTGAAAATTGTTACAGTTTACATAACCTTTAGCAGTTTCTTTTTAAATAAATATGATGAATTATAATGTAACCTAGCAACATGTAGGTTTTGGCAATCACATAATTACCACAAATGAAGAACAGCAGAATATTTGATAAAATTTTCTCTCTAATACACATTTATAAAGATCCAAAGTTCATTTCTCTTAAGTTTTAAAGGTAGTATAACAATGACGTACAATAAGACTTCTTGTAGATGAGCAAAAAAAAACCAAACAAACAAACAAATCATAATAAGAAACACCCACCTGATGGCTGCAGGAAGTTAGCAACACACTAAAAGGAGACTCCTGACCCGATGCTTGTCAAGTCATGACTAGACCTAGACACAGGACAGCCAGTCAACCGGAAGATAACTCTGGAATCTGAGATCCTAACTCAGCCAGAGTGCTTGAAAACTGAATGAGGGAGCCAAGGGGCTGTGAAGCTGGCCAGCAAGATCCAAACTGGAAACGAGGTCCCCACAAAGGGCAATGGCACCGATGAGACTCCCCAACTTTGGCTAGGACCCTGATGGGCCACAGTGCAGGGCGAAAGGCAAGCATCTAAGTAGGCAGACTCCCAGGATCCACAGCACAGCATCGAATCACATCAAGCCCCCCAAAAGACAGAGGTGATCCCACGTAATGGTGCTACAGACACCAGGAAGAAACACAACGTCTCCCTGAAACAAGAATCTACCTTACTGGATACTATTTCCCTATGTCTCTAAAACATAAAAGTATATATCATTTGCAAAATCAATATCTAATATATTAGGCACATGTACAGATATGCTCATCGGATCCAGAATATGTCCAAACAAACCCAACAAAAACCACAAAGAATAGATACTCACAGGGACTCTAGACATCACATTTTACACTCACAGGAAGTGTAAGCTTAGAGGTACACTGTGGTGCTCACTATACTCAAGGAGCTAAAAGACAAAACTGAGCATGTTAGTAAAGAATTTCAAAGCTATTCTTTAAAAAAGAAAAGTGTACAGAACCAAACAGAAACTCAGGAACTAAACGATACAAAAAATAAGGAATTTAATGAATAAACAATCAGCTCATGGGAGAATAAGAGGAAACAATTTAAATTAAGAACTTGGATATACAGAATAAAGAAGAGACAGACACATGAGATATAAAATCTAAAGATATTAGAAATTTTAAAAAGAGAAAGAGAATGAAGAAAGAAAAATAAAAGCTTTAGTGATTTCCCATAAGACCTCAAGATAGCTTAATGAATTTAAACAATCTATAATTCTATATGCAGAAAAAAGAATCCTTCAAGAAAAAAGGGAAAATAGATACATTTTTAGAAAACTAATTACCAACAGACCAGTATTAAAAGGAATAATGTATAGGACTAGAGATGTAGCTCAGCTGCACAGCACCTGTCTGGTAAGTGCAAGGTCCTGAGTTTGATTCCCAGTACAAAAAAAAAAAAAAAAAAAAAAAAAAAGAATATACAGAAATGGGCACTCTTTGGGCAGAAAGTAATAGTACATGCATGGCCAAACAGAAAGGAACTAAATAACCGAAACATCCAGTTTGGTGACATTACCACTCTCCCTAAAGTAACCCATACATTCAGTTCAATCTCTAACAAATCGTCAGCATGTACTTCTGGAAACACTGATGATTCTGAATAGCATGTGGAAGCATGAATGATCTAGAGTAGCCAAGATTCCCTTATCCAAAGATCAAGCCAGTCATGGTGGCACAAGCTTGCAATCTCAACACTCAGGAGGCTAGGAAGATGAAGATAACAAGCTCAAGGCCAATGTAGTCTACACAGGGAGCTCTTGTTTTAAAATAATCAGAGCTTAACACCACTAAAATTTAAAAGATTGATGCCAAGTGTTGGTGAAGATGCAGAATCCTCATATCTGCAAATGGAAATGTTTTCCATCTTGCAAAACTATTTCAGAGACTACACTATTACATACACTCGTATCCTATGACCCAGCAGTTTTATTCCTAAGTAGATAATACACAGGAAATCTTAAGATATACACACTACAAAGATACCTACAAGAAATCCATGGCAGCATTACTCATAATAACCGAACAAACGGAACAACCCAAATGTTCATCAACAAAAGCACAAATGAATAACTTTTGGTATTTTTTGTAAGTGTTGGAATCCTATGGAACGACAAAAATGTGCAAAATATATGCAGTACAACAGGATGGGCCTCACAGCAAACACAAACATGTACTTTATAATTCCATTTAGAGAAAGACAAAAATGTACAAAATAAAATCAGTGCTTATACTAAAACAAAAATCAAACGAATTGTTAACACAAAAAGCTGGTTATTAACTGCCTCTGAAAAGCAAGAACAGGAATATACACAGGGGTTCTATATCAGTGGCAAGACTAATCTGGACCCTAACAGTAATTATACACTTGTGTCCTTTCTGATCAACCAAGTGAGCAGGACATTTCAGTTTCTTTCACTCTTACATGAGTTATGTTTCACAGCAAAAAACCTTTTAAAGATTCAATTTAAACTATAAGAAGCACTTTTTAATCAGATTATCCTTACACTCACTAATATCTAACGTTGAAGGGAAAATTTTAATTGGTAAGGTCTGACTGGAAGCATTTAACAACTGAAGAGTAAAGTAGAAACTAACAATAACATATTTCCAGCAGTTAAAAGTTGGAACTTATGTAATCCAATTACAGACCACGCGGCAGGAAGGATGGAAACACCTCTCCAGTGCAGTGTAATTACCTTCTTGGGCAAAGTCAAGTTATGCATGCTCCTGCTGTAACCAATAGCAGTGAATAGTTTGTCCTTCTCCTCAGGGGTCATAAGATCATCAATAGCTACAAGGAAAACAGTAATTCAAGAAATTAATTTCTTCAGCTTTACAAATAAAACCAACAAGTCAAAACAAATGTCCCAAAATCAACAGAGGCAAACGATAAAACAAATCAGCCAAGTAATTTCCTCTAATACTCCACTATGACAAAAATAAGCACCTGTCTGTGTTCACCATTTCAGTAAAGACAAAGAGATGGTACAAAAGAAATTCTGTTTGCAAAGGGTTTTAAAAGAGGGTCTTAGAAAATTTTAAAACTGAAGTGAAACTTATTATTAAATATTCATGGAAAAGGTAAGTGCTAAGTGCTGAAACCCCTAAATCTGAACATTTTAAATTTCATATAATTCTTCTCAAGAAAAAGTTTTACTTGAGATAAATTTACTAGGATACTGAGCTGATTTTTTTTCAAAATAAAAGTTTTTTGAAATAAAGTTCAACTGGAAGACTAAGGTATAATTTACCTAATATTTTCTCATGATTATACAATAAACTGGCAGACTCGGAACTTACTTTCAGGAATCAATGATTCTTCACCTTTTTTCTTAGACTCCTTCTTACCCCAAAACCCACTAAACCAGCCTCCCCGTTTCTCCCCTGTGTCAGTGGATTTCTTCCTAAGTTTCTGCCCAGATCGAATCACCTAAAAAATTAAAATTAAAAAATTAACTGAAAAATAAATGCTTTCTTCATTTTCATGCTCAACACAATGTCAGACTAAAACAGGCACAAAAGCCAGGTCCTTCTTAAATGATTCTCACAATACCATTTGGTAAACAGCACCCTTGTATTTATGGAAAGCATCTTGATGAGACTAAATCGGACCAGCAATACAACTGGTTTCAGGTAAGACTGGTCTGAGGGTTATAATCCAGAAATCTTTCAGTTCAAGGCACTAGAATTGCAGGTTAGTAAAGCAAAGGCTTCCACTAAAGAAAGATGTTCTCAATACCCAAAACGTATCAGTTCAAAGCAATTGTATTTCAGAATTCACATCCACTGCTGCTTTGCTAACTATGGTATGGCAGGAGAGGAGGGCTACAGATGGCACCCGAATCACACATCAGACTCTCTCCGCAACAAATTTCTCATCTGTTTCTATTACTCCCTCTCTTTGCCCACTTACCAGATAAACCAAAAAACAAAACACAGAGGCAAAGAAAATTTTCAGTTAGAACATAAAATATTCTAAGCTTATAGTGAACAATTCTATAGTAGAGAGAACAGGCTTGGTTAGTAAATTATAAAGATTAAAAGCATGAGAAAATGTTAGACATTTATCATATGCCAAGGAGGAGTGAAACACTAAAATCTTGTTTGAATTTGCAAGTCACAAGTGAATGACAGACAGTTACTGCAGATATCACAGCTCACTGGGTACTCAATCCTTTCTGTGCATGTGCATCATCAAGAAGCTTAAGAAAAACATCAAGGCCCAAGCCCACCCCAATTAAATCCATCTTAAGGGTGTGGGGCTCCAGGCATCCATATGTTACAAAAATTCCCCAGGTGACTCTAATGTACACCAGGTTCAAAACTACAACAATGGAGTTTCCTTCAACAACAGCAGAGATCAAAACACAGGACATTCAGAAGCTGGGCATGGTGGTGCATGCCTGTAATCCCAGCACTTGGGAGGCTGAGGCAGGTGGATCATCGCAAGTTGGAGACCAGCCTGGGCTACAAAGTGAGCCAAGGCCAGCCTGAACTGCGTAGAGAGACTCTGCCTCAAAAAGACAAAAAAAAAAAAAAAAAACCAGCCCACAGGGAGTTCAGCTGCTTCAACTTTTTCACAGCAGATGAAACTAAGCTACTCTGCAAAGGATACCCAATCACATGCCTACCATCTCGAGTTTGAAAGGTCTGAATTACAGTACTGACAACCCTCCCAGGAAAATGCAGCCTGAGATGGCACCCTGGAACCCCTCCTGGATACCTGCACTTCACAAATGGGAGGATTTATGAAGCATCCTTCATAAACCTAAATGCCAGAAAAACTGCAAGGCACCTGAGTATTAAAAATTTTTAAGTAAACTGATCACTTTAAAAGAGTAGACACAAATTATAACCATCATTTTAGTCTCCATAAAAAATCTAATTTATGATAATAAAAACATGTATTTTAACGAGATACATTTTTATTTTGAAAAAACATGAATTCATTGAAAAAAATCATTAAAACATTAAAATAAATACTCTGTTAAGAGACATCAAGTAATGGGATAACACACGGCAACATTCAATTTTCTCTTTTTCAAATCTCTACTTAAGTATCTTTTAAAAAATTCTTTTAGGGCCAGGGATGCAGCTCAGCAGCGCAGCACCTGCCTGACAAGCACAAAGTCCTGAGTTTGATTCCTGCTACAAAAAAAAAATTATTTTAAAGGAAGATAAAGTCACTATCAAAGTTGAAATCTCAGTTAGAGATGTGATCAACATGCTAAAATTTTCAAAGCGTTTCAAAATAAATTCAAAAATAGAAAAACAATTAGGCAAGGTGGTGCATACAATAATTCCAGCCAGCACTTGGGAGGTTGAGGCAGATGTTCAAGTTTACTGACACACACACCCAAAAAGTTAGCAACACTTTTTCTCAAAAGAAAAAAATTATAAACATGGCTGGGGATGGAGCTGAGTGTGAAAGTCCCAGCTCTGATCCCCTGTTCTACTACAAGGGGAAAAAATGTAGAAAGACTTAATAAAGAGAAAAGATACAAATTAATACAAAACATCTAATGAAAACACTAACCTCAATGACAAAGACTATGAAGAAAATAAGGAGTTCACTAAAAACGCTTTGATTTGTTTTGATGATTACCATTTTAAAACGATTACCATTTTAAAAATCTAAGAATCACCACTTAAAAACGTGACAGCTATCAGAAACTCTACTCAAACAGTACCAATTTCAAATCCTGGTTCTGATACTGTGTTTTAATTTACATTAGATGTAACCCCTGGGGGAAACTGAGTCAAAGAGACACAGGGACTCTGAAAAATATCTTTGCTGCTTATTTTCTGTAATGGCTCTATAATTATTTCAGAGTTTAAAATTTTTACACACACACACAGAGAGACCTCTTTTACATGTGTCTGTTAAAAATCAAAGTGCTCATACAAGTGACCAACAGAAACACAGATCCAGCACAGCCCTCTCACCTGTTCCACGTATCCGTGACCCACATCCTTCCCTGACTCACAAAGGGATTACAGTAAGCAAAACTTCAGCCCTGATTTAAAACTCTCTGGCTCCACAATGAGAACTGCCAATCTTAAATAAACTGCACTGCCTCTGTTTGCCCTATACCCGCCCTTCCTTGTCCAGTAATCCATCCTCAAGTTCTGAGCAGCTGCAAGTGGCCCTAACAGCACACAATGGAACCCAAGTGACTTAAGGAGGCCTGAAAGTATCTGTTTCCTCCAGTGATTCATTTCTGTTTCATTAGAACAATTCACAAATGGCAAACAACTCTTTAAAATATTTGTACTCCCTGACCCAACAACTATCCACTAAGGAATCTGACCTTATAAATGCAAACTATTCTCAAGATAGACAAGACTACCCACTAGTGTCACAATGGAATACAGCTAATGCAAACAGTGACACATATTCTGATACCTGCACAGACTGGAAAGCTACCCAGTTGTTTAAATGATGCGCAACAAGTAACAGTAGCAGCACTAAACCCTAGTAACTTAAAAAATAAAATAAAAACCAAGAAAACAACAAGAAGCAAGATATAAAGCCTCTTGATTCCACATCTCCCACGCTGCCACTCATTTCCGTTCCCCTTGCACACACTGTCTGTACTTACTCAGAGTCTCCAGTTCCTAGTCTTCCATTCTCTCTCGTTCCTTTCAAGTTTCTGCCTGTACCTTCTATTAAAAATGCCCCTTATTTCAAAAATTTATTACCGAATTGGTAATTTATTACCAAATCTGTTTTGACTCCATGGTGGTATTAGCCCTTCCTTTCTACTGATTAAAACTAAGAATTCCAAACATATTTTAAAAAACATTCATCAGAGCCTGAAAGTAGGCAAAGCAGACAGATGGTAGAAAGGGACCCAAACATGGAGAACCAACACACAAGAGTTTTGAGTTTCCGTGTCTTCTGTTTTTCTCAGTGATGTGCCCCAGCATCTCCCGCCCTTGGGTGAACTCCTGCCTGTGAATGCGGGTGTGCCTTCTGACTTGTTTCTAACCAACGGTGGTACAACGCATTCACTCTGTGCAGTGTGGGAGTTGCTGTTATAAGCCTAGTACCACAGCAGCCCTCCTGGGGGAGTCTCCCTCTCCCTTTGAAGAAGTAAGCTGCCAAGTTACGAGAAGCACATGACTCAGAAGGCAAGAAACAGAAAGTGACACTTAAGAGGTAGGAGAAGCCTGGAGTCAGCAGGCAACAGAAAAACAGTAATCCACCCCAAAGCCGAAAGACGGTAAATCCAAAGTACATTCAACTCGTGAGAATGGAGTATGTCAGCCATGCTTCAGCTGATACTACATCCCAGGTAACACCTTGCGGTATTCTGATCTCTTCCCAAGCAGAAGGCTCAGCCAAGCCATGCCGAGACTTCCTGCCCACAGAAACTGAAGTAGTCTAAGTGTGTTATTCTATCCTAAGCTCCTACAGACCCACAGAAAAATACCACACCTGGCTCCAACCAAGGAAGGGAGCTGCAAGAAATACGTGCAGCACAGCTGTGCAGGCAGCTACAACCCTGAGAAATCCTTATTTCTGACCAAACAACCAGAAAGTAAGTCCATGCTGGCCAGAGTATACAATGAGAAATCCTATGGGGGACAGAGCAGAGACTAGCCCTTACTTCTGCACGTGAATCTGCCTACAATCCAATTCAATCCAAGATTCATTATGTATGAAACTGATTCAACCAAAGAGACAAAGGCTTAGAGACCTGAACTGAGACATAAACCATCCCTCTAGCAGAGCTCAAATTAACCCCCATACAATTCATGCGTGTAACAGATTCATATCTACATGCTGAAGGGTTAGGAACTCAATTCAGACTTGAGCCACCATCCACAGAAGGCAACGCACACCTTAGGACCAGAACCTAACCAGGTTTTGTGATAATCACATTTTCCAGACAAGTATAACGGGATCCAAAGACTACATGCTACAGTAGCCCCAACATCAAAAATACAATCTGTAATCACTTGACATTAAAAAAAAAGAGAGAAAACAGGGAAAAGTGGCCAGTTCTCAACCTTAACGGTAACAGGTACCAACAGTCAAATAACTTAGTTTCTGAAATTAAAGAGCTCACAGGATAAGCTCAATAGCAAAATGGAGATGATAGAAGAGTGACTTTCAAAAGAGAACAATGGAAACTATTCAATTTTTAAAATACAGAGAAAAATAGATCGGGGAAGAAATATAATCAGTGCTCACAGAGCTACAGTACAACATCAAAAGGGCAAAATATATATACAGATAACAATGTAAGTATACAGCAGTATCATGTTCACCTAACAGGACATATAAAACAAAAATATGCTAATATAAGAACAAAAACAAGGAAGAAAAATAGAAATATGTGACCAATTCTCAACAGAAAAGATAACAGATGCGAACAGTCAAGTAACCACAATACATTTATGTGTGCATGAGAGTATGGTTTTGAGATATGTGTGTATATATGTATGATATCGCACCTTTATCTACAAATATATTTGTGTAACTTTAAAGGTTTTTAATGTAATACTTAACTCTCAGTGCCACCTCAAATGATGAGGCAGGTGACCCTGTCTTCCCTGAAATTCTCCTCTACTCCAGTATGAACACACTGCATTCAGACAGCTTCTCGACTACACCTCCAGCAGCCCCTTCATGGGCATCTTTGCTGGGCTTTGCCCATCTCACTGACCATAACAACAGGGTGCTTCAGATCTTCAGTACTGTCCGCTTCTCCTGCTACTCCAAGAAGTTCAATGATCTCATCCAATCGCATGACTGTCAATGCAACCTACAGGCTGACCCTTTCCAGATTCACACACCAGCGCGGATTTCTCTGCTAACTCCACAATCATGCACCCAGCTGCCTGCTGAACCCCTGAACTTCTCGCACCTCGCTCACACTTGCTAAATCCAGCCTTCCTCATCTCACAGAATAGGGACTATGTCCTTCCAACCATGCTCAGGAAAAATCCTTAAAGTCATCTCTTCGCTCTCGTACACACACATCTAATCGGGCAGGAAACACTGGCCCTGTACTCCATCGACCCTTTTTCTCCACTTCACTGCAAACTTCCCCAGGAAGTCACTACCACTGACCTCAATTATCTCAGCCACATCCAAAGAGTCTCCCTGCCCTCCTCCTGCCACTCTCTTACAGCCTGCTTTCAAGGCAGCCAGAGTTCTAAAACCACCACATTATACCGTCCTGTTCTCAAAAACCATACACAGCTTCCGAACTCAGAACACAAGCAAAAATCTACACTTCAGTTTGCAAGATTCTGCAGAATCTGACATCCTCCTCCTTCCCACAGCACCCCTTTCACTCCTTCCTCCTCTGACTCACTGGTCACCCCCCCCCCCCGCAGCAGATATGTTCCCACCACCCCAAGACCGTTGAGCTGGCTATGCTTCACTCTTTCTGCAGGAATAATCCTTCTCCTTAGAAACCTTTCTGAATGACTCCCTCAGCTTCCTCTGTCTTTGCTCAAACATCTCCCCAGTAAGATTTTCTCTAACCCTCCAGTCTACAACAGCAATGTCTATCAATACTGCCCAGCCCCAACCCTCTCTCCATCCATTCCTATTGACTTCATGTAAGTATATGCTTATTATCCTCTCCTAATGGAATGTAAAAAAGAAAGTTATGTCTGTTATGTGGATTTCTGTGTAATACGCAAACAGTGATGAAGGAAAAAACCACTTACTAATTACTACGTGCCATGCCCCCAGTAATCTAACTGCCTCACAGGGACTAGCCATACTCCTTACAATAACCCTATGACGCAGGTACTAATAATTAATGCCATTTTTCAAAAATAAGGCAAGAAGAAATTAAACATCCCAAAATCACACAATTAGAAGATAGCAAAGCTGGAACTATTATTATTCAGATGCTCTGATTCTCAACTCCATACTCTTAATCGTAAGGCTAGAAAAACCAAAACTCAATGAGCACTTGCTAAATAAATGAAAAATTGTGTATGCTTTAATCTCATTTTTAAAATGAGTATGGGTGGAGAGAATTTACAGCTACAAAAAGGACTAACAGAATACACAGAAAAGTGTTAACATTAGTGACTACGACTGAGAAGAGCCTGTGAGATGGTTCTCTCTCCATTGTTGATCTGTATTTCTAACTTTTCTACAGTGAGTTGTACTGCTTGGAGCTTATCACTGAAACATCCGACACAATTATACAAACTACACAGAACAAGGCACAATACATAAGCAATTATGAACAATTACAAACATAATTCAGTCCAACTTTGTAAAGAAGGAAAGTGAAAGAAGACAAGAGGAAAGAGATACGAGATAAGAAAGAGGAAACAGGAAAAAAGAAACAAACAAAAGAAGTTTTTTTAAATGAAAGATAAAAAACAAGTAGGTACATAAGTATGAAAGAGAAACTGGAGTCCTGCACAGAGAAAGGTTAACAAAAGCATTCTAAGTTGCTAAGATGATAACTGATCTCGATTTGCTTTCTTTTCCATGTATTTCAAATAGGAATTATAAATGTTCAAAGCTCTTCACCTTAGTGTTCGTAGCTTTTTTCTAGAATTCCAATTTATTTTCTTCTGATACTAAATTAATCAATGAAAACTTAAATCTCTTCTCTACTTTAGGTAAATCTGAATAACTTCCCATAAAACTTAGATGTCCTGATCCTGGATTTAAAAGAGCTGTATTAACATGTTGAAAACATCAAATGAACTAATAAAAATGATTACCTCGACTTGTGCTTGTTGCCTTGCTAAAATTATGTTAAAAACATCTAAAGTCTTCTCCAGGTCCTACGAAACAGAGACACTTGTAAATAAGGGAAATAATCATTAGATTAAAGTTTTCTTATAAGATTTCTAGGCTTATCTAGTTCATTCCCAAAACTTGTGATATAATCAAACTGGAACATATGCTAATCTTTGAAACCATTTAATTTTTACAGCAAGAAATTAAGTTTTCTAAGGAAGTATATTACATTTAAACACCTTAAGAAAATAAGAACTTTTCTGTGAAACTTTAAAAATCACAGACAGCTTTACATGTACATGGCAACAAAAATATTGAGAAAAAGGATTTCTTTTAGGTAGTAGCCTTACTTCTTACACTTCCTACTTTCCATATTATTTCACAATTATCATACTAAAGGCATCATTGCAAAACACACAAAATATTAAGAATATAAAATTCTGCAAGTCAGTAAGTAAGCTAAAGTAGAAACTGAATTTCAGAATTTACAATGAAGTATGTAGGAAGTATTTAACATTTCCCAGATGACTTGTATTTTAGGTCCTTTATGTATTATCTTATGCAATTCTCACAACTTGTAAGACAGGCACTGTTTCTACTTCCTACCTCAGAATAACAGACTTAAGAAACTCATGTCCAAGATCAGAACACTTCGTAAGCCCTGAGCCCAAATTCAGCTGACTCTGATACCTATGCCAATTCTAATATATTATGCTAGTGATTGTTACGTATTTCACAATACCACAAATTCAACTTGTACTTCGCATTATCAACCAGTGGCAGAAAGAGTTCTATAATCCAGATCATATGACAAATTATGTATTCAGTATATTTTCTATCTGTTATAAGAACAAATAAACCTCTGTCCTACCCCAAACTAAAAGCTGTTTTAAAAAATAATACCTTAAACTCTTTTTTAAAAAAGCCATGGTCACATAAATACGGAACTTTTAAGAGAAAAACATGTAAACAGAGCTAACTAGTAAATATATAAAAATGCTATTACAAAACCCTAAACATCTACCAAAAGGGTTTACAGTAACATTATTTCATCTGTTCTCAGGACTGGGAAAAGATTTTATTAAAGAAAAAAAAATGGAAAAACATACTCTTAAATTTCCCATAAAATCCTCTCACAAGCTGTTCTAAAATTATATTTTAATTCAAATAAGTGAAGAATCAACATTAAAAGGTGATCAGACAATTAAGGGCTCTCACCACTGTGCACAAAGTATACCTGAATTTGTTTCTGGATTTCTTCCAAGAGTTTAGTCTGAGTTAGCTTATTCTTGTAAGCGATTTTATAACTCTTGAGTAACTCTCTATGCTTCTTTATGTTACACCATGACCACATCTGTGTACATCTTCTTATATGAACTTCAAGAACTGAATCAATGGCATACTTCCACCTGAAAATCAAAACTTTTTAATGCATATGCACATAAAACATTTAAGAGAAATCAAGGAAAATAGCTCTGACTTTTAGATATTGCACTGTTAAATATCTTGGAATAAAATTTCCACTCTAACAGTGTGTCTCAATTATAGTTCTCTGGCTTAAATACATTCAGAATGAACACCCTCCAGGAAGAAGGTATGCCAAAGCAAATCAACTCTTTGGCACCCAGCAGACCACATATGCCCTGGTGGTCCTGTAAGATTACAGACCCTCTTGCCCTCACAGCTATCCCAGTTCAGCAAGTTCAGGAAGTAAATACATACAGATACATGTTTCAGAAGTTACCGCCACTGCTAAGCAACACATGATAGTATTCCAGCATGGTTACAACCTTAGGTCCCAGTAAATGACTACAGAGAAAGCAGGGTTTTTTAAATGCTGAAAATCTTAAATACTAAGTTAAAAAATTTGGATATAGATGCAAGAATACAAAAGGATGTGCTTACCAAAAAAGTACCACAACCATATAAAAGATGTCCCTCCTCGGCTTTTGGAGAGGAGGGGAAGACCCTATTTTTTTCTGAGTGGGTATACTACATTGCTTACAGGTCTCTTAATTTTGACATATTGTATAATTATGCTTCTCATAAAATAAAAAAAGCAAGCTCATACTTACCATTGCCTACAATTGGTATGAAGTGGTAAATTAGGTTTATATTTCCTATAAGGTACATTTCTAACCATATAATCCAACGATTCCAAAAGGTCAATCATACTTAAGTACTATTAAAACAAAACAAAAAACCAGGTTCATTATATTACACATTTTCAATAAATGTCAAATTTTATTATATTTTTTACTCTAAGACTTCTTCTCTGAACTTCTTAACAACCTAGTTCTACTTATTTCTGAACTAGTTTATTTTTAAAACTATTTCCATGTCTGCTGGATCATAACTTCACTGGTAGCTATCTATGAGTTAATTTTCAAACTGCTCCAGGAAACCGCTATGCAACTAAACAGGATAAAACTAACTAACCAACTAGCTTACCACCATCACAACAATGTGTGGATTTCAAACACTTCAACACTTCAAACGGCACGGCACGAGATATACACAGAGCGAACTCGAATGCAAGCAAGACCAAAGAAAAGGCAACTTCAGTTTGCTCCTTGCCAATTTTCTTAAAGCAATTCAACGGTTACGTACATTCATGTCTAGTGCGAACTTAAATGTATTTAAATTAAGAACATATCTGTATTTCAAAGACTGAAGGGGGAGAGAAAAGATGTAAAATATTTCTTTGAAATTTTTTATGATGACAAGTTGCAATGATAAGATTTTGGAAATATTAAGCTAAATAAAATAGGTTATTAAAGTTAATCTCATTTTTTTGCTTTGCTAATGTAGCTAACCAGAACATCTAACATTACAAAAGTGCTGTATAATAACTAGACAGTACTGGGCTAAACTCTCTTGGCCAAATCTCATACCTAAATCTGCAACTCAAATCAGTCATACAACTATACTTGGGAAACAAAAAGAAAAAAGCTGCCAAGACACTTATTTTACAAAATAGACAACACTTAACATGAAGGTCTAGTGTTAAAAACTAAGAAAGGAAAAACCACATTAAAATTTAAATAAATGAAAATATTATTCATTATAGTTTGATAAGATTCTGCAACATCTAAAGTCAGATAAATGAAAAAAAATTCTTCAGCTTGAAATTTTTTTTTCAGAAAAAGATTACTTGAAAAGTCAAATCTCCACAAAACAAACAAAGAGAACCAACAGATTTCACAAAAGAATCATCACAAAAGACAAAAGCGACCTAGATTCAAAACTACTAACGTGCCCTTGCATCTCACCTGGGGCTTGGTCAGCTCAATGGCAATATTCTGCACTTCTATGCTCCAATCTAATTTGGGAGTTTTGAGTTCTACTTCTGCATGAGGATTCATGTAGAGTTTTGCAGAGGCTGATATTGGCTGGAAAACTGACATCACATGAGAAGATATGAGTATGTTTATACACCCTTACATATGAACAACTTAAATAATCTGAGAGCACTATTATTTTAGAAGTAAAATGATCGAAAATAAAATAAAATCACTCCCAAAAACATGTAAAGTAGCTGTTCATCTTCACCCTGCCAATAAATGTTTGTATACACACTGAAGTCCTGTACTCCTAGGTAAGAAATGTACATAACACAGTCTACCTTTGGCTACTCATTTTGTATAAAATTAAGTTTCTTTACCCTTGCACAAAGCATTTAATACACTTATTATTCACTAAATATACTAATAAAATGAAATAAAATACAATTAATTTTCCTTAATCATTGCTAAAATTTAGGAACAGAATCATGAATAAAATTAAATACCTAAAAGACACCACTACTTTATGATTTTTAAAATACTCATGACACATGTACTATTACAATGAAATAAATAACGTAATTTGGAGGCTGAAAAAAATGTGTATTAGCAAAGATGATAGCTCAAAGCAAGGTGATAAGCTTTGTGAATATAATTTCAACTGTTACAACACTTTATGATGCTCATAAAATTATGAAAAGTATTAACTTAGCTACAAGATATAGATGAGCCCAAAGAATGAAGCTGTAGTGTTTTTGTATTCGTTTATCCATCAATGAAACTAAATGCTACTGCAGACACAGCTGCAGCACAGTGGCTGCCCTGAGTTTGATTCCCAGTAACAAACCCACCTCCATCCCTGCAAAAAAACTAAAGGCTTTCACAAACAGCGCTTGAAAACTACCATCACTAAGGAGAGGAGTATGAGTAGGATAGAAAGTGACAACCATCATCCAACAGCAAGAGAACAGGAAGAAGACAACAGAAGTAAACCAGTCGAATACAGAATATGGAAGAACACAGGTACAAAAGCTGAGGACAGTTAGGGCCATAACTCAGCGGCTAAGTACCTGCCTGGTAAGCGAAGGTCTTAAAAGTTCAATTTTTAAAAAGCTGAGGACAATTACAAAGGGACACAATAAGCAAAAGCAAACCAATACCTTCTTTAGAATGAAACTGAAATAGAGAAAATATGGGAAAGACACCTTTCAAATAAAGGTGACATTGTCAAAAAATAGAAAAGCTCACTTTAAAAATATGGGCAGATTTATCTTGCAAGAATAGTGGCAGCACAGAGGAGGAATGCTTAATACCCAGGGGTCAGAGACTTGGTTATCTTTTATAAAGAAAGAAAAAGAACTGCTAAGTCCTAAAATGAGTACAATTACAAGGCATAAAGAAAACATGGAAGCCAAAGAAGGTTGGCTACAAGGAGCTGACGGCTTTCGGGCCCTCCTGCCTCCTTCTCCAGCAGATGCCTTTCGAGCTATTCCCAAGCAGCACAGCGCTCTAGCCATGAAATGAAGGCATAAAATGAGTGTGCTCTTCTTGTCCACATAAGTTAATAAGGAAGTGCGGTAAAATATTCCACTACAACTTACTAGTACTTACTGTATTGATGGTTTGGAGGTCTCTGTCTACTTGGTAAGAATTTCATTTTTCAGTTGATCCTAAAGAAAGCATTTAAATTTTTTGAGACTAGAAAAGAAGCTGCAAACAGATTCAGCCACATATAGAGAAACAACTTGGTTATTACATCAATATTTTTATTCCTCTCTTTGTAACTAATTAGTCTATAGGAAAAACATGCTGAATATCATTTACAGATATATTTCTCTAGCATACTAAAAATATAGAAAGTGGTAATTTTTAAAACACTAAATGTCTACATTGTAATATTATTTCCCCCTTTTTTTCTTTTTTGAAGTCAGGGTCTCACTATGTAGCTCAGGCTGGTCTTGTGCTCACTCTGTACCCGTAAGGTGGCCTCAAACTCAATGGTCCTCCTGCTCAGCCTCCCGAGTGCTGGGATTACAGGCATGTGGCATCACACTGCCCCTCTCTCTGACTTTAAAAAAACCCATATATATGTATACTCCTACAAATTTCTAGTCAAAGGTTAAGTTATTTACTGCCATGAACACCAGCATAAGAACATGTTTAAGTCCTACTTTTGGTCTTTTTAGTTGCATACCCAGACCACACATTAAGTCATTTTCATCACTTCGCCACCTTTTAAGGTACAACACATGTTTTTAGCCAGGCATGGTGATGCACACCTCTAATCTCAGCACTTGGGAGGCTGAGGAAGATCTCTGTTGAGGTCAAGCCCAGTCTAGACTACATAAGTAAGTTTAGAGCCAGGCTGTAGTAATACACACTGAGATTTTGTCTCAAACACACTCACATACACACACACACACACACACACACACACAAAGTACACACACAAAATACACACTACGATGCATTCTGACATGGAGTATATTCATGACATTATTGTTGCGGTAGAGATAATGAATATACTCATCATCCCAAATTTCACTTCGTCCCTTTACAAGCCCCAGTTCCTCCCCACCACTGACTTCCAGGCAACCACGGATTTACTTTTTGTTCTACAGATCATTTGCAGTTCCTATGCTTTTTTTAAGAAGTACAGTATGGTTTCTTTTAGCCAGCATAATTATTTTAACACTGGTCCTTATTATTGTATTAATAATTCTTGCCCTTTAACTGGATGTAGTATTAATCATCTAATAGACATTTGGGTTGTTTATAGTTCTTATTCTTAGAAGGTACCGTGAACATCTTTCTATGTTTCTGTAGATATAATTCTCTTCTCTTGTGGATAAATAGAGGACAAACACTCAGTGTAACATTAGCTACGAGAAACTGACAGACTGATTTACAAAATGATTTTACCAATTCGGCATTCTCACCAGCTTCGTATAAGAATTCCAGGAAATTATAACATTATCTCACTTTGGTTTTCACTTGTATTTCCCTACAGAATCAAGATGTTTATACATCTTTTCATGTGTTTGTGTGCCCTACAGAATTTCTTAGGTGATGAGTTGGTTGACATCTCTTTCCCTATTTTCTTGTCTTTGTTTACAATATTCATAATCATTGTCAAATAAAATATTACAATCTAAGAGTGCCATTAAAATGAGTATAAAAGCCCAAATGAAGTTTTTAAGTTTTATAGGTTCTTACATCACTATGTAGCGAACAATTTCACAAAACATTCAAATCAGAAACTATCTTGAAGGCATACAGATTTCAACACTGTTTTTCACACTTCCAATTCAGTGACATACAAGTTAAACAAAGGACTGTGGCCTGTCCTCATTGAGGGGCTCTGTCATACAACATAATTAGGGAGTGGAGGTGGCTCTTCCAAAATTACCAAGATCTGTTCTCGGGACCCCTGGTAGGACAGGCGGCAGTTCACATTCCAGTAAGCACTGAGACTATCCAGTCGGATTAGCTAGGAAAGAAAAGAAAAACTGTCAAGCAATGAACAAACACAAAAGATAAAGCAAACTATGGTAGAAGACTACGCTCATGTTCACAACCCTGAGATTAACCAACTGCCACTTTGAACTTTTAAAGAAAATAATGCAAAGTTAAAGGAAAATATGTTCACAGTCTCTATTATTAAGCTTAGTATTTGCTAAACTGTGTGCCCAAGAACACAATTTCCAAGATATTCATTCATTCAACTATCAAACTGACCGGAGTTTAGCAGTTAGCAGATCCAGGAAACATTCTGCTAGACACAGAAGAAATGACACCTCTGGCAGACACCAGTGACTGTCTCCAAGGGAGGGGAGGGTGGTGCCAGAGCATCTCTAACCAACACAGTGAGGACCGCTAACACTATGAACATTGCAGTAGGAGGTTCACTGCACTTATTAGCATATTAAAGTACCTTGAAGCCCTTAGCTTACAATAAAATGAAACACACCTGTTTAATTACAGCGTGCTTGCTACTTAAAATTAGTAGCCTCACTTAACCAGAGAATACTTTTCCTACAAAACCTAACAGCATCTCTGACTTACATGAGATACTGTCATGCGCTCCAGGCCTCCAGTTGGACTCATGGAGGGCACTGCCATGAACTCTAGGTCTTCAGCTAGGCTTGCACAGCCAACTGAAGGTGCACACAGATAGCAGAGTTGCAGGATCAAGACACAGGATGGCAGAGTTGTTGAGCCAGGACGGCTTCTGCCTAGATTTCAGAGCAAAGCAAGTGTGCTCCTAAGAGGGCAGTGTGTAAAAGGTTTGAGTATAAAGCAAAAGCAGAGGGGGTCAAGAGAGAAGCCCTAGGTGCCACTACCATCAGAAGTGCCATGGGGCAGTCACCCAAGCCCTCTGGAGTTCACAACTTGCCACAGATTGCCTCCAAGGCTGGACATGGAACTATAGGAACTATAGGACTTAATGTTTGCCCTGCTGGATTCTGGACTTGCTTTGTCCCATTCCTTTATACCCTGCTTGTACATTCTGGAATGGAAATGCCTGTATTGTGCCATTGCATCCTGAAAGTTTAAGTCTCTTTTCATTCATACAGAGACTCACAGCTAACAGTTTGCCTTAGATCTTGAGAGACACTTGAGACTTGGACTTTTCAGCAATGCTGGAACTGTTAGGACTTCAGCAACTCTTAGCAATGGACCAAATGTCTTTTGCATAAAGAGATGTACATGAGTCTTTGGGGGGCGAGGGGCAGAACGCTATGGTTTGTGTCTAGATGTCCCCCAAAGCCTTATACAGTCAGAAAGACTGGCTTTCCAGTGGTGACTGAATCTAGAGTTGTGATTGATTCATCGTCTCCTGTTGGGATGGGGGGTGTGAGTCTACACCCAGCCTAGGGTAGGCAGCCCACACACAATGTAAAAGAACAGAAGAGGCTTGCTCCTCTTTTGCTCATTTCTTTTGCTGTCTTCCACCACCATGAACGGTTGCCCCTTTCCCATACCACCCCGAGACTTAGAACTAGCTGATTATGGACTGAAACCTCCACAAACTGAGCTAATAAACCTTTACTTCCTTTAAAAAAATCTAATAGTATCTCAATTACCTAATGCTTCATAAAATACCATATTCTTCACCTTACAGACGAACAACCTAAGATTGAGAGTCACACAGTAATAAGCAGAGCCAGAACTAGACTTTGGACTTTCAATTCACCCCAAGAGCACATTCTGCTCCACCATTTCAAGGAAAGACATTAAGTACTTGCACCTAGAAAACTAACAAAAGAATTTTTACTCTAATAATAATAATACAATACCTTGTATATAATTTTTTCTGCTTCATTTAATATGCATGGAGTCCAATTCTCGTTTGTAGTCTAAAAGAAAGAGTAACTATGAAATGTGGTATATGACAGTGTTTTAGTATCCTCAAGTAGAAACAAAATAACACATAAAGAAAACATACTTAGCTACTGTTGGCTAGTGTTACCTAATTCTTTATGTATCTGCATGGCAAAATCAAAGGAACTGTGAAACATAACTTGGGTTCACTCCTTTAGGAAATTACAGAGTTAATGTGTGAATGGAAGAATTGGGTATGAACAGAAACAAGAAAGCCTGCCTGTATTCTGTTGAAGAAGGCACACACTTTTAAAAGATACTACTTTCTGTAACATAGAAAGCAAACCAGAAAAGCATGGGAATGACAGCAGGGCCATGTGCCCTGCAAGGACAGCATAGCCAACAATGCTGTTTGGACCCGATTTAACAGCCAGCACATTACTGATGACCTTGCTGAGGACAAGAAAGGGGGAAGGCACAGGTAGTAAATTCCAGAAAAGTGTGGTTGTATAAGAGAGAGAAGGCAGTAGTTTCAGGGCCTGAGAGGGACTGGGGACATTAAGGAGGGGCTTTTAGCTGTGTTATAAAGAGGAGCCATGCACATGTTTAAGTGTGTGGGCAGGAGGAGATGAAGATTTAGGAGAGGGAGACTGACTCCCTGGGATGCTAGGGCGGGACACAGGTTTCTGAGGGTACGAGGCCTGAATAGAGCGGGAGGAGGATGTTAGGTTGAAAGGTTAGACACACCCTAGTTTCCCTGTTCATTGATTAATTCCTGTCACTGGTTGTCCAGCTCTCTTTCTCACTCTTCCACTTCATGTACCTATATACCTGCACTTCCTGGTGTGTGCTTTTAGGACTGCTCCATCACCACATCTCTCGGTTTCTCTGCCAGTAACCCTCGTTCACGTTTCCTCCTCGCCTTCCCTGAGGTCCTCGCCCTCAGTGGCAAGTCTCCCGTATGACTTATCATCCACCGCCCTTGAGTTTAACTGTATATGCCGTTTATTTGTAGAAAAGCCTTATGCAGCTGTTTTTCCTCATTTCTATGCCCTTCCCCCGGCAAATGTTTCCTACAATTGCCCTAAATACAAGCAAGTCCAATCTATATATATACAACTGTATTCTCTAGCAAACAAACAAACCTATTTATGAAATAACCAAACTGAATCACTTATGTGTCTCCCAATGTGACAGATTTACGTAAATACATACACATGCACAGCCACCTAGAAAATCCATTTACCTGTATCAAGTGGTAGCACTTAGCCCAACATACATTTTCCACCCCACTTTTCGCACATATTAAGATAGTTCTTATTCCTTTCAGACTGTTTGCTATTTAGATATATTTGTAAATTTAAATTTTAAAATTTAGTATTTTAAGTAACTTTTAAAATTGGTATTTAGATCTACTTGTGGTAAGAAAAATGAAAATGAAAGAATGTCATGTAATAAGAGCATCACCAAAAATGTTGAATTTCTACAAAACTGCAGCAACCTAATATAAAAAATGCATTAGCTAGTTGCAGACATAGTTGATTTTAGGCAATTCAGCTTATGACTTCACAGCGATATTTCAGAGGTTCCACCAAAATCAAAACCAAGGCAACATTACCAGTAGACTAAGCTCCCCCAGGGTAACACCAAATGAGAGCGGCTGCTCCGGATCAGTGACCTGCCAAAGAAAAGGGACAAAAGGATACATGGAAAGTGATGGTGACCTGTGGCCCATCCCTTCCAACAGTGGTGGGGAAACATGATTACAGGTGAGTCATACAACCCAACTGACAGGAAGGAAAGAAAGGCCCAGAAAGAGCAGGTCAGCACCCACAGCACCAGGGACAACACACTTCAGGATCTAATATGCTTTCCCAGGTTCAGAGACTCAGTAACCATCGCTAACAGAGTCCTAGAGAGAGTTAAGGAGAGACCGTCTTCAAGACACTCAATAACACTGCCACTAACTCCTTTTTATAACACTTAAAATTGTCACAATTAGAAACACAAATTGCTTCTTTGGGCCTTTACTTTTCTTGACAGTGCTTTCTTACGAAGCATTTCTACAATGCTTTGTTAAGAAAAATTAGATTAATATTTAATTTCCTGTCTTTTCATTCAAAATCTACCCATGTTAAACTTTTGTTTTATTCCTGAACTTTTGGTGTAAGTTATATTTACAGAGTGTTCAGAGCTTTCCACAGGATGCACAGACATTATCTGAGACATCTTGAAGACAGTCAAGTTACCAAGAACCACTGCATTGGGCCAGGGATGTAGCTCAGCAGCGCAACACCTGCCGCAAGCACAAGGCCCTAAGTTTGATTCGTGGCACCCAAAAGAGAGACAGAAAAAAAAAAAAAAAAGAATCACTTGATCATGATAGAAATGAGCAAAGCACAAAGAAATACTAGTATAATATTCTAAGTAACCCAAGACCCCAAAATTTTACCACATGCTCTTCTTAAACAGGAAAAATGCATATACGCCCTCATATAGTTGATACTGTGCACTCTTAGCCTTATTTGTAATTAACGCAGGTAATGATTTATAGCAAAACACTTCCCTATTTCCTTACATTCATCTTTTTGTACCTACAGATAAAATAATCTGTGGCTATTTCAGAAAGAACTTCAACAACACACAACTCCACAATCTCCACTACCCTATTCACAATTACTATTAGCCAGTGAGCACGTTTATGATAAAAAATACTTTCCCATTGATTTTTTGTTTTATGAGAGAAAGTCTCAATATATAGTTCACACTGGTCTTAAAACTAAGTAGCCCAGGGCCAGGGATTTAGCTCAGTGGCTGCCTGGTAAGCTCATGATTGTGAGTTCGATCCCTGCTACCAAAAAATAAAAAATAAAAATAAAATAAGAAACTATGTAGACCAAGCTGACCTCAAGCTCGTGTCAACCCTCCTGCCTCAGTTCCCCAAGTGCTGGAATTACACACATGTGCCACCACGCCAGGCTATTTTTCCCACCTCTTACATTCTGTGTTTCTCATAGCTTTTTAGCTATAACAGGAACTCTTTATGCTTTGTAATGTTCTTCTTTAGATAGTTCTAAAACATTTTTGTCACCAATTAAAACATGACAGATGTTACTTACCCTATTCCTGTGCATCTCTTTTTTACTAAAAGGAAAGAAATAATGTACCTTTCTAATTATACTGGGACAGTAAAAAGCTTAGTTTAGGTTCAAACTGAGGCCTTCATCCAATAATATGTCAGAGTGATTTTTTGCTATTTTCCAAATTGACAATGTATATATCCAATTCCAAGTCCACACATTTGTTTACTATAAAATGATGTGGCTTTTGGGCTGGGGATTTAGCGCAGTGGCATAAGCACCTGCCTTGCAAGCAGGCAGTCGTGAGTTTGATCCCCAGTACCGATAAAAAGGAAAAAGACAAAAAAAAAAAAAAAAAAAAAGAAAGAAAGAAAGAAAAATGTGGCTTTCAACAATCTTTTCTCTTAAGAGTCCACTTCTTATCATTAGGGAGTTTTGTGTTCATTTACGTATTTCCAGTAAGTAACTTGCTTTGCCACCATCAGTATGTGAGGGTTCACATTTCTTCATAGTTTTAACAAAATCTTTCACTCTCCTGTGTTATTTTTGTGTGTTAGAACATGAGCTTTTATAATGCATTTTGTAAGACATTTATGTTAATGAAATTCATCTGAATAAACTCCGTAAAGCCAGTGTATAAACCTACTCTAAAATAGAGATCCTTTCTGAAAAGCTACCAGTGTGCTTGAGTACTAAGCACAGAGAGCTAATCAGGAAATGAAAATATACCTACTGTCAGTACTGTTTAATTCAAACCCAAAACAAAAAAGAATGCAGATTCATTTTTAGAAAGATGGACTAAGATTTCCCCTTTCTTGAGTAAATAATAAAAGCTAAAATTTCTAAACCAAGAGCATTCTACCACTGAACTACACTCCCTGCCCTTTTCTAACGTTATATGGACACAGGATCATGCCCAATTGCCCAGCTCACCTCAAACTTAAAATCCTCCTGCCTCAGCCTCCCAGGAGGCTGGGATTATTCCAGTGGACCCCACCCCTGGTTTATTTCAAGCTTTAAACTCAGGGAAACAGACACAATTCAAGATACATTATACTTTAGCTAAATTCTTACCAACTAATGGTAAGCTTTTGGTCATAAGTGAAATTTTTGGTTTCTAAGTATAATGTCGCATATTGTAAGTAGCTGTGGGTGGCTTAATCCACTGAGTAGAAGGGAAAGAGAACGGCACCACACTCAGACGACCGTTGTTTTAGTCCCTTTCCTATGGATGACCACTACCACTGGTTATTTAATAAACTCCAGGAACTAACTGCTCAGATCCTTAAAGTTATCAGTCTTAACGCATAAAACAAAATTTTAAAAAACAGAGGACAACACGTGGTGGTTTCATGTCACCTTTACATATGTGCGTACTCAATGAAAAGAGCCCAGTGCAGAAAACACATGCAAGAACATTAATCTCAGATTCTGGGGAGATACGAGTCAGGCACAAAAGCAAATGCCTCTACTGACTGCACTGAGATCACTGAAGCACGAGGGGCACAAGTTCAAGTCCTGCATGGGCCCCTTCACAAGACACTCGAAAAATTTTTAAAAGGTCTAGGACTGTAGTTCAGTAGTAGAGTAACTGGGTTTGATCTGCAGTACTGCAAAAAATAAAAAATAAATCATGTTGGGTACAGATGAACCATACAAACCAAGACTATTATATAATATACATTTGTTAACTTAAACCAAATAATTGAAATTACTTACATCATCTTCATATTTAATGTGAATGTCTGTGATTTTCACTTGTACATTTTTTATTATTTGAGTTGCCAATTTTTCCAAAAATGTATCCTTTTTTGCTTCCTTAGGCTTATCTATTAAAAACAGAAAACACAAGCTCAAGCCGTGCCGTTCTCACAGCACCATGTAACGGACGCCCGAAGGAGAGGTAGGGACAGCTCAGAGGAAATTACACCTGCCCTAGCGTCATTACTTTTTCTCAGATTTAGTTTAGATTTTAATGTGATTTTCAACTTGAAATTAAATTAGAAGCTAACATTCATTTTACCTTCTGAGATAGATCAAGTGGCAATGTGTGCAAACAACACATGGCATAAAAACTACTTTTACCTACCTTTTGAGCGATCAAGACCTTTAAAACGTTTCTTAAAATGTTTTTTGTGCTTTTTACGCTTACGTCCTTCTCAGTGGAAGCATATTAGTGAGAAAAGGATAAAATTCAAGTTAGCAGACAAGAGGATAGAAAAGAAAATAAGAAAATTCTTCCCAAAAGCAAATTTTGGTATGATTCAACTTACTCTAATCAATACAAACACAAATTCATAGACCTCCTTTAATTTACAATAACATTTCTAGTAAAGAATAACCTTCCTTAATCTAGAAAATAACCTAAAGGTACAATTATACAAAAATGGGATAAAATATTCACTTGCAACATCCTTTATACATAACTTATTACTTGACAAAAGTTCCCCTTCGATTTTAATACTACCAAAATATTGGAAATGTAATAATGACAGAACTTTCAGAGGAAGGTTTGGATAAATGTGTGGCAGGAACACAAGTGAAATGGGTGGGCAGGATGCCGACAGATGACTCCCCAGATGATCCGCCTCGCAAACAAAACCCATGAGTCAAGGATGCAAAGAACATGAGAGTGACAGGAAATGCTCACAGAACCATGCACTGAACTGCCTTAGTAATTCCCTTAAACCTCATCCTTTGTTACTTAGCAGTGACTCAGTGAACTCCAGAATTAACCGACACTCGCCTCTCCCAAGCCCAACTTCCAATCCTTCACCCCCAGCTGCCCACTGGGCATCACCTCCACTTCCAAATCTGAGGTGGCCTCCGCATGGCTGCCCTGCTTCCTGCCTACTGAAGGCCCTTCTTTCCACCCACCATGTAGATTTCTTCTGAATACTACCCACAGCCTGTTAAGCCCTTGTTCAAAATTAGTTAAAGGCTCTCTGACGCCTGCCAGATAAAATTAAATCATGTTTGCCTGACAAAAAAGAGCTCTTTTGTGATGTAACCTCAGACATCCCTGTCTGCTTCTATCTCCAGCCACTCATCTTCATAATGGAAACTTCAGGAATATTATTTGTAATTTCCAATACAAGCCGTACTTTACAAAGTCTACTGTGTAAAATATCATTCCCTAAAGCTGGATTGTCCTCCCAGAAATTACCTTCTAGCAAACTTCTAGGAGACCGGGAAACCTCAGGCTCAGCACCTCTGTCTGGGTGTAGCCTTACTTAACTCCTCTAAGTAATGTGGGGTCAAGTCTCACGTGGAATTCCAGCAAACACAGGGAATCCCAGCACTACACTGCATTCACGGTGTTTACACAAGTCCCTTGCCCTGAAGCAGGAGGTTTCCTCTGGCAGTCTGTTTGTTTTAGGGCAGGGTGTAAAATCTGGGCACTGTTAAAATGAATTCAAAAAAACCCACATGTAAACATTATAACGAAACATATAAAGTCTATGTGACAAATTGACTTGTTGATTAATTGTATTGCTATACACAGACTGCATGTTATACATACATTTGAGAGCATATACATGAAATTTAGCTTGAAATTTTACTTTGTTTTCTTGATATTTGTAAACTGTTACACTACTAAATTAAGAATCAACTTCAGTTTATAAGACTAAAATCCCAAGTTTCAAGGAGAAAATATCTACTAAAATATGTAACAGAATCTGGGTAGTACTAATAATAGTATTTCTAGTCACAGTGATAGTCTGGACTCTATTTCATTCATAAATTAAAAATACATGCCAGGCATGGTGTGATGCACCCCTATAATCTTAGCACTTGGGAGGCTAAAGCAGGAAAATGAAGGCCAAGTTCCAGGTTACCCTGGACAACATAACGAACTCAGGCCAGGTTAAACTACATAAGGAGATCCTGTCTCAAAAAACAAAATTAAATAAATAAATAAAAAGACTGAGTTCTCAAATACCATGTGAAAACAAACAAGTAAGACACTAGCTCTGAAAATCATTCTACCTGGCTAGAACAGCAGGGTCTCTTCTTGTCTGACCTGTCCTTGTTGTTCCAAGGTTGTTCCAGCCCCTTGTCACGTCTCTGAACTCCATGTTAGAGATGCCACATTACACTTCTCTGAACGGTTTCACAGCTGAGTACTACATAGTTCCTTAGAGAACATTTCTAACTAATCTGGTAAATAATAAATCTATTATTCTCAATCATGCTCTAAAGCAGTTTTCAAATATTTTGGTCTCAGGATCCTTTGACACACTTAAAACCTGAGGCTTTGAAAGAGTTTTTATCTTTTGTGGGTTGTAACTTACTGATATTAATTATGCTGGAAATCTAAAACAGAATTTTTGAAGTATTTTGATTAATTCACTAAAAAAATAAACTATTACATATATAATTACACAGACAGCATATAGTTAAGAAGACAAGCATATACTCCTAAACAAAAACTTGGAGTGAGAAAGAGTCACACGGTTACAACCCTTTTAACAGCTGGCTCAAGACACAGCTGGATTCATGTGTCGCCTCTAATCCAATCTTTTGAGATACGTTGTTCTGACTAAAGGATATGGCAAAAACATCATTTCACTACAGATACACAATGGGAAAGACAAATATTTTCATGACCTTTCCAAGTAATTATGAATACAACATTCCAAGTGGTAGTCTCTTAAAGGCAGTTGTCTCATGAAATCTAAAACATTATCAATGAACTTTTCACCAGCATTAAAATCAATTGGTTTGCTCTGCACTTTAACCTTTTAAATGATTTATTTCTATTCATTACTAGTGCATTTGGAAATGTTGCTTATCTGAACTGTGCAAACCTGTCCAATGTTGGGTCATTTCCTTATTTAATATCCAAAGTCCTATCTGTTACTATCACCAACAGTCTCATCAGAAAAGTCTTCTAAGTATTAAGAAATGTCAAGCTCAAAGTAGCAAGTGTAAGGTTTTCAAAACTCTTAAAGTATTCCTCAGTTACTTTGTTCCATCGAACAACTCCCAAATCTGAATAATGATAATCCGTCAATTATTTTTTCAGGTAAACATGATTTTCCATTAAAAAAAGCAACCCAACTGCATGAACACTTTCTTCAGACCTACCCCTTAAGTACACTTGCTCTTTTGTTGCATATGACATTAAAGAGACATGTGATCAAAGTTGCAGTTTATTAAAATTGTAATTTTCCTACTTTACGAAAAATGTTAATACTGAAAAGGCAAGGTGGTAAAGAACACAGCCACTACCAACGCAGCAGGGTGCCCTGCCTTGAACCATGAGCCAGCAATTTACTATCGCATTTGTGCCAACAGGGCAAATGTCCAACACTGTGCGAAATCAAGCAATATCTTAGCATGATTACGAAAATGCTTTTGACTCTGAAGAACCACTGTCCTAGAATCAGAAAAGAAAAAAAAAAAAAAAAAAAAAAAAAAAAACCTGACACCAAAAGGGGAAAGAACATATGTTTGGAAACTGAAAAGAAATAATCATGAAGTACACAGGAATTCCTGGGTAAGTGAATGAAAATATCATCAACAAAATTAACTGTTCCCATTTCAGAATCATCAATATTCTGGATCTCATTTTTTATCCAAAGTAATGCACATTACAAAGGAAGAAGAAAACCAAATCCATTAGGTGTTCCTTTATAATGACTTCTCCACTGCTTTTAACAATAGCACCCAGGGATTTTGTGAGGTATCTCACTAGGCCACTAGTACTCATTTGTACATTGGGGATGGGTCATACCTAGAAAGATTAAAAAGTACTGTGCAGCAGACTACAGAAAACCACAACCTATTAAACTGGACAGACAGCCATATTCATCTGCGTGCTGCCTTTTACATAAAAGTAGCTAAAACAAAGTAACATAGTTAGCGAACTAAAAGGGTAGATTTGCTACAAGGAAATGTGCTTTCTGGGTAATTTCACTTAATGCTGTGAATCTGCCAAGCAAATTCTTTTTCCAACTGTCACAATGAACCTACATATTAAACAAGTTTCTAGGTGCAGAAGTAATTCTAGCACAATGCTTTTTGTCTAAAATTTGAGTTACAGAGCCCGCTTGCCATTTCATCAAACCAAATTTTAAGTGCGGGTAATATATCAAATTCTTTACACTTTTAAAGTACAAAATGCAATAAATCAAATTATGGTATTAAAATAATTGCATTTGATAGGGCAACCTTCAATCTGTCCTTATGAAGCTTTGAATATCAACATGCTCTACATAACAGTAGGCTACAGACCCCCCAGAACTACCTCTAAAGCCAAACAGATCAGGGAGAATACCAGAAAAAATGCCATGATGACCTTCTATCAGAATTCTGAATATAGTTCTGTTCCCCCAACCCTGAAAAGTTTTGTTTCTTTCATAAGCTTGAAAACCACTGCTACAGAGAGAGGAGGGACTTAATTGAGAAACTGGACTACTGTGCTAGAAAACTAAAATCCCAAAGGCAGTATAAATTTCACAGTGACCGACAGATCAAACTTTGGAGTTTCACAAGGGCAGGGAACTGTGCCTGTTTACCTTGAACAACTGGCACCCAGCATCATGCTTGCCACAAAGAGATAATCAAATGTTTAGTGAATGAATCAATGGCTGGAGAAGGTAGGAAAAAGGAAACGATGGTAAAGGGAAAGGTATGAATTACATTTCCATATTTTTCAAAGGATGGCACACCATCAAATGGACTCCTCTAAGAGCACAAGCATGGATAAGAGTATAACTTTTACAGTTGAAAATAATTAACCATGCATACCCACCAGGCTTGACGTCCTTGTAAACCAAGTTTTCCAAGCCATATATGAACTGTCCTGAATGTGTGCCTGTATCCACATGGCAGCAATAACCAAAACGCAAAGCATTAAAAGACAACTTTAATTTCCACGTGTAAAATACACCTAACCTTGATTGCAAAGAGAATTAGAAACCATTCACAGGACAACTGAAATTCAATTACACCAAACCATCTACTTCTGAAGAAATACTTACAGTGACATCATTTTTATTCTTACCACATACAAACTGCATTTTCGTAGTATTAAAGTAAAAATTCTTAATCAAAACTGTGACAATCAAATTAAGCAAGACAGGCAAATACTACTGATTATAGCTAATGTCTCACTGAAATATTTTACAAATTTTCAAATGGAACAAAATAATCTATTCCTTTGGTTCTCTTTGCCTGCTCTTTTGCCCATTTCAGAAAAGTGATATTTAACACTAATTTCAGAGTCAGCGGAAATGTCCTCATTTAAATTGGTAGGATCTGCTTTCAGACACAATGTCAGAATCCTTAGGGCTCACCACCCCCTCTTTGGATTTTTAAAGAAGGCAAAAGGAGAATTTAGCTCCCTGCTGGCCGCAGATTGAAGTTCACTATTAAGAATACAGAATCTAGCTAGGGATATAGCTCAGTAGCACAAGCATCTGCCTGGCAAGCACAAGGTCCTGAGTTTGATTCCTAGCATTAAAAAAAAAAGAATACAGAATCTAGAGTCAGAGTATATTAAAATTCTAGAGCTACCATTTTCTCATTGTGTCATACGCAGCAAATGATTTAACATTCAGCTTCCTCAACTCTAAAACAGATGGCAACAGCACCTGAACTGCTGGGTGGGAACTATTCACTGAGCTAACTCATATGAAGTACTCCGAAGAATGCCTGCATCACTGAGGCTTTCCAACCTCTTAAAATTACCCTAAATTAGCTTCCCAGCCTTCCAGGGATCCACACCCTATGCAGCTCCCTAACCGTCACAGGCAGTACACACCTTCCCACCCTCACTGTCCCCTCTTACTCTTCTGCACTCTTCACAGCTAGCTGAAGTAAACAACACGACACCTTCTGCCCCGATCTCTTGTGCTGCACATGATAAGTCCAATTCTCAGCTGCCCTAACGCCTGCACCTTTTAATCAGGATGCAACACACTTTCTCCTGCTTATCTTTATACAACTGCCTCTCTGTCCAAATCAAATGTAAGATCCCTGACAAGAGGATATAATAATTTTCTAAGTTTTATGTTTCCAACAATGTGTAAGCAGACTGACATTTGACTTCTCAAAAGCATCCTTCAAATTCTTGATTTTCTAGCTAGGGTTTAATCCCTAGGCAAAATACACAAGGCTAGAAGTAAAATAAAACAACATTTAGACTTAAAAATTTTACAAAATTACATTAAAAGCTACTAAATGTCTCTTAATGACAACACCCATAACAGGAGTATGGGAAAGCAAAGACAGAAAAACGGAAAGAGAACTAGATATAGTTAATTAAATGCGAAAGAGCAACAAAGAACAGTGTCGAGGAAGACAAGTATATAACAAGCCTTTAAAAAACAAAATAGAATGAAACAGGAAACAGTTCAAGGCCAGCAGTGGAGCTCAGCGGTACAGCATAATGCCTACTCAACCAAAGGCTTTGGAGTCAACACCTAGTGCTACAAAAAACACAACAGTTCAAAGGGAAAACTTCATGAAAAAGAGGTGGAGAGGACCAAGAGATGGGTAAAGACAACCTGAAAACAATTTTCACAGTCATATAACAGATCAATTTCACATAACATGAAAAATTTAAAGTATACATAGAAGACTAGGCAAATAAAAAGCATTTACAATGCAAGAAAAATGACTACAGAAGGAAGGACACATGACCACCATCCATTATTTAACCTATGCAGTGCACAATAATATTGTCATAGTAATGTAAGTACTAACCAGAAATTGCCAAAGTTATGATGCATCCATATTATGGGATAAGGAAGAAGGCAATGCAGGTTAGAAGAGGCAGTAACAGAGGTAAACTCCTTGACTCACCACAGCAGGAGTCCTTGCCAATGCCTGCCAGCCTTCCACTAATAAGCTGCACAACAGCAGAGTGTCTGCTGCTCAGGCTTGTGATTCCCTCTCAGGAGGGGGTTTGAAGAGCAGCAAATGTTGAAAGCCAAGCTGCCTTTTCTTATCGTAAGTCTTTTTTGGCAAAGCTTTGGATTTTTCAGGGTATATTTATATAGTACTTTGACAGAATTAACATTTTAAATACAGAATCTAAAATTTAGGAGTTTTCTGTTATTATCAGGAATTTCATATTCTGGGGAATATAAACTGATATGGTAAAACAAAAGGACAAAAGTAATCATTTCTACAAGGAAGCCAATTCTCTAGAAATAAAACCAAAGTTTCTTTTTTTTACATGACAGTGAGCAACACTCTATTTTGTCAAGTAAAACAAATTTTACAAACACTAAATATATCTATAGTATGCATTATATATCAGGCTTAAGTTATCTAAAACATAAACTTACTTACCCTTCTCTGCTGCTTTTTGAAGGGCTTCTTCAATTCGGGAAAGCTCTTTCTGTTTAACATCCTGCAAGGATTTTTCTTCTTTCTCAGCATCATACTTAATACCTAAAAATGTGTAGTTAATCACACAAAAGAAATGGAATCAATAAATAAATGTGAAAAGTTCAAACTTACTACAAATGTGTAACATAATATATTTTTTAAGTTCAAAAACACTTTTGTATTCTTTAGTTTCTCAAAATACTTAAATATAAGCGATTTCTATTGATTTATAAACCATAACCAAGAAAGGAAAAGAGCGAAGAAGTGACAAAAAGAAACAAAGATAAAAAAGGGAAAGAGGGAAAAGGCTATACAGATACATAAAAAGAGAAACTGAAGACAGAAATACCTGAGAATACTGGCAATTACTGAAAAATTTTCAGTAACTACAAAAATGATTTCCCATCCAATACCACCTGGTATCAATGTAGAAGGATAAAAAGGCTTTCAGAAATTAATTCAGGGATATGTGTCAACAATCATAAAATATATACCCTTTTTGTCTAGGAAATCTCATTTCTGATGATGTATCTTAAGGAAATAAAGTAAAAGCACACATTAAAAGATTTGTAAAAAAAAGATATCGACAAGGTTCGCTATAATGGTGATCAAACATTAGCACACCATGGAACACATTACGGCCTTTCAAAATTGTCACTACTACTAGACAAACTACAAAGTACATAAAAATGTCGTATCTTACATAAAAGACAGGTCAATGCTGCTGCTACTTAAAGGTTTATAATGTATATAATAAAACTTTGTAAGAAAAATACAAAACTGAAATTTGTATCTGTACTATGATTAGAAAATGATTAAGTAATTTTATCCTAAAACATCCAAATTTTTCTTATCACACTCTTCAAGTGGAAAAAATTAACTAAAGATGTTAAACTATAATATTTCAAAGAAATTCACTAAAATTAAAATAATGCAATTTGCTTAAAAATTTACCTATGTTGACATAAATTTTTGAAAAAACATTTACTTAAAATCAGAAGCAGTGAAATAGAATAAATTTTCTTATCTTGAAATGGGCAAATTAACATATCAGTACACTTTTAACAATTTATTACATTTCATTTCCTAATAAATTTGCCTAAAGCATCTTAACAGAAAGATTAGATGCAAAATAATTACTCAGAGAATAGAATTTAAAACACTGCATATATTCTTTATAATAATAAGACATTATACACACAAATGTGGCTATTTATGTATACATATTCGTACCTTACTAAATAAATTAGATATTTAACCCAGACAACAATTTAATATCCCTATGATATCACTGAATTGTTATAACTTAAAACATACTTGCTCCAGGGACAACAAGCAGATACAATCCCTCTAGAGTTGCAACAACTGCTTCTCCATAAAGGTTTTTCCAAGGAATCTTCAAAGCTAATTTACCTGCAGAAACATAATTCAATCTTAAGTCCTTGTTTCACTGCTCAATAAGAGAAAAATTTCTCACTTTTCATTAAAAGTATCATTAAAATTCTTCATGCATACATTATTACTCAGGAAAATTGCAACACTAGCATTTAAAATCTTTTTTCCATATAATATTACTAGTAGAAGCAAACTTCTTTATATTTGTCAAATTTCTTGCTAGTTCTTATTTGACATTCTAAAATGATAAGAGAAATGAAGCAGCTACTCCTTCAGTTTTTTAACAGAGGAAACTCGGTCTGGGAGAGGTTAAATTGTCCCAAATCCTTGCAGCCCATGAGAGAGCATCCAGAACCCTGCGTGCAGACCCATGCGCGTCCACTCATATCAGCCACTGACTCTCCAGAGCCCAAGTGTAAAATGGTATCTGCGCAAGATGCCAGGAGCTAAAGCATACACAGCAAGGAGCCCCAGGGGACTGAACCGCCACAATGAAAAGAGGGTAGCTCTAAAGGCAAGATAAATTACTTTATCAATAATGCTATGATGTTAGTAGTGTTACACGACTCAGACCATTTATACTCCTAACTTGTATTTACAAACCACTGGGAGGCAGAATACATTTGTTCTCTTGGACACAGGTCATTAATGTCAGGTCCTTCAAAGCCGGAGAAAGGTATGCAGGGCAAAAGGCAGAGAAGAAAGCTAAATTCTGAAATGGACAAAATCTGTTTTGGGTATTTTCTCCCATGTCCTCCTTCATCCTGTCTCCTTCTGTATCTACCTGTCCAGGTCTCCAGGCAGCCATGGCCCAGTCTCCCCTTAGTAGTATTAGTAACAATCCTGCCCACATCTTTCCTATCCCTGCTTTTTATGTTCCAAAAATAAATACCTTCCTTCCTCATAACTTTTTAAAAATAATGATATAACATCTACAGTTCTCTCAGTACTGCTGACCAAGACTTTCAGCAGAAAAGAATCTTTCAACTCACACTAAGCCATAGTACAAGAATCGATGGCATTTGTAATTGAAGATGCCCAAAGTTCAAAGAACTGATAAAGAATGCAGTGACCTGAAGAGGGAATAAAGTAGTATCTGGAATGCAGACTGTCCTGCCGGGTTGCAGCACTCAGCCAGAAATAGAAATACCAGCCATTTCTTTCTGGCTGGTAACGTGCTGAGTTTCTAAGGGGCTCTGAGGCAGGGGATCTGCTAAGACCACCGCGCTTCTAGTCACCTCTGACAATCTTGTGGTACCAAATACATATATGATACTACCATACACATATTACTTGCAATCATCTCACAATCTCATAACAAAATGTATCTGACTGCCTTCCTAGCATAAGACCGAGACTGGGAAGCGCTCCTCTAGGTGCTATATCCACAAAGGACTGCTTATGTCCTACACCTCTTCTTCCCTCTGTCCTAACTCATTGCCCTCATCCCTCCAGAAGGTCCTGGAACTCAGCTAGTTGTATTATCCCCTCCTTTCAGAGATAAGAACTTTGTTTTAATTTAAGTACAAGGACAACCTAGAGTCACTCACAGATATGATTAGCTCTTAGAAAATCAAACCATGTTTCAGCTTACTTAGCTACACTGACTCTACAAGTTAGGTACAATATTTTAACCCTGAACAGAAATTTAATAACTTATATAAACACTCCATAAACCAGAAAAGGATAAAAATAAAATATACTTTATATCCTAATATGTAATGGCCTTCTCAATACTCAATGAATAATCCTGGAAAAGGTATAAGTCCTCATGGCACGTTAAAAGAAAACAGAACAAATTTTAAATCATGAGAAAACTTATTCCAACATACAAATCTCCTTGTAAGAATATTTGAGTAGCCAAGGATTTAGCTCAGTAGCATAAGCACTTTGGCAAGCATGAGGTCCTGAGTTCGACCCCTGGGGTACCAAAAAAAAAAAAAATTTGAATAACATAAAATATGTTAGCTATATAACATATGTCAGTATAACTCATCCAATATACTAGAAATGCAATTTTAACTTATGTCCCAATCTTAGATCTCTGTAACTTCCTTGAAGGCAAACATACCATATTTACCCTAGCCTCTCCCACAACTATTGGCAGAGTTTTGGATTTAGCACATGTATGTAAAGTAAAAGAATGAATAAATGGCTGTAAGTTCTACACTCTGGATTTCATTAAGCATACGGCCTCAACAACAATACTTCTCAAGCAGTGCTAAAGAGCACAACAATAGTCAATGCTACTTAAAATACAAACAAAAAAGGTGACATATGTACTTGAGATATTTCCAAAATAAGGGACTCTTATTTCCAATGTGAAAAAACATGAAAACATTCCTTTACATTAACAGGACACATAAAAATGGACCCGAATAAGTAAGTAATTACTAAGACACTGGAGTAGTGAAAAACAAAGCCTTCTCAAACCTTGAGTACTAAATGAAGAGAAGCAGCAGTGTGATACACTCCTGGGATATAGACGGATATGGCAAAAGTGAAGATTCTACAGTATAAATAAGGAATCAAGTGTGGGTGTAGAGATGGATGGATAGATTGACAGACAGACATCTCCAATAGTGTGGATTAGTTGGGAGAACTTTGTAGATTAAACTTCCTATTGAAAATCATATACTTAGCTGTGTATGGTCTAAGTGTAAGAATTTAGCTGCAGGGCCAGGGATATAGCTCAGCGACACAGCACCCTACTGGCAAGTGCAAGGGCCCTGAGTTCGATTCCAGAAATCAAACAAAAAAAATTTAGCTGCAAAGAGAAAGACCCCATACTCACCAAAACATAGCATCCGTACCACACTGCTGTGTAATACAGCAAGTGAAAATGGTTGAACAAAACGTGAGGGAAATAAGCTGCATTTAAAGTTTATTAATAGTTTATGAATTATACTACTTTCACAAACAAAGAAAAGCTTACACAAGGTGGATATCTATAGTCAAGCCAATGCTGTATTTATGCAGCGGAGCCAAGCCTGAAGAGCACAGATGCAGTTTAAATGTCCCCTCACCTTGGAGGGTAACTTCTACCCTTCTGCCAAAACATTCAGGTAGGTATTATTTATATGTTATGTGTATTAAGTTCAGAACTCTATAAGCACTAATGGAAGACAAAAATTTCTCACACTTTTGGTCAAGCTTAACACCATTTCTTAGTTTAAGTAATGCAAAAAAATAAAAAACAAAGGAATAATAATAATTCATACAAAAAGTTAAGTACTTACCAATTTGCCCAGCCTTGACTTTAAAAGGAACGTCGAATTCACTCTTCAGGAAAAAAGAGAAATTTAAAGGACATCTCACATTATTAAGCCCCCAAAAGTTACTCTAGTATCACGTATATACAGAAATACAGTACCCTCTAAAGAAAAAAATAAATAATGCATTTTCCGTATTTCAGTAATTCAGAAAAGGGTTTATAGCTTTAAAAGAAAAAAATCTTTACTGAACTTTGACTCTGCATAAAAAATTCACATGGAAAACTATTAATAAGAAAAATTTAAACAGCTTGTAGTTTAAAAATGGAAGTGGATAAATTGGTTAATTTGCCCTAATAAATCAAATCAAATATAAGCTCCATTAACTTAAACACACAGACATAGTTTAAAAGAAATGCTAGAACAAGAAAAGGAAGTTATCTCACACAGTAACTAAAACAGTAACTTAAAAAAAAATTAACTAAATAATTGTCTCATATTTAATAAATAAATAAAAAAATTTTAAAGATACATTCTTCAACTTAGGCTAAGAATTCAATTTGTTTTCTATGCTCATAATTCTATTTATACTTATGTTTTTATAAAATATTGACATAAACTGAGAAAAGTAAGCTTTATTCCAATCTCTAACAATACAAAAATAACTCAAGTTTTTGGACAAAATTTAAAAGTTGTGATGTGCCATATAAACACAGGAAAAAAGATCCAAATATTCTGAGGACCCACAGTTTTCCAGTTCATTTTTCTTTTTTTTTTTTAACTTTTTATCCGTACCAGGGATCGAACTCACGACTGCCTGCTTGCAAGGCAGGTGCTTATGCCGCTGAGCTAAATCCCCAGCCCTCCAGTTCATTTTTCATCTTATTCAAGCCACAAACACAGGTATTTTAATGCTATAAATTAATTGTGCTTTAGCTGGGCGTAGTGATACGTGCCTATAATCCCAGCACTCCTGAGGCTCAGGCAGGAAAATTGTTGTAAATTAGAGGCCAGTCTGGGCTACAATGTGAGCCCAGGGCCAGTCAGAAAGAGATGGCAAGATCCTGTCTCAAAAAGACAAATAAATAAATAATAAAGTGTGATTTAAAGATGATTAAACCAATGCAGAAAGATATTATTAACTAGAAATTAGGAACCTGAAAATGTGATGAAGTGACTTCATAAATGTAAATTTAACCCAACAAACTAAATAGAAAGCAAATGGGATAGGAGAAAAATTGTTTTGCTTGCTCCACAGTAAGGGACAAAAATTATTTTCTGCAGTTAGTATTTTTTTTTTAATTCTTATTTTTTAAAAAAATTCTTTTTTTCTTATTATTACTGTTTTATAATGCCAGACTACTATAATTCATTACATAGTTGTTAAAGTCAAGCCCTTATTTAGTTGAAAAACGTGTAAAGATAATTCAGAAGAAAAATGTAGACTATGATGTTATAGTCAAGTTAGGTTAGGTAAAAGTTCCACTTTCCAAAAGATACTATCTTGATCATTAAGAGAAATTTTTTTCTGTATTTTTAATCTGAGATTTCCTAATGGAAAATCATTGTCATTAAATAAAATGACTCAATCACTTTATATGGTACCTGGTACCAGATGCCCAGTAACCAAATTAACTGAGTTATTAGCGTAGTTTTAAAAAAGACTTACCAGAGCATTTTCTTTTATCTGTAGATTATCTAAAGCCACATTGCCTTTTAAAGAGAGAAGGAAAAAAAATACATTAACACAACAACTAGTATAACCTATCATAATGCACACCAACCCCTAGGAATACAATGTTAAAAGCTAAAACACATGGCAAAGGACCTGCCTAAAAATGGAAATATCAGCAATGAGGCATAAATCATAATGTGTCTACATTAGAACCAAAAAAAGTAAAGAAATACAGTAAAATATGCACAGAATATTTTAAAAGATTAAAATGCATAGATTGATCCAACTTCAAAAGCTATACCAAATACACTGGTGTATGCACAGCACTGATAAAAAGACACATAGCATAAAGCTCTTGTCTCTATAGGACATCTTCTGGATATTTGTAGTTTTCAAATTTGCTAAAATAAATTGCTGAAAAGTATTATAAAACAAGAGGAGGACGCAAGAATATAGGCAGTAGCCTAGCACCTACAACACAACGAAAAAACTTAAACTAAGGCAGTAACTTCAGAGTCAAAGACATGGAGTCACAGTAGAGTGATTTTGGAGTCAGGACTGACAGGCTGGCACCAGTGCAAATCTAGGACTAACACAGTAACTGCAAAAAACTGGCATGTGCTTGGCAGTTGGAAAAAAAATCCTTAAGTATTATTTGCAGTAAAGTCATATAAGATGTACATATATTCCTGGGTTTTAGTCTATCAAACAATGAATCATACTAAACACAACTAGGAAGTCAAACCAACAAAACAGATATGCCCAGCGCTAGTGCATTACTAAAGCCATTCAAACTACTCCAGCAATAGCTGAAGTGCACAGGAAGACTTGCATACCTGCCTGGGAGGATCTAAGCATCACCAGGAGCGCTCAGAAGTCATTGGCATTAGAGGTGAAGTTTTCAAAACAACTACCAAGACAGTAACACAACAGGTGTAAAAAAAAAAATCTTTTAAAATAAGGGATGTTTCCAATGCACAAATTTTGGCTCTGTGATGAAGTAACACACTGGGAAACACTGAACAGCACCAATACAGGTAATGAAGTTAAACAAGTGTATTTAAAAAGATGGGCAAAGAGCTCACAAGAGATTATAACTGGGTGGTGGATTAAAGATGGCTTTTTATTTTTTCAATATTTTCTACTTGTCATATATTTTATCCACTTACCAGATTATAAGGGAAATGGGGAAATAAAGGTAAATCCCAATGTCAACATGACCTCAATATGTTTTATATCATTTCCTCCTGTATCTTCTATCTTATCTGCAGACAAAAAACTAACAGAACTACGTATTTCTGCTATCCAAAATCTAACAAATAAATGCGTACTTCCGCTCTGAAAAACAATGTGGATGCTATTTGACAATGTAACTATAACAATCCCATTCTGCACACTGTTTGCACTAGAGGAGGAGCCAGGAGCCCCAACACAAAGAGGAGGCAGCAGCTTGCAGATTAACAGGGCCAGGAAAAAGGGTGAAAAGCCCTGCCTAAGGGGAAGCAGCAGGTATGGTGGGCTCCTCAGGAGAGCTTGGGAGTCTCCTTAACACACTATAAACACTTTGCACAACAGCCATAAAGTCACACATCAGATCTTAAGGCCCACCGTGGAGATTTTAATCTCAAAGGGTAAATCTTTAACCCATATTTATCTATGAATCTTCATTCTCAAACCAGAAGACAGAAATGGAACTAAATCCATTAAAATTGGCAAATGAAAATAAATTGGCAAATGAAAAAAAAAAAAAAAAGGTGCTACATTACAGAACAACTAAATCCATCTATTTGCGAATAAAACTCCAATGGCAGTGGGGTAATACAGAACTATGCCTAGTAAGTATAAGAACAGCTTTTAAAATACATAATGACCTAGAAAATAAATATACAAATTATAGTGCTGGTGTTAAAACCTCTAACCTGAAATTACCTCCCCCAACTTTCTCAGAAGTTTCAGCTGCACCTTCTTTGCGATATTTAACACTTTATATAAACCCAACCTAACTATAAACCCTTGACTCTCCTCATAGCAAGTACTCCACCAATGCTGAATTCATCGGTTCAGGATGCACACCGTACGGGGCAGAAGCAACTCCAGTACAGACATAAACTTTTATTTTTAGAGAGTACTTCCAGATCTATGACACCACTGGACCCTCACAGCCCCCTGGGCAGAAGGACAGACATACTAAGAAAGCATACAGATATACTGAGGTTTAATGTGCGGTTAAAGGATGGGCCTCAAAATATCACAGGGACCTGTAAGCAGCAGGGCCACCATTCCGTCCTCTGTGTCCAAGGCTGGGCTCACAGCACCACTCTGCAACAGCAGGGCAGCAGCGGAGCAGGACTTTAACTCAGAAGGTCAAACTACTTCCTTGAGAGGAAAAAATGCCAGAGGAGAGCAGACACCAGGCTGGGAAGCCTGTGTACTTGTGGGCTCTACTTTCACACTCTGCATTTTCAGAGAGATGGAAAAAAATTCCAGAAACAAAAAGGGTAACTAAAATTAGTACAGCCAGGGCAGAAGCGCAGGCAGCACCAGCCAAGGGATATTGTTAGCAGCACAGAAGGAAGGACAGGCCGCAGGCAAAACCTGTGGGGGCGGGGTGAAAATCTACTTTCTCAACAAAAAGAAAAAGAAATTCCCAAGCTATGTTTTAGACCACATAAATCTAATCCTCCCTCATTATTTATACATGAATAAACCATAAGGACATCAAGAGATTTATCCAAGATTCTCCAATATTGTTGTGGCAGTAGTAAGCATAGAAACTATGTCTCCTGACTCCATGGCCAATGTTCTGCATATAAAAAGAGACAGTCATCAAAAACTGTGATTAAAATTCAAAAGCACCCAATATCCAAACATATCACACCCTAACCCAGGACACTGGGTAAAACAGGAAAAAAGAACACTCGGTGCCACAGACTTACAGATTTCTGTATGCACCTGTGACAGAAGCATTCTCTACTCATTTGAAAGTGTAACAAAATGTACACACACTCATTTCCCAAAGAAGTCAGGGAAATTATTGAAAAGAAGGAATCAAGTTATTTTAATGACCAGTTTTAGGAAACATGAGGAGAATACTGTAGCAATTCATGAACAAATTTCACACCAGCCTAGCCATGGACGCCTCACTATCCAAGGGACACTGCTTCTGATCTGCATGGAGACTGCTGGGAGCAGCCGGGGAAGAGAAGAAAAGCAACTCCTGAAAGGGGAAGTCCTGGCAACGGAAGGTCCAAGCTGCAGTCACCCGGAGCCCTCCTGAACTTTCTCCCTCCCACGCAGGAGAGATCCCGTGAGGGTGAGTAGTGCTCTCACTTCCTAGCAGAATGGTTACAAAGCGCTGACTCTCATTTTCTAACCCATAATGCTGCTTCATCTGATAACATATATATTACACTCCAGAAGGATCTTTCTGTGGATTAGTGTATATACTACAGGACAAGTGGGTAAGAAACCAGGCCTTCGGTTACACCAGGTGTTGGCCTGCAACAAAGGACTTTTCAACTTTTCTCTACAGGCTTAAAAACATCTGGGCACCTGAGTCTTGTTTTATTTATTTTTTTTTATTTTCAATGTGTTGAGGGAAGAAAACAAAAGATCTTCTTTTTCTTTCATTCCCACACTGCCCTACAGCTCCCTTTATGATAATACTGTAGCCTTGGACCGTGTAATGCCCAGCAGTGAGCAAAGAACACACAGGACAGCATCTGGCTCACCGGACCTCTTCTCACCACGCAGCAGGGTCAGCAGCAGAGCGCTTACCTGCTCACCTCACAAGGGGCTCAGGCTGCTCTGGGTTTGCTCCCACGAGGAAAGACAAGACCTGGCCCATCCTTCTGATTTACAGATTAAGAAGCAAACATCACTGCTCAGTGTGACCTACCAAAGCCACACAACCTGGCAGCACCGGAGTCAGGGTTGGAACCCAGGCTCCCGAATTCCTGGTGCCACCTCAGAGCTAATCCTCCTTTCCAATGCTGCTCTGCTTCACCGCCACGGGCAGCATCCCTGATGAAACACCCAAAATCCAAACTGTTCGAGACCATTAAAAGCAGCTCTGAGCAGGACTTAAATTTTACTAGTTAGCTTTCTATGTTTATCTGTGAGTCTGTCCTAGGCCTAGGCACCTTGCCTGGCGACAGGAGCTGATTCATAGTAAGTGAACCTCTATGAATCACTGGTCCTGGCTAAGGCCTATAGTGGCCTGTGAGGTCAGGGATACCTCAAAGGGCAAGATAAGGCCACAGCTTCGGACACTTGGCTCCAACCCTAATTAACTAGGTAAAGACTGCAGCTACAGAAATTACTCCTACAGTCACTCCTAGCATATCTTCATGATAAGACAGAGCTACTGAACTGACTTGATTCATTTCTTGGAGACGTCCTTGAAGTGACTCCCAAGGTCCTGCTCATTGCCTGTACTTTCCTCAGTTTCCCCACCCCTTGTTGTTGGACCTCATAAATAAAATGGGCAGTCCAGAGAAATCTCTGTCTCAGCCCTCTGAGTCTCGGGCTTAATTAAAGGGTCTTGACCCTCTTGAAGCCCTAAAAAAATCATACAATTTCTCTCTTTTAATTTAACCTCTGCCGTACACTCATTTGGGAGATGGGCGATCTAGATCAGGACCCGATACCAAACTGCTACAAAATCCCAAACCTTTGGAATGCTGCCTGCCACACTGCCACATGAAGCATCACAGTCAAAGTACACTGACACTAAAAACACTCAGGCTACATGCGTAAGACATGTAAGGAACATACGAAATATACATGAATACTGTGTTTAAACTTGGATCTCACACAGAGAAATCTCATTTTACATATGTACAGATATTCCAAGATCTGAGGACAAAAACCCAAAATGCAAAAACAGTTCTGGCCCCAAGAATTTCAAATAAGGGATCAGGCTACGGCAGTGATGGCAAACCTATAGCACGTGTGCAGCAGTAGGCTGTTCATGTCACTGAAAGCTCTGAAAGGTTCGCCACCCCTACTCCATGGGTACTGGCAAGCAACGGGGAGTCGAGAGAAAGATGGGACAGTAAACCCCACAGAGCAGTCTGGCTTGCAGGGCTTCTGAGCACTCCCTACCTTGTTCCTCTTTACGGCCACCTCAGCCGCTCCCTCCGACCAACATCTCCTGGCCACCTGTGTACTCCACTCCTCTAACCCAAGTTGAGAACCAAAGGTCTCACCAGAGATGTCCCTGCTCCTCCACACTAAATCACTATGAAAATCAAATTGGCAAAGAGCCTACCCCGGTACCTACATTGCAAAAGACCTACATTTCAACACACTTTCCAAATACTCGCTGCGCATAAAACAATTACATCCTGGATGCACCCCAGATAGCTGAGGGCTGTGCAATTTCTCTTCTGGTGCCAGGATGTGGAGAACAAAAACCTAAGTAAATCCTCCTATCTGCACAAGCAACATGTGTCCACCAGGCATTCCTCTCAATCTTCACAAACCCAAATTCCACACCAGCTGGCAGGAGGGTAAATGCAAACCCAATCAGACTTTTTAAGAAATTCCCTGGGAAAATAAGAAGTGTTTAGATACATAATGCTAGTTCTACCTTCTATAAACTGTAAGGCACCAGAGTTTGAATTTAAAAGAAATATACTTAGGAAATAAGTAAACTTTTTTCCATCACTCAGGTGGGATTACTATCATCATTCCTGTTAGTACTAACAATCACGAGACATTTTCACATCATTATAGATCCTACTCACTTTACAGATTAGGAAACTAAGACTTAAGAGAATTAAAATGTTTTGCCCACGGTCCTATAACTAGTAAATACTTAGGGTCTAATTTTTTTAAAACAGCAATTTTTGAAAGGGCATTCTGCCTAAACCCATTTAAAAATACTGAGAACTGCAAGAGGAAAACCCAAAAGAAAAACAATAGCTTCAGTTATTTGTTGGGTTTTGTTTGAGGGGAGCAGCTTCTCTAATTCAAAAGCAATACCCACGGCCCAATTCTGATACTTAATCCCCTGTCCTTTTTATTATTATTAAAAACATTTATTATTTTTATTATTGATTTTGCTGAGTGCCTATATATGTACAAGTTTATATACAACCCAATCCTCTTTAAATCATGTAAACACAGTATTCTAAATCTTAAAACCACTTCCTGAGACCATCCAAAAATTATGCAACGTAACTTCCAGTCACTTTTAACACATTGTTTCCTCTCCTCACTGTATGTCCTCTTTCTTTTTTTTTTTTTTTTGTCTTTTTCATTTTTATCGGTACCAGGGATCGAACTCACGACCGCCTGCTTGCAAGGCAGGTGCTTATGCCGCTGAGCTAAATCCCCAGCCCCCTGTATGTCCTCTTTCAACGGCCCTCCTAAAATGCGTGCAGTGCCCTGTACATCTCCTATACATGCAGAAGGCAATCTTAGCATTCATTCTCTTTACACCAGTGTCTCAACTAACACTGAAGGCTGTGTAATTCTTCATGGCAGAATACTGCCAAATATCCTCCCACCCCCTGGGGACCAAAGTCACTTGCTCACCAAAAAAACTACTTAAACTAGTCAAATACTACCATTACCAAGTATCAACACAGTTATTTCCAAACACTTATAAGATCAACTATGTGAATTCTTCACCACTTGAAAACGTGTAAATTCAACAAGAAAAAAACTGAAAAACCCAACTGTGAAGATGCAAACCTAATCTGATAATGCAAATAATTTTCAATTAGAACCATATAAAATTTTCAATCTTTGCATACCATCAATATTACAATTTCATAAAGCTTTATCAAGTTTATATTCCCATTTGTTCATTCCAAAATGTTTCAAGCTACTTTCTTTAGTAATATTTGCTAAGAACAGAAATAATCAATTCAGATATTCTATTTTAAGGGAAATTGGTGTTATGAAGATATGCTGAACAGTAACTGTAAATAAAAGTACCTAACTTCTCTCTTCCTTTGTAGTAACCACAAATTATGAAGCAAAATTATAAAATCGGAGAGGTGGATCGATAAAGCTGAGGGAATGAATATCCAAGTAGATATGCATTCGACACAATCCGTGAAAAAAATAAATTTGTTTGAGCCTATTATACAGTTCCCGTAGGGCCTGTCTGAACACTATATTCTAAAATACAGAAAACAGTATCAGGGTGTGGGTGTACAGTGTACCATATGACATGAATGCACAAGGCCTTGGGGCTTGAACCCCAGCAACAACGAATAAACACAAAAAAAGGATGAAGCTGGGAGTGATGGTGCATGTCTATAATCCAAGGCTGAGGCAGGAGGATCTTTGCGAATTCGAGACTAGCCTGGGCTGCAAAGTGAGTCCAAGGCCAGTCTGAACTGCATTGCCAGACTCTTGTCTCAAAAAAGCCAAAACGGAAAAAGAGACAAAAAAGGTAAAAAGAAACAGAGAAATAAAATTTAGTAACATTTAATTTAGCCCAATATGGTCAAATATCATCATTCAATAGATGAGGATTTTAAAAATTACTGAAATTGCACATTTTTCTCCTGTCGTATTACGAAAAACGTTCATACTCAAAAGCCAGTGTTTATATTACATTTGGACCACGTCTTAGTTCACACTCATCACATTTCAAGGGCTCCACAGCTACCTTAATAGGTAGCTTCCCTTTTAGAGCAGGTTCCTAAACATTCCTTAACTGATTCAGTAACTACCACATTTGCGTACTTTTCTGCATTTCCCACTAAAGCTGACAAAATCTTCCACAGAAGAAGAAAGTATTCGCAATATCCGCAAAGCTGAAGGCAAAGTTTTTGCAAATAACTAAGTGTCCGCACTGGAAACCAGGGCCTCAGGCACGCCGGGCTCCAGCCCTCCCCCAAGCCACACCCCTAGCCCCAAGGAAGCTTCGGGAAGAACGCTTAAGTACACTACTCAGAATCCGCTCTGCACGGCTAATCGCTGAGGACCAGAAGGCTGCGAGCGTTTTCCGGCGCCCAGGCACCTAATCGATGATGATGATGATGCAGGTCTGGGCTAGGACTGCTCTGTATCGCTGCAGCACATAACTGCGGGCGGTGTTGGCTCAGCGTGCAGGGGGACATCCCTCAGCCCACCCCCCGCTAGCCGCCCGTCCGCCCGGAAGCAGCTGCAAGCGACCCCTTACGGCACGGCTCACCCGGCCGACCGCACTGACCCACGATTCCGCCGAGGTCCTGGCCCAAGCCCGCCCATCCGTCCCCAGGCCCGCGCCGCCGCCCGCGCATACCACCCCAGATGCCCAGCTTCAGCTGCGACTTGTCAAGGTTCTCCACGTAGTCCCCCAGGAAGCGGTTCAACAGGTCTGCGACCACCGACTCCAGCACCATGGCGCAGCCGCGGCGGGGAAGGCGGAGCCGGAACGAAGTAGGCGGCGACCCGGGCGGGCACCCTGCCCCTGCGGCGGCGCACCGCTCAACCCGCACGGAGCGTGCTCCGTCCGCGCAGGCGCGCCGCCATCGGAGCGAGCGTGGGACCTGCGTGCCCGCGTGCGTGCGTGTTTGTGCGCGTGCGCGGGTCCGGGCGCGTGGGGCAGAACCAGGGCACGCGGGTACCCGGACCGAGGCGATGGGCGCGGGGAGAACTCCATTGAGTAATTTAAAATCTCCCGGGGACAAACGCGCGTGGAGACGGCGGAAGGAGGAGGCCTCCCTCCGCGGGGCTTCACCACCCGGAGGGCACCACAGCACCCAGGGCTTCCTGTTCTTCCGTCTCCTGACTATGGTTGCCGGTTCATCGTTCCCTGTGTCTCGCTGGCTTTGAACTGGCACTGCTGTGCCGTGACCTCAAATGGGAATACAGTATATGCGGGAATGACCTTCAGCCTAGTGAAATGGAACTGCCCGCTGGGATACCGAATCTCTACAGAAAATAAACTGCCGACGAAACAGTTCTCTGAAAAGCTGTTGAAATCCCATAGACAGAAACCTAAGACACGCTAGGATTTACTGTAGTCGCAAGCGTTTGTTGAATGCTTTACTGCGAGGCAGTTAATCCCAAAGACTATGTATTTATTGCTCTTGACATAAGTTTTTAAGGATACAAAGTGCATATTTCTTAAATGCGAAGTCCTTTAGATATAGAGAAGAAAAAGTCACTTTAGTGAGTGGAACAAAGGGTACGACCTAATCAGAGAAACGAGTGTTAGTGATGCCTTGCATACTCATTCCTAGTATTTCTATGTAAACTCTTGAAAGAGTAATGTATAAATGTGCTCTTACATGTTCGTTCCATTTTGTTACGTGTAAGCTATACTTTATTATGCCTAGGTAGGCATTTCCATATAATTCTCACAGAAGATTTTTACATCCATCAGTTCTCCTGTAACCGGACACAACCTTCAACACCCAAACCTAAAGAAGGACAGGTTAAATTTGACTATTTTAAGGGGATCCAGTCCATGGTCATCTGGTTCCAAAGAAGATGTATCATGCAAAAGCAGTATCACCGAGCAAAGCTGCTTAGTTCTTGGCATCTGGTGAGCGGAGAAGGGGAAAGGGACCGGCTATAGACCCCAAGGGTCACACCTCAGACACACCAGGAAGTGTACTCCACAATCCAGACTGCAAAGCCGGGTTAACCCTCCAACAATAACTGACACAGCTGGTGAGACAGTAAGTCAGGTAATAGTACTGTCTGCACAATGTAGAAAACTGAATTAATGTTGTGATTTACTTAAAATGACACAGCACAGAACGTATTACCTCCCTTTACTTCACGAGCCCCAGCCCCATTTCTCTGCCAACAGTTACACAGTTTAATCACCACGGGGCTACTAGTAATCCTCAGAGATCTTCCTTGAGAAAGATAATGCCAAAATAAAAACTTGGAAGGTGGAAACTTCAGCTCAAACTTTTTACTACAAATAATAGTATCATATAATTAAAAAATCTTACTATCTTCCATTTTCAACTTGTTCTGAAAACTTGTTATGGGCCTCCAACCCATTATAATGCCCCAAATCTTCTGTATTTTTAAGGAGTCAGATATGTACAGTCTCAGTTTAAAACAAGGATAGCTAATGTCAGGAAGAAACACCACTGGCATCCCTCAAGCACAGCCCTTTACCAGAAACTGCATACAGAGATGAACTGAAAAAAAAATCCCATAATTATAATTCTCACCTTTATTCGGGCTTTTTGGCAATGAGGACAATAAAGGCAATTACAAAACAAAAACTACAGTGAGGGACCGAGTCATAAAAACAAGCAAAATATTTCTGTTAAATTGCAAGTCAAAGTTAGGCAATATTTCTTAAACATCAACAACTGTTTAATTTTTTTAAAATTCTAACTTTACATCACCTGACATCCACACCTCTGCCCCGACCCATCCACCCAAGAGTTTCTGGAGGAAAATCAAGGATTTGGGGACAAAAAAAGATGCTGAAAAGGCCACAGCATAAGCAACTATGTCATAAACAGTAAAATTTAGGAAGGTAAGCTAGGAGGAAGCACAGTGTTAGGGCCAGAAGTAAACTTTAAGTTTGTCTGATTAATCCAATCCCTTACCAGACAGATGGAGACACAGAAACCCCCAGAGAACTAAGGGACTTGTCCAGTGCCCCACAAGTCAGTGACCAGGTAAGGTAAAATGCACATGGCCTGCCCACTTGGTCTGTGTTCCTTCTAACTCTCCATGTTCTACCAGATCAAATAGGATGCACACATCAGAAACTAGTATTTTATTTGCTTTAAGCTCTCTTCTTGCTTTGCCTGCTATCTAATCCCCTATGTATTAGTTTTGTGAGTCTGCATCTTCCTTCTAATCAACACATCCTAACTGCATATTTTGTAGTGTAATGTTTTGATTCATGTATAGTGATTTAACCAGGATAGTTAGCATACTGATCACCTTAAACTTTTTATCGTATCCTTACAGTGAGTACAGACTCTCTCCTAGGGACGTTGTGATCTACAGTGCATCATTGCTAACTACATTCACCCAACTGTGCCATAGGCCAGCAGAATTTATGCCTCATCTGACATTGTACCCTTTCACTATTCTCTCCCTCACCTCCCTCCCAACTCTGCTTTTAGATGTTCAGTTTCCTTTTAATCTGCAAGCACCTCCAGGCTTGGTGACATGCAATCTGTTTACGCTCACATCACGAATTGTTTTCCAGCTCCATTACCAAATGTTCCTATGGCTACAGCAGTGAGCTCAGGATGACCACAGTATTCCTCTGAGTAAGTCTGTGACCCTGTCACATCATCCTCCTGAGTCCTGGCTGGCTCACACTTCTGAGTTGAGTAAAAATAAGGTTTAGTGTGTAGTCAAGGGCCCCAGGCACTCAAGGGCACATCTCTGCTGATTTCAAAAAGCATTGTACACGAAATGCTTCTTAGGTATTACTGAAGAAAGTGAATCATTAATTTTAAAAAACACTAAACCTTTGTTTGGCTATGCAGAGAAATGTTTTTAAAGGAACCTATGTGAATCAGCTAACTCCCTGCCAAGGAAACAAGCATAACAACAACAACAAAATAATGACAGCTGTTAGTGGGCATTTGGTGCCTGCTAACCATTTTCATAGGTGATTTTTTAATCTTTAAAGCAGTCTTACATCTTATGTGATAGACCCTACCCCATTTTACAGTTTGGGCTTGGAACAGATTAATGAGCCTGATTAACAACGTCTCAGCCAACTTCTCAGCCTGAACTCTGACCTGTGCTCCTCTTCATTTTCACCAGAGGCTCTCTCTGCTTGCACAAAGCTAACAACACCTAGTTTAGAAAGAAAAGTTGAATAAGAAGTGTACCCTTTGGTAATTATCATCCCACAGTTTTAGCTTCAGCACAAGAATTTGGACCAACGGCCAAGGATTTAGCTCAGTGGCATAAGCACCTGGCAAGCACGAGGTCATGAGTTTGATCCCTGATACCAAAAAAAAAAAAAAAAATTGGACCAGGAATAAAGGTGGTATCAAGATAGAAAAGAACTGTCTCTAGAATAAACTCCAGGGCTCTCCAATCTTACCTTTCAAACTAAATGTCTAACTGGTGTTCAGAAGTCTCTTCTTAGCCCAGAGTGATGGCACATGACTGTAATCCCAACACTTGGGAGACTAAGGCAGGGGGATCATTGTGAGTTCAAGACCAGCCTGAGCTACAAAGTGAGCGCAAAGCTAGTCCGACCTGCACAGTGAGATCCTGTCTCAAAAAGACAAAAAAGCCTCTTCTCCCTCAGAAGACAGAATTCAAATATATCATTATTTAATAATAATTCCTCCTCCCCCTCCTTCTCCTCCTTCTTTTTCTTCTGATGCATGAACATAACTGATATCACCTGGAACAGCCTGGACCCACCTGCCAAGCACAGTGGCAGGGACCCAGAAAGCAGTCAATCAATACTGCTTTGAGTGAATGAATGAACTAATTGGCATTTGTTTTCCTCTATAATAATAAACACAGTATCTGACATGAGTATGCAAAGCTCTGTGCTAAGCAGTTCACATGCATTCTCTTAATTTATACCCTGACAATAATACAGGTAAACACCATTAATAATTCTAATTTGAGATGGAAGCTCAGAAAGGCTAAGTAACTTGCTCATGGTAAGCTCCCACTCTGGTATCAAAATCAGCTATGAGTTCCGACCCAGTTTCCTCAGCCATTATGCAATATTCCTGCTATCCTCACCAATAATAACCACTGCTCCTATGTGTTTACCATGTGCCATAATTTATATTATCACAGGTTTCTGAATTTAACCCCCCAAAACATTCACTGCCCATTAGTGGGTATTATCTCCCCCGCCTCCTCTCATCAGTGTGTGACCATGGGTAAGTTATTTGACCTCTGAAACAGTTTTTCACCTATAAAACAAGGATGGCCAGAACTCACAGGGTTTCTGAGACAATCCTAGAGACTATATCTAAGTCACCTACACAGCAACTGTGTGCTCTGGGAACAAAATACATACACCCTCTTCTGAGGACACCTTCACATGGAGGCAGTTTAATTCATTCAACATTATTGGAAAAGCAATTTGAAGGCAACATGTTAGAGACATCGTACACCACGCCCTGAACAAAATGCTCAACTCTCTATCTGCCAGAGCTAGGTGGAAACAACTCCCCTACAAAATAAACCCGAGTCAGTTTTCAAACTGAAGGAAAAGGGTTCCTGGTTGGCCAGATACAGTCACAGTGCCTCCAAAGATGATTCCAATAGCCCAGACATACTCAGGAATATATTTCTTTTAAAAAGGAATATATTTTCCTAAACAAAAATCATACATAGCTCAAGGAATAGGTTATGTTTTTTAATTGAAGTATAATGTACATACAATAAAGGGCCCTAATCTTCAGTGTACAGTAGATGATTATTTTATATGTTACACCCATTTCACCCACCCAGGCCGATATGGAAATTTTCCAGCACTTTATGAAATTCCTTCCAACCCACAGTGATTTAAATTCAACTCAGCCCATCTAAAGTAAAAACAGAAAACCAGAAAGCAATAAACAACTTAAAAAGCTGTGCAACGGAAACACAGGATTTCTAGAAGGGTAGTAAGAGTGAAACAAGCCCTACTTTTGTTTTCTTCTGAAGGGTGAAAGCAGAATGTTCCTGCATTCACCTTCCTTTGGGGTTTTGATCCTCAAAAATGACCCGGTTCCATAGTCAATTTAATCCTCTTTAGCACGGCAGGAAACAAACTTTGACACACCAGGAAACAAACACGGTTCAGGGTTTGGGAGAATACCTTCACCCAAAGCAGGAAAACCCACAGGCTGCGAGTCTGCCCGGCAAATCCCGACACGTGGCAGAGGGATAGGGCAGGGCCTGGCGTCAGGTTACCAGGCAGCGCAGCCAACGCCAGCTGGTATAAAAGCTGAGGCCAGCTGTCCCTGACATCGGTGCTGAACCTGCAGCGCGAGCTTTGAATTCCCGCGAAGCTGCGTGCCTCTTCCGGTGGGCGACACGAAGTCATCTAACACTGTTTGGAGAAGCAATTTACAAGGTAACATCGGGTACAAGCGGGACCCGAGCGGAGTGCTCAGTTCCCAGGGAAGGAGAGCTCTGCGGGGGCTGAATCTAAAAAGGGAGAACAAGCCAACTTCCCGGAGGAGACAAATAATAATTCTCGCTGGGAGCTAGAGTACAAGAGTCCCTTACGGATTCAGGGCACCAAAGCACAAAGCCGAGCGCCTTTTGGCACCAGGGCGACCAAAGTCAGAAGCCAGCACTGAGAATCTGTGCTTTAGGTCAGTGAAGGGAAGCACAAAGCTGCGCGACCCCAACTGCATGCGATAAGGCATCTGACAGGACAGGAGAAAAGCGATGTTCCATCACTAAACAACAAACAGTTCACAACCGTGAGCTACAGTCAGCCCTGTCCCAGCAAGGCAGCGAAACCGCAGAGTGCGCCGTGCGGGTGGTCTGTGTGCTGCAGGGAGTCAGTCCTGGGCAGAGAGTAACCGCGCCCGCGCCGGCCTCACGTGTGGTGCCTGGAGCGGCTGCTGCGGGGCAGGGACCGGATCCTCAGGAGTCGCGCCCGCCGCTCCAAGGCGCGCTCCCCCGCCACCTGCGCCAACGTGCTTACCCCGGACCGCATCCCCGAGTTCTGCATCCCACCGCGACTCGCGCCTCGCTTAGCCCTGGCCGCCCTCCAGAGCCCCCGGGCGGAAGAGGTCGCAACAGACGACGGCGCCAGCTGCACCGACTGGGACCCGCGCTCGCAGGCTGCGCTCTCGCTGTCGCACGTGCCCCGTGCGCGCACCGCCTACGGCTTCTGCGCGCTGCTCGAGAGCCCGCACACACGCCGCACGGAGTCGCTCTTCCTCGGGGACCCCGCGCCGCTCCCCCGGGCCCGCACCTACGGCGGCGGAGGGACGGGAGCCGCGCCCCTCACGCCCTCGCGGGCACCAAGCAGCGCTGCCCCCTGCCCGCCCCGGGACACGCCCGCCCCGGGGCCCCACAGCCGCCGCCGCCGCCTCCTGCGCGCCTCCGACCGCCTACTGAGCCGCGCGCTTCGGGCCGGGGGGAGTCGTGGCCCAGCCCGCTCCCGCTCGGTCTCCAGCGAGGAGGACGACGACCACGACAGCTACGGCAACGGTGACGGTGACGAGCGCCACAAGGACGCGCAGTCCCCGATCGAGCGCCTGCGGGCCGAGGGCGCCGCGGCTCTGGATCCCGATCCCGGCGCGCGCGGTGGGCGCCTCCGCCTGCGGCTGCTGCGCCCCGAGAGCCCAGCCACGGACGCCCCCGAGTCCCGCGTCTCTTGCCGCAGCCGCCACCTGGCCCTGCGGCCGACGAGCCCCACACGCGAGCAGCGCCGCCTGATGCTCGGCTGGAGCCGGGAGTCTGCTCCAGACCCGGAGCCAGACTGCACTGGGGCGTCAGGGGAGCCGGTGCGCCGTCTGACTATGCGCGTCCCGGTCGGGAACACGGGGCGCCCACGGGCACGGGGCTCCCTAGTGCTGGGCTCGCTGCTGCTGCTGCCCTGAAGATGCACCGTGGACTCTCCCACACTGACAGCTGCTCTGTACAAAATAAATGTGTTTTATCCTTTTATCCAGTGTTGGCAGAGATGATAGTGGATTGACAATCACCGTAAAGGACAGAGGCGTGTGTGTGTGTGTGTGTGTGTGTGTGTGTGTGTGTGTGTTCACACCTTGAAGATTTTTATCGCAGTGATGCTCTGCAGTGTTTCCTAGTGGAGAGAGCCAACTTCATTTCATATGTACCACACTCTAGAAATACATCTTCATGCAGTGTTAGAAAGAATGTCTTCATTTTGAACTTACTTCATTCCACAACAACTACTGAGACCATTTTAGAGCCCTCGTTACTTTTGAAGCAGTAAGACTCTGCAAAAGAAAGGGAAGCCAATGGACTGGAGGTTTAGCTCAGTGGCTCAAGGTTGCCTGATAAGCGCAGACCGCGAGTCCCTCCCTGGAACAAACAAACAAACAAACAAACAAAAAAAAAAAGCCAAGCATGGTGGAAGGACTTACCTAAGGCCGACAGTGATTTATTAGCGAGAATTCTAACCTGATTTTCATATCTACATCTTGCATGAAAACCACTGGAGAAAATAAAATCATCTTAGTAGTTTCACAAGTGCGTACCTGTGTAACTCTCAGATCAACCCTAAATAGTATGCAATGCTGTCTCCACTTTATGGAAGCCACAGAATAAAGAACGGAGTCAGGATTTGAACCTAGGCCACCAATACTTAACACACTCCTCTTGGGTAAGTCATTCCACAGTGAACTAAAGCGCTCACCTCGTGAATATGGTGAGCGGCTTCAGCTGCTCTGAGATTAGTGTGTATGCAGTTGAAATGAGGAATTTATACCAGTAACATCAGATACTGCGTTGTGCTGGAGGGTCCGAGACTTTGAGACCTCAGGACCACAGAAACGGGGTGACCTCCCCTGATTGGCACCAAGTGAACCAACCCACCAGGGCAACGGTATGAAGAGTGCATGTGACATTGTTCCACTCTGGCATCTGGTAGTGATAGACGACTATTTTTAAAGGACACTTTTCTGCAGGGTGTGGTGGCTCATGCCTGGAATCCCAGCACTTGGGAGGCTGAGACAGGAGGATCATTGTGAGTTCGAGACCAGCCTGACCTGCACAGAGAGACCCTGTCTCAAAAAGATAAAGGACGCTTTTCCTTTATCCCTCATAGTCACTGCCAACCAAGTGTCTTCTTCCCTTTTAATGCATATGAGAGGAAAATGTGTTCTAAGTGAGAGTTCAAAATGTTTAAACGGGTGGCACTGTGTTAACCATGGCAATGTGAACCCTCTCAATTCAGAATTGCTTTCTGCTTTCATTCAACATCTGGACAGCTGTAGGTGCTCCATGAAGAGTACTATTTAGAAAAATGTTTCAGTTTCCATCACAGCTCAGGCATAAACTCAATCACCGTAGTTTCACAGCTCAGGCATAAACTCAAAGTGGGCCACTCTGTGTAGTGTTTACAGTGGTGACCACTGACTGACATCGAAATCAACCACATCCAGAAGCCTGCAGTGGTGACCATGTGAGTGACGACGTGGTCCTCATCTCACCTGTCCTTTTACCTCCTCAAGGCCACCACTGCTCTATCCCACAAGCCAATAGTCACTTTTAAAATGTGTCACCTTCTTGGTGACTGCAGAATTTCAGTAAAGTAACTAATACTGGGGTTATGTACATCATACTTTAAAAGAAAAATGCATGGAGAATGAGAAAACTAGCTACGTAGAACATTGTGAGCTTCTCTTTTTCTATTTTTAAAAATAAAAAGATTATATTGATGCTTTAAACAGCAAGCCTCTATTCCAGAAGATAGCGCCACCACTACTGTACCTCAATTATACTGTCATTTAATCAAGTGCATTTATCACATAGATTTCCCCAAGACAAGTCAACTTATTTCAGTAACCTAAGTTTTCCATGAGATAATGATGGTTATTTCCAAACAAAATTTCCATTACTCTAATGCCAAGTTATGGTTAATCAAATAATCTAAAGCCTAACAAAAGACTTTAAAAGGATTAAAATACAATCATAAAACCATGGAATTTGAGTTGAAAAGAATTTTTAAGAATCATATTATTGCATGTTTATATACAAAATGTATCAGAGTGCCAAATTTTAGATTGTTTCAAATCTAAAAAAAGTGATGGGAAACAATTCTACCCTCACTGTTTTCAACCTAATGAAGCACTTATGCGTGTGTTATTTTATGAATGAATTAAATTAAGTGATCACATTTAGGAAACTTGTAGTAGGAAATACTTGTGATACCAGCTTTTCTGTGGGCAGATTTCAATCTGATTTACACTTGCTGTCCCCTAGTGGAAATGCCAAGTATCTTTTCAGTGGCTTTTTTTTTTTTTTTTTTGCCTTTTTATTAGGTTATCTCAATTAAATACAACCCATGGTTATACTGGAACCCAACTCTTGAAAGATGTTGGTATTATTATACTGAAAATCTCATATAAAAATAACTAAATGCAGCTTAGATGACAAAATACAAGAAATGGATCTAAAAAACAGATAAACTTTTCCTCTTTTACCATAAACCCTCAGTATCCTCAGAAAATTAGTCTGGACACCAAACCCTGAGCATGCTCAAACCCTTCATATAAATGTGGCATAACATTTGCATATGAGCTATAAACCTCCTGATTCACATTAAATCATCTATATATTACTTATAACACTTAACAGAAATGCCTAAGTGCATACATAAGTAGTCACTAAACTGTGTTTAGGGAATGGTGACCAAAAATGTCTGTACATAATAAAATACATATGCAACTTTAAAAAATATTTTTGACCCTCAATTGGAAGAATGTATCATGGAGTACACATTGCCATGAATAAAATGGACCGCATATTTATGTGCCCCCAAAATTTGTGTATTGAAATTCATTCCCCAAGCTGATGGTAAGCCTTTGCAGAGCTCTCAGAAAAGGATTAATGCCCTGATACACTAGAGGGATCTTTCATCACTTCTGACACGTGAGAATACATGGAGATAGTGACTAATTATAAGGAAATGGGCTTGCCCAAGAATCTAGGATGTTAGTGCCTTGATCTTGAACTTGCCAGTCTGCAAATGCAAGAAATAAATGTATTAAGAGCTACCTACTCTATGATACTTTATTATAGGAGCCTAACTATGATGGTATCCCTAACTAGGCAGGGAACAAATAGTAACATGGTCTTTGTTTTCATTTGACCATTTTCACAGATAATGTCTAACTTTTACATACACTTAAAGCTTCTCAACCAACCTTTGGGATAGTTACTCCTGTTGTATCGGGGAAAGGTGCTGTAGATTGGCTTTTTCAACACCCAATCCAACTCCCCCATACCATCGGTTCTATACTACAGAGGCTAGAAAACAAAGCCATATCTGTACAAACCATTCACAGCTTGGGAAAACCATGTGACTCAGCAATGGCCAATGAAATCCAGAGAGAGTTAGTAGATGGTGCCTCTTCCTCTGTGTCCCCCTAGAATACACAGCGACCCTCACTCAGCAAGCAAGACCTAGATGTGGGCACTGATCTTCCATGCCATCTCTGGCAACCTCCACCCTAAACTTATATCTATGGACAAATACATCCTTCACTCACAATCAGATCTGTATGAACACACTCCTAACTACACACAATACCCACTCCACAGAGAGCACCTAGATTAAAAAGAGCCGAATGAGCTGCATAAGATCACAGTGCATATATACCATGAATTTATGGGCAGACTTCTCAGATATCCATGCTCACTTCTTTTGTACATCTCACTGTTTCTCTTTGGGTAAGTCCACTTTTTAAAAAAAACTTGAATATAACTGACCTACTAGAAGTTGCACTTTTGTAAAGCAAACACTTTTGTGAGTTTGAGACATCACTCCACAAAATCGCTTCTTCCATCAAGGTAATGAACATATCCATCATTCCTAAGAGTTTCTTCATGCTTTTAGTAACCTTTCTCTCCTTCCTTCCTCACCTGTCCTCTCCCATGTCTACAGGATGACTGGTATGCTTTTTGTTGCTATAAAGTAGGTTATAATTCAGTGAGCAGGGCATGATGGTGCATGCCTGCAATACCAGCACTCAAGAGCCTGAGGCATGAAGATGGTCTTGAGTTAGATGTCAGCCCGGATTACACAGTGAGACACTGTCTCAAAACACAAAACAGAACAAAATTAGCTTGCAATCTATAGAATTTTATGTAAAAGGGAAAATAAGTATATATATTCTTGGGAGGCCAAGGCTTCTTTCACTCAGCATTACTATTTTGAAATGTATCCATGTTGCTAGTCTGTTCCTTTATATTGCCGATTCTGACAACTTTCAAAATTGGTAGTGCTGGTATATTATAATAAAGTATTTTGCTCTTTGAACTCCTCCTTCCCATTCTTTAGACTACTGCTGTCAACCATTTCACTTGTACAATCATTGATACCTTCATGTCTGTCACTGACTTTGGGAAACTTCTGTTTCCCTTTACTTTAAACAGTTTATTTGCTCCTTTTTCTCTGTTCCCCTGAGTATTCTAATTACTCATGTTACACCTCCTGAAATAGTCATAGCATGGATGTTGTGCTCATCACTTTCTTTTCCTCCTTCACGTTTCCCTTTGCCTTTCAGCTTGGGGAATCTGTCTGGCACAGCCTCAAAGCCTCTGACTGTCTCTTGGTCATGCTCCATTTATTAAGGAAGCTATCAGAGGCTTCCTTTATTTCTGTTGCAGTGCTCAAAATTTCTATCACTTCCTTTTGACACTTTTAAATCTATTCAGAGTATATATCTGTTCCTGTGTGTTGTCTACTTTTCTCATTATAACCCTTAATACATAAATGAGAGTTAAATTCCCCATTTAATCCTTCCAGAATGTGTGTCATGCACAAGTCTAGTTCTGATGCCTGCTTTGTCTATTCATACTGTGTTATTTTTCTTCTCTTTTAGTGTGCCTTGTATGCTGCCCTTTGCTGGATTTGATGCTTTCATGGAGTATCTGCCTCATACTCCGTATGTGATGTGTCAGGAAGGGAAAGTTGT